CCTTGAACGATAACTGTACTTGTTTCAGTTGTGTTTAAATGGGGGTACTTCATGAAATCTATTCTCCCCTAAACCATTTTGGCTCAAGGTGGCATTCATTGCATTTTGCGTTTGTTGCTTTAAACAATTTTTTCCCACCCTCCTCTTCCCATTTTTTAGACCATTCTCCATGAGTACAAGCGAACCATTTCTGTATATAGAACCTCCGACCATCTCAATTGCATCCGGCCTGATTTCCTGCATTTGCCATAGAATGGTATACCCGATCCAATGGGTATCACTGCATCCGTCCGATAGTAGACCAACCGATGTAGTTTCACTGCATTGTCCTCCATGATATTCCGGCTCAAAGAGCCTGCTCGCTTTTACATCCATTTTATTTCACGCGATCGTCCGATTGACGATTCTGGGCCGATACTATTTCAACTGATCTCAGTGAGAACGTGCTTATTTATGTTATCTTGTTTTGCGGTGGGATTTTTCGGACACATCCTGGTTTTATCTCATGTTTTGGTTCTGTCGTTTTTTTTTTCTGAGATCCTTTCACAACACCATTTCTTAGAAATGGGTGCATTGATGTCTCCATTGACATTGATGGCGGTGATCAGAACCAACTGATCGAACAAAGCATCAATAATCCAGCAATGACAAAAAAGGAATATAAATGAGCGAGAGGGAATGGGAAATTGGAAAGTGTGAAATTCAATTTCTGACGTAATTGTTTTTTTGTAGTAAAGCAAGGCCATGTCTTGTGCTGTTGAATCAACTTCCCTTTGTCTTGTGCTGTTGTTATATCTACTTGTATGTGATATAACAAAATGTAATGAATGTCCACCTTGAACAGTTGTTGTTTGTTGTTGTTGTTGTTGTTGTTTGTTGTTGTTATTTGTTGTTGTTGCTGTTGCTGTTGCTGTTGTTGTTGTTGTTGTTGGTTGTTGTTGTTGGTTGTGGTTGTTTGTTGTTGTTGTTTGTTGTTGTTGTTGTTGTTGTTTGTTGTTGTTGTTGTTTGTTGTTTTTTGTTGTTTGTTGTTGTTTGTTGTTGTTTGTTGTTGTTTGTTGTTGTTTGTTGTTGTTTGTTGTTGTTTGTTGTTGTTTGTTGTTGTTTGTTGTTTGTCGTTGTTTGTCGTTGTTTGTTGTTGTTGTTGGTGTTGCTGCTGACAGGCTGTTTTTTGCTCTGGAGAGTGATGGGTGTTCCATCTGGTAACCTTCAGTGTGAGGCGCTGGACGTGGTTTTGATCTGAATGCCTCGTCTCCAGGTGTTGTACGCGTACCAAACACCAAGTCACGAACTCTGGAAGAACTTTGCGCGGAACTGGACAAAGTCTTGGAAAAGCAGGCTTTGCATTCCAAGGCAGTGCAAGAGGCTACGAGGGCGCAATGCAATTTGCGGATTTAGAAATTTTTGGGAAAACCAGCAAAAAGTGCAATTTAGCGAGGGTCGCAAGACGCAACTGCTGCCCAAGGACTGCTCGTTTCTGAAACGCTTCCCGTGACTTCCTGACTGGCGGCAAACCAAGGCACGTTATGGCTGGGAACATCTGGGAACAGCATACAAGGGAGGCCCCAGCTCCGTCTCCAAAAATCATCTCAGTTTCATGTGCCAAAAACGAACCCAAAACTAGCCCCTTGTACCTGCTTGTTTTGATTATGACAATCTTTCCCGGAGTCTTTCCCTTTCTGTTATGTTGATGAAAGAGGTCCTGTGTTTCCAAAGCCTGCAATCGAAGCGCATCGAGGTTCCGCGAGGCCTGGCCGAGGCCACGCCTCGGACGCAAAACGTAGTGGCACAAGGACAAAGCGAGGCCTTTCCAGCAGGGCTGAACTTAAAGTAGTTGGTAACTGTGCTGCCTCGCTAAAATTTTAGGCCGCAGCTGCCGCACAGGGATGGCCGGATGGCCTCAAGGCAAGCCTCCAGGCCTCAAGGTTATGGAAATAGCAGCAAAACAAAAAGTTTATAGGATGAAACAAAGTTGGAGGGAGGCCTCAATGCAAGTCTCGAACTCCAGTGTCGCCAGACCATTGAAATTAGAACACTTCGGGGCAGGCTTCGAGGCAGGCCTCGAGGGCCTCAAGGCTATGGAAATTGGAGCAAAACAAAATGACAAAGAAGGCGCCTTTTTTTGGTCCTCAAAACGTAACAAAAAGCAGGCGCCCAAAAATGGGCCTCCCCAGTTCAAGATTCCAGCCGCAGCTGTTGCTGGTCAAATCAGCTTCAACTTGAAATAAACACTTCAACAGATTTGCCACAATGAAGGGGCCAAAACTGGGCCCTTGAGGGGGGACCACTTTTGATTTCAAGGGGGTCAACTTTCTGACCCCGTTTTGAAACACGTTTCCTTTGCACGGGGGTCCAAAACTGGACCCTCAACAGGTTGAATCTGGTGCCTCCTGGGAGGTTCGGTTTTACTGCGCTGTTCCAATGTAGACACCAACGTCACACACACACACACACCAACCCGAGTTGGCAATAAGGGCCTCGAACAAGGGAGGCCCCAACTCGGTGTCCAAAAATCACATCAGTTTCAGGTGCCAAAAACCAGCCCAAAACTAGCCCCTTGTACCTGCTCGTTTTGATTATGACAATCTTTCCCTTTCTGTTATGTTGATGAAAGAGGTCCTGTGTTTCCAAAGCCTGCAATCGAGGCGCTTCGAGGCTCGGCGCAGCCTCGCCGAGGCCACGCCTCGGACACAAAACGTATTGGCACAAGGACAAAGCGAGGCCGACATAGACTCGAAACTATATAATACTATTGTTGAAGTTCCAGCAGGGCTGAACTTAAAGTAGTTGGTAACTGTGCTGCCTCGCTAGAATTTTAGGCCGCAGCTGCCGCACAGGGACGGCCGGATGGCAAGCCTCGAGGCTTCAAGGTTATGGAAATTGCAGCAAAACAATGAGATTATAGGATGAAACAAAGTTGGAGGGAGGCCTCAATGCAAGTCTCGAACTCCAATGTCGCCAGACCGTTGAAATTAGAACACTTCGGGGCAGGCTTCGAGGCAGGCCTCGAGGGCCTCAAGGCTATGGAAATTGGAGCAAAACAAAATGACAAAGAAGGGACCTTTTTTTGGTCCTTAGGATGTGTGAATGCTTCTGGGAGAACTTCATGAAAAAACCTTCATTTACGAAACTGAAGCGTTGGCAGCACGTGTTGCACACAGACTCTGGCAGACAGTATTTTGATTTTGAAACGTTTGTCTCTTTGTTGGACACTGAAGGCTACAAGTTTTCATTCATGAAGGGTCTTTCAGACAATGCAGCTAGAATTTGGACGTTCAAAGCGGAATGTGGCAGATCACGCCTCAATGGGAATCGTTGACGAAGTGAGGACAAACATTTTTTTGATCGTATCAGTGAAACCCAAACTGTATTGAGTTCCATTGCAGGAAAGCTTGAGATGGGAGATAGATTTGTGCAAGTGCCAGTTTGGAAAATCTGAGTTCGCTGCTGCAGATGCGTGATTTACAAATGTAAACGGGCATTGTTTTTGCTACCTCCCAAGAAGTCCTAAGACCTCAAAAAGTACATCCTTGCGAAAAGTGGTCCTAAAAAAGGTTGTTGCCGAGGATTCATAGCAATGCCGAGGATTCCCCCGCCGCGGATTTTATAACTTTGCCGAAACTTCTACAGCCGTGGTTTGTAGCGTTGATAAAACTGTGCCGAAGATTCTACCGCCGGGAGTTTATATAGTAGTGCTAGATGTTTTGTTTCAACATACCACTTTGCAACCCCACTGAGGCAGCTGACATAGTTTTTTCCAAGTTCAATGCTTGTGCCGTGCTGATTTACTGTTTTCGTTTTCTGGCCTGGATATTCAACCACAAAATGTCAAACCTGTTTTTGGATGTTTTTGTTTTGTTTTGAGGTGGTGAACCAGCGGGAAAATTACAAGTGAACGATTTTTTATTGCGAAATGTTGTCATCAAGAATGGGCTGCTCACGCTTGCTCACGCTTTGCTCACGTTTTGCTCACGCTTGCTCACGCTTTGCTCACGGTTTGCTCACGCTTTGCTCACGCTCGCCGAGGTTCCTTTTGAGTCCTTTAGGTTCCTTTTGAGTCCTTACGAGGTTCCTTTTGGGTCCTTACGAGGGTCTGCTCACGGTTTGCTCACGGTTTGCTCACGGTTTGCTCACGGTTTGCTCACGGTTTGCTCACGGTTTGCTCGCGCTGCTCACGCTTTGCTCATGCTTTGCTCACGCTTTGGGGGATTATGTGTCTATCTTGATGAAGAAACCCACAAGCAAACCATGCAACTTTTTTGTTGTTCCGAGCCATGTGTACCTAAGGCACACAGCTTTCAGGCTGCAGACTCCTTGAGGCTGATTTTCAAATCTGAAAAAAAAACACCCACATGCCACTCACAACCCTTCGTTGAAGTGGGGTTGCCACACCCCTGCCTCAGCCTGAGATATGTATGTGCAACGTTCCTTTTGAGCCTAAAGGACCCAGAAAGTATATCCTATATTATGGTATTATGACATGTTCCTTTGTAGCCCAAAGGGCCCAAAAAGTATATCTATAGATGTTATTGTGTAACGTTCCTTTTAGGCCCAAAAGGACCCAAAAAGTACATAGTCCCAACTATGCTGAATATGTTCCTTTTGGGACCACTTTCCACGAGATTTCATAGGACCTCAAAAAGTTGTCCCTTAGACTTGCTGGGTCTTATAATTTTTTAGATCTTGACATTTCCGCCCAAAGTTTGCCCGGGCAGTACTTCCGTGTGTAAAGAAAAAATATGCATATGCCAACCATCCAATGATGTTGTGAACCTAGACTGGATTGTTTTTGTGCCTGCTTGCATTCATCATTTGTGTGCGCCGTGCGAATCAAGACATGTGGTGCAGCAACAAATTGTTTTACCGGTAACGACAAATTTTCACATTCCACCTTAATTATGGTGTCACTATGGTATACCTTTGGTATAACCGTGTTGTCAATGCGTTCATTTTTTTCACGCCCTTTTTTGGCAAAATGTTGATGGTCGGCAATCGTGCGGCTATGTCTGCGAAGCAGCGCTTGCAAGAACTCTTCGCCAAGCAACCTTGGGTGGACATGGAGGGATCGGAAATGGACACCCAGCCAGGTGGACATGGTGGGAATTTGAGACTTCCAACAACACGGGGTTTCTCTTTAAAAAAACGCCCCAAAATCCTGTGTTTTTGAAAATCATGTTTATTTTGTTGATGATTTCTATTTTTGTGATGTGCAAGGGTCCTTGACCCTGTTGGATGAAAGTCATTTGGGCGTTTTGGACCGATTCTCCTCGCTACCAATTTGCAAGCAGAATGACAAAGACCACACCTTTTTTAATTACGTATGCATCCCCATTTCAATTTATTTCAGTTCCGTCACTTTAAGTTTCAATTCCCGAGAGTTGGAACAAAAAAAACAAGGGTTCGTTGTGAAATTCGTGGGCTTTCTGCGCTGGTGGCCTGCACGCTGCAAGGTATGATACCAACGGGGATGGCACCTTGACTGAAGAGGAGGTGACGCCTCTCTTCATTCGCTTCGGAATGACGAGAGGCAGCTGGTGGGCTGTGCCATCAATACTCATGCGGAAGGCCCAATAGCTGGATGTTTTTTTTAAATGGAAAATCCGAAAAACAATGGTGGATTTACCGGTACCACCATCTTAAGAAACCTCCATGTGGGAAATAAGATTCAGTGAATTTGGGGAACAATGTGAATTATCATTGATGAATCGTTACTGATGATATGAAATTGGGTTTCCCACATTCCGAGATGATGATCAACCAGTGAATTTGTTAACAATGTTACGGGGAACCCCATGCCATATACCTACCTGACTGGGGATGGCTTATACCACCCATAAAAATGGTGATTTTGGGCATGGTTTATGAAATTGGGTTTACAGACATCAACCAAATTTCGGACAAATCCATTTAATTGGACATTTATATGTGTGGTAAACTACCGTATTGGCATCATATACCGTAAAGCGTAGGAAAGTCATGGAAAGTCATTGGGGACACGACAAGGCCGCAATAGAGACTCTGATCCAATGGTTGGCTCCGCGGCATGCCAACTCCCATGTGTTTCCCCAAAAAATAGATAGACAAATTATTCCCTACTAGTTTTTGTGTGAAACATAGTATGGCCCTAAATCCATGCCTTAATCAAAATTATACCCGTTGAAGAGCCCTTTCTGGTCATATGTCCCATGGTATCCCACGATGATATCCCCATGATATCACCTTTTTGGTTGGTTTGCTCCCCAATAATTGATCTGTTTTTCCATCTTTTCAGGAACACTCTCCATGGTATGTCCCCAAAAATCCAGCCATAGTGCCATGCAATTTCAGCAGGTCAGCTGAAGGCACTGCTGCAGGATTTCGACAAGAACAAGGCGCGGAACCTTGAAATGGTAGTGAAATTGTTTAGCTGTTTTGGTATCCGCATAGTAAATATCAGTTGGTTGATATCCACATCAGTAAATATTGGGCACGCATTCCTCTACCAGAGTAATATTTCAGATATGGGTTATTGATGTTATTGTCATCCCATCCTCCCAATATTTTAACCCCACCCATCCCTTGGTCCCCGGGTCCCATGGGGATGGGACCCAGGATGGGATTATCCAGATCCATGAGTTCCTTGCGTGGCTCACGGCGGAAAAACCCCAAGTGATGATCAGCAAAAATCCCTGGGATGGCAACGAAGCTGCGTTGCGTTTTTTTTTTCGGGGAATCCTATGGAGAGACGCTGGGGGTCACCTGGATTCGCCAGTGACGCTGGGATGATCCTCCAAGGACGCTTAGCCTATGTTGGAGAAGATGAAAAAAACCCGTGGATCGAATGGGTTAGCCGATTTTCAGTCCCAAATCATCCACGATCATCATGAATCATGGGATATCTCAGATATCTCACGACATGAGCAACCGAGCAATAAACAAATACTGCAACCAATACTGTTGATAGGATTGATCCGTCAAAAATATCGTGATATTAATTTTAAATGGATCCATTGGTTTTGCTGGATGAACATTAGGGGATTACCCTCCCCATGCCTGAAACCCTGTCCTGTTCTCATGGATCGTGAGGTAAAGACATCGATACCAATTTCTCGGTGCGGATTCTGAACACCTCGGATCGTGTGGGGAAGAAGTTCCACTTCTACTTCAAGAAGTGTCACTTGTCAAGTTTAGGTGGACCACCTCGGTGTTTTGTTTTGGGCATCTTTGGATTTTATGGCTCTGAGTGCAGTTCCGTATGGCAACGGTCTAGACTTGGGCGGAACTGTTGTTTGTTTATGCCTGGTGAACCATCCTAAATCGGAGTGCTTTTGGGTCGCTCGAGCTTTTTCGGCATATGTTGGGTCGCTCGGCTCAGGTGAAAACATGGCCTTTCCTGAAGGGAATCCATGTGTCTTCACCGTGGGTCCCGGGCAAGAAATGAAGGACAAAGTGATTATGACGGTCGAAAAGGTGGGGTCTGAAGAAATGCAACGTTTGATCCTGAGCATCATGTTTTCCACCGAAGCGCCGACAAATTGAGGGCCCATCCCCCATTTTCAGGCACACCCACATCAAGAAGATGGCCCTCTAATGTTAAATGCCCGGACAAAAAAAATGGTTTTGGATCAAGTGATCTGGTACTCTATGACCCATACCTAGACCCTCGGTTTACCCACAAAATTAGGTGTTTTATCATGTTTTATCCAACATGTTGTTACCTTTACTGAATTCTGAGGTATACAAAAGAGATGTTCGTTCCTTGCTCGGATTTTTTGACACATTCCCGTGTCATTCCTTGTCAGGAATGCACCCCAAACTGCCAGGAATGCCATGGTCCTGCCATGGTTCCAATGGTTCCATGCCGCTCCGGCAGGTTCCATTCAGCTATCGGTTACCCTCTTGGACTGCGCGTTCGGCCTTCTCTGGGGTTGAGGATGATGTTAGCAAGGCTTTTGTGTCGAGGCTGCAGAAGACAAAAAACGGGGTGACTTTAAGTTTTTTTTTCTTTTTCTGGCCTCCTACTTCTATATGTACTGTTTATAATCATATACATATCATATACATATCATATACATACGTATCATATACATACGTATCATATACATATCATATATATATATATTTATATATATATATATATATTTCTCGTGTGGTAAACACAATGAAAAAACAGCCTCCCGTTGTTTTTATGGTTTACGGAGGCCACCATATTTGGTCACTATAGATGGATGAGTTTTTTTCCTAGTCAAGTTCACCATAGAAATCTTCACCCTGGACTTCTTGCCATCCTTCTGCTCTCAAAGGTAGACCCAGACTTTCCCCACGAAGCCAGCAGCGTGGGTTCGTCCAAAACGGATTTCCGCTGTGAGCAGCCGGACCTCTGGATGCGCGCGCGGATGTGACCTGACGAAACAGGGGAGGTGCAACTGCGAGAAAGGGGCGATTTTAAGCGACACGTATTGTGAAGTAGTAATGTAAAGTAAAGTAACTAAGTAATGTAATATAAAGTAAAGTGATGTGAAGACTTGTAAAGTTACTCGATGTAAAGGAAAGTGGTGTAACATAAAGTAACGTGATGTAATCACAATTTGTCTCAGCAGAAGCTTGGTGATGGGATTTGTCCCCGATAAGGACCTATCCGACGAAAACGTCGTTTAGTCTTGAAAGTCATTGTGTGGTGGTTTCAATCACAAATTTACGTATTATTATATATCTAATACATGTAGGGTGCAAACCCTAGGTTTGCCCGCGGCGAATCCCGCATATCCTTTGACATGCTCAAATCCCTGCGTAGGGTTTAAGTTTTTTACTTTCCAAAACAACAAACCCTAAAACCCTAAAACCCTAAAACCCTAAAACCCTAAAACCTTAAAAACTAAAACCCTAAACCCTAAATTAAAACCCTAAATCCTGAAAACTTCAAGTCACAATCACTTCGTATAGCCAGTGTTTTCATTCATCCTCTGGTGATAAGTATAGCATATTGTTTGGATGTGTTGTTTGAGTGTGGGCGAACCCGGGGTTTCGAGGGTACATGTAATATGTGTAAAATATGCAATGTATGCAATATATGCACAGACTACATTACATACATCATTACATTAATATATATATATATACATATTGTTTTACATAACATAACATAACATAACATTGCATTACATATATTTGTTATACAGGGTATATACACATACATAGACATTTCTTGTTTCCATCTCCACCTGGGAGATTCACGTCGACATCTCTGCGTCGAGGTTGGGGGATCCTTCGGAGGCTGTCTTGTTCGATCAAGTGCGGCCGCAAGATATCGACCAAGGAGGTGCCGTGTTGCCGCGTTTTCCAAGGAAAGTGAGACTAGCTTAGAATAGTTTATAATAACATGTTATAATATATTCTAATGACTATTACATGTTGAAATATTCTAATGTTTTCTATGCATTTTTTTAAATAGAATATAATGACTATCAGAGTGCTAGGGAATGAGAACGTGTTTATTATCTGCTTATAGAAAATAATGACACATACTCATTCAATGATTAAGAATAGTTCATAATGACAGCTTACTTAGTGTGGTCCCACTTTCAATACAAAAAAAACAATGGGACTACTGTTGTTCATGACGTGTCAATCATGAAAAGCTCTGGTAGGTCTGGGAGATTGTTGGCTGATGGCAGCCTTGGCGTGTTTGGCTGAGTACCCAGCCAAGCTCAAGGGCCTCTTCGAGAGCAAACACATCACCGAGGTGATGGGGGCAGGGCGAAGGAATCGATTTTCACAGCGGTGAAGCATGAAGATTGAGTGTGGCATATCAGGTTTCAATGAGTTTACTTCTGAAGGCAACTTCCTACATATTGAAATTGAAGATATGTTCAACCATACTGAAAAGATGATCCCGATGGAACAACTTGAACTGATCAAGTCTGGGCTGTACCATGCACCATTTTCCCATTTGTCAATGTTTGACACGCCAGGATGGCAAGTATCAAATCTCCCTCTTCGATGTGGAGAAGATGGAATGGACTCCTGTGTCCTGATCTGATTGTTGACAGGAGGTCCTTGCCGATTTTGTGGGGAGGTTTGGAAGATAGAAAAAACCTTGAACCAAACACTGCGACCTTGACCATAAATGATGGCTTGGGATTTCTTCTAATTATTCTAATTATCATCAAGCGTTTTTTGATATGGGACAACTGGACCTGGCGGGTAAATTCGCGGTTTCGATGCCTTGTCTCCCAATCATTGAGTCCTCTTAGAAAAGACTTCTTGCACTTGTCAAATGTTGTGGTTTGCACATCCCATTTTGGGACATACTCATCTAGTTGATGGGAGCCGCATTTAGGCTTCGAAGCAACTCAACCCGAGGTGATCGTGGATGAGTTTGTGCCATGCAAAATCCGCCGGGGTGAGCCGGCGCCTTGTTTTGCGGAACCCTTGGGGGAAGAACTCTGGGTGCAACTTTTAGAGAAGGCGCCCTGATGGGGAACCGTGTTGGGCACCCGTGGCACCAGTCCATGGTTTAGTGCAAAACACACACCCATCTGGACCCTCGATTTTGAATCTGGAACTGTGTTCAGAAATTCCTGGGAGTGGACATTTATCCGACACCTGCAGCAGCTTTGCACAGGGTTCCACCAGTATTTCCTGCAGGTTATCACCTTTTGAAGGGACAAAAATCCATGGCGATGTTCCACAAGCTGCACCTCCGGGGTTGGCTCATCTCATGGGACGATGGGCCAGGCAGTAGCCAAGTGGTGTGGTAGTTATGGCATGCTTTCAGGCCGGGGGGAAGGAATTCCACCAGGAGAGTTTACTTGGGAAGATTGGCGGGGAAAGCTCCAGATGTAAACTGTGTACTTGGGAACCCAAATGACAGTTACTTGGGATGTTTCTGTACTCTGTACTTTGGATGGCAGATTTGTTGAGATAAGATATGATTGACAGGAGCAGCATGTCTTGTGGGTTTAATCTTTGATATTACCACTAGTAACTCCATAGAGTTTTCCATTTTGTTTATAGCCATGGAGCTGATGACACCCAAGAGTCGCTGGTTGAAGGGCTATTTTCTGCAGGAACTCCCATGGAAAAGGGTGTTCCCCTCGTGTCAACGTAACTCTTCCCAAAGGTATGTTGGTAAAATATGGTAAAATCATCATTCTTGCTGCCTCAAACTTTGGTATTGGATAGGGAACAAAAACCTTAGATTCCTTAGATTATTCCATAGCCTGATGACTTCAGCGAAATCTCGCCAGGCGGTTTCGTGGCTTGGGCATTTCAGTTACTGACTGGCGAGGCACAGCGCTTGGTGGGGCCAGGGGTCTGAGGCCTGGTTGGGGATAAGTTCTTTGGCACAGGCTGTCACAGGCTTCTGTAAGGGTTGTTGGGTGGTCAACCCCACACACAAAGGTGATTGTTATAGAGGAAATATAAGGAGCGTTGTGAAAATAGGATACCCTGAAATTCCATGGTTTAATTTTTTGAAACCTCATGTTCCCTAGATGGCCCTTTCTTGCAGGTAAATCACTGTTTTGGACAAAAGTGGTGATTTTTTCCTCGCCACCCACTGGCTTCTTGTCCAAAGTTGGTGAGATTAGAAGGAATTGGGATCGGGATGAACATGATGAAGCGAACGAACTTGTACGCCAGATCTGCCTGTAGAGTCATTAGCTCCGACGACATGGACGGCAGCAGAATTCCCATCAGAATTCCGTTTTTTTTGGGTCGGATTGTCTGACAGGTCGCCTAAATTCCAGTGGCTAATCATCATTTTTTGGTTTATAATCATTTACCCAATTAAAATTATGATTTCTGGGGTGTGCTGTAACCCCCCCTTTTTTGGAGACTGACCCCTTCAAAAAGGAAGAGGAGCTTCCCGGTTCCCGCCAGGCCGACCCAGTGAGCTATCGCAGGTACAAGGACAACAGTTGGAAACGTCGATATCTGGGTCGAAAGGCGCAGATTCAGATGGGTGCCAGGCGCGCTGAAAAATTTTCGGGTCCCCGGGGTCCCCATTTTTGGAGAAACACTCCTCCAGGGTTTCTCCCATGATTCCCATTTCCATTGGTGAATCCTCTTAAATCCACAGGAAAATCCTGGAGAAAATGGGGCCCATTTTTGGAGCCATTTTTTCCAGGTCTCCTAGACATGCGCCCTTCTACTACTCTAAGGCGCAAGCAGATGGCATCTCGGGTGGAATGATGGTGGTCACAACGTACATAGGGAGAATTCACGAATTTCACAGGAAACATAATGATAACCGATGGGCTACCGCATTTTTAGACAACTCATGGACTAGGTTCCCATCGTGGGCGCAAACTGTGGCATGCTGCAGTCAATGGTCAATACAGCGCTGTGAAGTCAACTAACCATGCTGAAAGCTGAAAGTGGATGCTTAGATGTGTGTAGCAATTTAGTCCATTTTTGCATGGCTCAAATGTATTTCCATTCCCGAATTGAATGCGCCCAGCAAAAAGAAACAAGTCCCTTTTGGGAGGACAAGCCCGTGCCCATGGATGACTTCTTCCACGTCATGAAAGAGCACATTGACAACCACCATGTGATCGCTGCCAGTATGGACGGAAGTCCTGAAAAAACCGAGGACCATATCACGATGAAAGATGGAGGATGTGGCATGCGCAAGTTGCCAGCGTGACAGGGTTCCTGCGAAGAAGTGAGTAATGTCAACCCCGGATAAATAAACCATGGTTTATTAATTAGGGGGTATTCCTCCAATAGTCATAATCTAATACTTACATGGTACCCTCCCAATTAAACAACCTAGGGGTTTATTAATCCAGGGTTGACATTACGGGTCAAAAGAGAATTTTTAGAACTTTTCCAGGATTTGGGCATTCTCAGTCGACCACAAAAATCGTTGGAATCAATGGCTTATTGACGGCCCTGTGGCAGCCCACCGAAACGATGCAGGAAGCGAGGGGCAATGGTCTCTACACCCGCCACGTCTATTCCATTCTAAACCTCCTGGATGAAGAGCTTGATGCTGGTGGCAGGGTCAAGCAACTTGGCGACACCAGAGACAGCGGCACTGTATGGCACTGTGGCAGAAAGAGATGATGGGACTGAAAAGAATCTGTCATCAACTATGCTGTAGTCACTGTAGTCTGTGATGATCGGTTTGTATTACCTTTGTACACTTTCTTCCGATTTTGCCCATCACCTCAATGTCACTTTCCCATCACTAAAAAACGTAGAAAAGTGGCCGGAGCGAGGCGATCGCGGATCATCCGTGCTGAGGTTGATCCAACTTCGAAACCCCTGGGGAAATTGTGAGTGGACCGGTGACTGGAACGATTGCAACTTGGATTTCCAGGCTTCGAGGATTTGAAAAAAAACCTGCGAAAGCTGTAGGACCTCCAACTTATTTTTATCAAAAGTGCACAACTCTGAAAGTTGTAGAATTTGCCCACATCTTGATCATCTTGGCCTTTGGGGGGTCAAGTAAATCTTGATGGAATATCATGCGAGTTTGTAGATTATTATCCCATTTTGGCGGTTTCTTAAAATGGAGGTTACCCCCAAATCCTCCAAACAAATCGACTATTTTAAGCCCATGGTTTTCCATCAAAAATGGTACTCGTACCTCCAAATCCCATTGTTTACCATTATTTGCATCATTGATATCGCCATATTTTGGAGATATCCTCCTATTTTCCCATGAAAAGTAGGTTTATGAAGTTGATGTCCAGCTTTTCCCCACATTTTCCCATGATTTTTGCCGTATTTTCCCATGTTCCCCAGGTAAGGGCGCCCAGAAGTGGGTGGAGAATCCCAAGCTTTGGGAGAAAATCAATCCGCCTTCCAGAGCCTTGGCCCATGGAGTCCATGGGATGTTCAGCCCATCGAAAAATACCGTGTCCTTAGAGGTGTATAATGGTTAATATATGGTTAATATAGTGTTAATATATGGGTAATAGGGATATTAATGGTGATTTATATATAATAGGTTATTCATTTACTGGTTGGTCAATGTTTATAGGCCCACTGATGTTTTTTTTGGTGTACTTACCATATCTGGTTGGTGGTTTGGAACGTTTGGAACATTTTTTTATTTTTCATGACTTTCCATTCAGTTGGGAATAATACTCCCAACCGACGAACTCATATTTTTTAGAGGGGTTGAAACCACCAACCAGATCTATAATAATATATATATATATACATATACATAAATATATCTATAGATACACAGAATCATATATATATATATATACAGCTATACAATAGAAAAAAACATGTATGTACATACATCATGTACAGACTATATATATATATGAATGTATGTATATATCTGCAACTGCTTGCGTTTCCTGGGATGTACATCAGAAGCTTCCTGAGTCCAGGTGCCCATGTTTTTTTTTCCAGTGTGTCCCATGAATTCCTGATATTGTTGGTGAAATTAACCCACAGTGTTATAAAATATGTCCATTACAGGTATGATCCATTATTTTTGGCAAATAATCAATACATATATATATATATATGTACACTTTGATGTATATATATATACTTATATATATATACACACATGACTATATTCAATGTCATTGTCGGTCAGATCCCCGTTTTTTGGGCGGTTCACCACCATTTTGGGGTAGTTGACACTCCAATTTCTTTCAGTTTCCCATCTACGGCCCAGATGTTTTTTTCTCCATGTCCCGATGATATACCCATTCTTAGCCGTTCGTGCATAGTCATTTCTTCTATCCATATACCCTCTGGTTATGACTAACATAGCCATGGAAGCCATTGCCCATAGAAATAGATGGTTTACCTAGCTATAAAATGGTGATATAGTGGATTTACCAATTAAAAATGGTGGATCTTTCCATGGCGAACTGTTAAAAATAACCAGATGGATATCCTGGGATCATCATGGGATATGATGGATCCATTTTTGGAGGTTTTTTGACATGGGAGTAGCCCCAAAATCATCGATTTTCATAGGCTTTTCCATTATAAACTATTAACAATCATCCATTTTTGGGTAGCCTCATTTTCGGAAACCTCCATATACCACAAAAAATGACTCGTTTTACGCCCAGAAAACGATGGCAGCTTCTACATGCCTTGGGAAGATTTTGCCAAGATCTATGACAACATCACCATTTGTCCAGCTCAATGGTTGCACGGTGCTGGGGGGCAAACCCAACCCCCAAAGCGGGGGATTTAGGGAACAAAACTGGAGGTAAATCAACCATGATACATGGATACAATGGATAATTTAGGGATATTCATGGTATATCATCAAGAGTATTATGGTTTTGTCCAAAACAATTTATTGATGGACATTTTGATTGAGAAAATTATGATCAGGCACAAAATTTTGAGTTGCCTGAATTTCCGACAAGCCAAATGTGAGGCAACTGATCACTGATCTATTCACCCAAAGGGGGTCACCAAGAGAGGGACTGATGAAACACAGTGAGGGGCAAAGGTTGTGAGAGGTGTCCCAAGTTCAAGTCGATTGAACTTGATACAGAGGATTTCAGCTGTTCAAACATGGAAGAAAGGATTGGATCATTTCCCGGTTCAATGATCCTTTCGCACTACTTCTCATGGTGTATCGGTATCTCATGGTGGATCATTTCAGCATATTGCTAGTAAAGATGGCAGCACTCTGCACGTATTGAATATATTGGCTTGGCCTGTGCAGTGTATATGTTTACCCTCCGGTAAACTAACATAACTATGGAAAATCACCATTTTTCATGCGCACATTCACCATAAATGGTGATTTTCCATAGTTATGTTAAATTACCAGAGAGTATGTATATATATATACATGTTTCTGGTGTAAATCACCAGATCACCATCTCAAGTTCAACAACCCAGAAGTAGAAGTCTGCTTTTTTTCGGGGCTGTTGCTACTGAAATCTATCTAGCTTATCATATCACATATCATATCCCTACATTATAGATAATCAGCCCCTGAGTAAATATCACCATTACAATATCGAGATGAAATGTATACCAACTCAACGGATCTATGAAATGGTTATACAGAAGAAATGGGGATGCTCATTTCAACAGATACGTTACATACATATACATAAATGTATATTGTGAAGTTCGAGACATCAGAACGGCCATGAACATCCTTTTCACATTCATATAGCCAAATGGTAAACCCCATGGGCATTTGGCAGGTGTCACATTTCGAATCTCCGCAGGCCTTGAGCGATTTATCAACTCCCATTTTTTTAAGAGGTATACCATTGATTGTAATATACCATTGTAAAAAGATAATATACCAACTCAATTTCTTCAAAACATATCTATTCTTTGAGTTATATATATATGTATATATATATATATATCTATAGTATTCTCCCCATTTCTTCGTTCTCCGAAATCCCTCCGTCGATCTCCAAGGTGGGCGCTGTGAAGATCCCCGCGGCCGAAGAGGATCCGGATGCCGAGGAGGCCACGGACGATCCCGCCGACTGAGGCGTGGTGGGGTGGTGGTTCAGCGCATGGAGATTTCACGGGAAAATGGGAGATTTCCTGGGATTCACCATAGAAAAATGTGGATTTCCTGGGATTCACCATAGAAAAATGTGGATTTCCTGGGATTCACCATAGCATAGAAAAATAGGAGATTTCACGGGACATAGAAAAAAAATGATGGGACCAATAAACCTGGGATTTACAACCGATGTTTTTTGTGTTTGTAAGAAGTTGAGTAATCGGGGCACCAAACATTTTAGACACACCCGTATGGGATGAAAAACAAGGTATTCAGTCAACAAATCTGCAGGTAAACCAACCATGATATTGAGGTTGGAACAGTAACAGGAGATACGATACACTCTGGTAATTTATGGAAAATCACAGATTTTGATCGATAAGTCATCTATAAATCGGTTATTTTCCATGGCAAACGGTTAAATTACCAGAGGGTAATGGCCAGGATATTAGTATATATATATAAATATCTTCAGTCTCTGTATGCAGAAATCAGTGATGGCCCCCAATTTGTGGCATGATAGGAACAAGGATGAGTGACCTGGATGTTGGAGTACCCAATTTTCAGACAAAATTGTGTCGTCAGGGTGATAGAAATGAGGATGTCGTAGGTAAATATGGAGGTTTCCTAAAATAGGGGTACCCCAATCATCCATTTCAATAGGATTTTCTATTGTAAACCATCCGGCGTTTTAGGGGTATCCCCAAGTATACGGAAGCCCCCATATTTGGGATTTTGACCGGATGTAAAGACTTTTCCAAAGATCATTTACCCAGGAAATCGTCCTGAATGGACTTGCCGTTTTCATGCCATTTTCATTAACGAAACAGAAATTTTGTTTTGGCATCCAAATTTTTCACCAGTGCTCATGGTTTGGCTCGTTGTTGGTTTGTTAGTTGTACCTTCCACATTTCGAGATCTCAGAATTTCCAACACACGCGCGCCCATGCATATACAGGTGTGTCTGAAAATGGGGGATACCGCCCAAATAGCCAAGTCATTTGAGAAAATGATGATCAACCATCAAGTTCTGGTGTACCTTATTCCGAGACCTATACTATCAATGTTCTTTGTTGGAAGTTTAGGGGTGTAATGAACAAAGTATGGGACGGATATGAGGAATCCAAAGGAGACTCCAAAAGTAGGCGCGTCCAAAAAGATCCCAAACTGGTTTCCCTACTGAACAAGAATCAGACCATGATTTCATGATGATTAGTCTTGAAAACCCAAATGATGCTGGTTTCAACAGTGGGATTCAACTACCCCACTGCTGAGATTCTTTCGGAATCTCACCATTTTGCTCGCCTGCATGGCATCGGCTCAAGTTGTGGCGCTTCACTTTTCCCAACTACCGTTCTTCGGCTGCAGCTTCCATGCTGTCAGCCTTCCATGTTGTGATCTCCGTTGCCCTGACCCTCGTGACCGTCGTGACCGTCGAGCTCACTGAGGTCTCATGTGAAGCCGAACTCAGCAGTTCCAGGAGCTTGTTGCAGTCCAAGGTGGATCTGGTGCCGCCGAAAGCGATGGTTTTCTACAATTTGTTTGCTGAGAACATGTTCCAAGTCCCGCTGGTTGCTAAGATCGCTCGGGGGCAGCTGGCACTTGTAGACCCGAAGCACTATGATCTTTCAATTAATTCAATTGGTGCTATCACAGATGTCTCCCAATTGGCTCTTGATCCTTTTCTGGCACAGAGAACGAGATTTGTTCATTATAAGGAAGGTCAAGAGACACTCACACTTCATGATGTTTGGTCCTACTGCAGAAGGCACGACGTGCTTCCCTCCCAGGCAGGGCATAATATGGCATAGACATTTGGAATGTGGACCGATTTTTTCCAGCATTTCAATGGCACCTTTGTGTGTTCGACTTCCCTGTTTTTCAGGTGGTTGTCTACGTGCATTCCAAGGGATCCTACCATCCTCATGAATTCCAAGACCAGTGGCGAGACTATGTGACCGCCGGAGCTTTGTCACAGGAATGTCGTTTGATGCCCGAGCACTGTAACATGTGCTCCTCCAGAATGTCTCCAGTTCCCTATCCGCATACCCCTGGGAACATGTGGGCGGCCCGCTGCGGCTATATTTCAGAATTGATGGATCCCAAGGCCGGTTCATATCCACGCTTGCCACATTCCACGGTAGAGTTGCCACACCATTTTGGTTGGTTATCTTCCATACTTTTTTGGTGTGCAATTTCTTCAAACCTGTTGATCAATTTCGTCAACTTCAAGTTTTCTGGGTCAAATGCAAAGCGGTGTGTGCTTTTCGTTCACTGCGCTTGTGACTTGTGACCCTCTTTTATTCTGGTCACGTCAGGATTTTGAGACTGCCACAAACAACTTTCAGACGGAAGTGGGTCCTGTTGATCTGCAATGCCCCACAATCGATGCTTGGGATTGCAAAAAATGCTGGTCATGAAAAAAGGTTTTACCCACTGATTGGTAAATCACAAATATATGTTTCCAATTGTTTTTATCATCGTTTCCGTAGGGATGGGTGATCCAGAAGTCGCAGGGGATTTGTTCTCTCTCTCTCTCTATTTATATATATATACTATATTTACTATTTATTTGCTTATTTTTGGTTCCTTAGTCCCCAAAGAAACCCTGTCATGCACTTTTGTGATTTTTCTGATCCCAAAAAAAAACACGATTTTTGGTTCCGGTCATCCCAGGATGGGTGCCAGGGTCTGGGTCGAGTGTCCTCTGAACACTGGGTTCAGTCGCATCCTCAGCTGCAGCCTTGTGACCTCGACGAGCAAAGGAAGGGCCAAAAGGGCAGTGGATAAAAGAACCCCACGATAGATGGGGAATATGCTACCTTTAACATATAGAATACTAATGATGATAATAATTTTAATAGTAACAAGTAATAAGAACAATATACATACACTGCGTATATATCTATATGTATATGTGTATATATATATGTACATGTATACGTATACGTATACGTATACGTATATGTATATGTATATGTATATGTATATGTATATGTATATGTATATATGTATATGTATATGTATATATGTATATATGTATATATGTATATGTATATATATATATGTATATATATACACATAACGGGGAGTATCAGAATCCATGAACTGGGAAGGGGCATGTTGCAGCTCCCCTGTTGCAGCCAATATAAACTAGGGAAGTTAACATGTCAACCAATGGAAGTGGGGTGTCAATCACAGAAAAGTGGGGATTGTCGACAAATCAAATTGTGACGAGCCAAGGAAGGAATGTTCATCAACAAAGATGCGGATGATAAGCAATAGGTCGAAGCATCAAAGCTTAGGGTTGACCCCAAAAATAGTCAGCCATCCTGTATGTTCATGCGGGTTTGTCTGAAAATAGGGCACCTATTAATTGATCCAATTTTCATCTAATCGTCTCAGCGTATCCCATTACTCGATCCCGATAAAAAAATCGACAACGACCCAAAGCTAGAGACAGCCAGGACCTATTTCAGGATGGCGATAAAAGATTATTGGAGATGATTTCCTTAATGTTCTTTCTGTATTAACCTGATGTTTCAATTAGTGACCTTCCAGTCTTAGTTTGGAGGACTTACACCTGGGGCCTTCCTGATGCAAAAAAGCTTCCAGCCGTGGTGAACTTTGTACATCATCCCAAGCTCCTGAAACCTGCCCCGCGTTTTCATGGAGACGCCTTTCAAGTGGACAGCGCCAGATGTGGCCAATGTGGTCGGAACATGTTGCGGCGCTTGTTGGAATACAGTTTTTTCTACAAGAAACACCCCAAGTCCTCCTGGTGGGGCTGGAAGTTCTTTGGTCATCGAAACTAATTCGCTGCAAGACATCATGGCACTTGTGGCACTTGGGAAAAGATGGCTTGAGTGTGGAGTTGGTTGGTGTAATCCTCAGCTGAGTTTGATGTTATTTTTTGCCTTTGATGTTTCGAAAAACCTTTTCTTTAAGTGAAACGAACGAAATCAGTGGGGGATTTTACTCGCAACCCAGTGATTATACAGTGAGACTTTAGCATGGCATATACAAGCGTCAGAGAATGGAGAAAAACCCAACCGTTTGGAGGAACATCAATCTGCGCTGCGCGAACACAGATGAAATTCCCCAGAATCCGACCAGGTTGGCCATCGCATTTCACCATATGCATAGATGAATTTGATCGTGACCTCACGTCGTGACGTCACTGGAAACACGTGGTGTTCGGACTCGGGGAAACATTCCAGTGCTGGCAAGTGTCAGGTCAGTGAATTATGACACCAGTTACCTAAAAAAGACTTTGGTTAGTACGCCCCCTAGTGGATGATTCCATTTATAGATGAACTAACCCCAGTCATTTAGAAATTGCGATTTTAGGGTATCCCATCCATTTTTGGAGCCGATTTTTGTGTTCTCGGCCCCCAGGTGAAGATGGACCTCATCTTGCTGGTGTGTTTGGTGGATGCTGGGAAGAAAAGCGCAGCCAAGATACATGTTTCGTATGTGGATCTTATTTATATGTGTACATATGTATTATAATGTGTATATGTATACTGTATATATATATATATGTACACTATGTAGACGAAATGTGAATATATATATATATACATAACAGAGTAAGTACATGATGAACAACAGACAAATGCCTTTGGTACCCTCTTGTATCTTCCCAGCGTCAATGAGTTTCATCATTCTGAGTGCCACAAATGCTGGCTCCACAACTGCAAAAACCTTGACGCCATTGTGGACTGCTCAAATTCGATGGTGCCAATGAGACTGCCTCGGAAGTTTGAGATATTTGACATCTGGCCATGTGTGCAGGTGTCGCTGAAACCTGGAAGAATGTGTTGCCGGTTCCAAAAACTCCAAAAGCCCGTCAGGTGTTGGCCTTTTTTTGTGGTGCCTCCGGCAATCAAACATGGCAATGAGAAATACCTTGTAAATGAGCTATGTTTGACCAATACAGTAAATCAATTTACCCAATTGACCCAAGTCTTTTTGAGTTGGGTGGTTTAACAAAAAGATACCCAACCGCCATCAGTAATAACCATAATTTATAGATGAGATCCTGGGAAAACCATTTGTTTTTCATGTCTATCTCAGTTCTACCCAGCGCGTTATCTTCTTGGCCATATATATATATCCCATTAATTCCTCTTACACCTCTATGATATCCCCATCGTATCTGTGTGATATCTTCATTACATCCCCATAAAATGGTAGTAATCATCAACCAATCATTAAAACTTGTTGTAATAAAATAATTCCCCAATACTGGATAGTAGTAATATTTGATACTTATAAAATAGTATTGTTTCATTCATCAATTACCCAAAATGCAATGTGGTAAACCCAATTATAAACCAATCCCTAATGTTAGCATAAACGGGTGGTATAAACCATCCCCAAATGGTAGATTTATAGATTCATTCTTGGTCTTACCACATTATTCCAATTATCCATTATTCATCCATATTCATTCATTATTGTTGGCTATACCACTATTATTTATCCATTATTGTTGGCTATACCACTATTATTTATCCATTATTGTTCGCTATACCACTATTATTTATCCATTATTGTTGGCTATACCACTATTATTTATCCATTATTGTTGGCTATACCACTATTATTTATCCATTATTGTTGGCTATACCATATTCATCCATTATTCATCCATATTCATCCATTATTGTTGGCTATATACGCCCATTATTTACCACTATTCTGGCATTGGCTCCACCACATCAATCGGTTTCGCCACAGCTGAGCCGAAGAGCAACATGAATCACATGATGGCCGTACTAGCCGACACAAAAATCCACCAGCAACAAACGTTGCAGATAAAAATCTGAAGCAAATTTGGCACAATTCCAAGAGAACAACAAAACATAGAAAATGATCATTAACAAATTAAGCAATCAACAGCAAACCAACAAAACCCCAACACAACATCAGCAATCAACAACAACTCAACAGCAAATCAACAGCAAATCAACCCGCCAATCTCTGGCACTTTTGCTGAACTCCTTCCGTGTCCATCTTCGACGCCATGACGACAGTGGAACGGCTGCCAGCCTTGCAGTACCAGAAGTTTGGGAACACGGCGCCTTGCCCAGTTGACCGCTTGTTGGTTGATGGTTGTTGCAATGTGGTGCCCGTCCAGGTGTTTGTTGGTTTAGAACCCCCCCATCATGAAAAAACATATGTTTACAATGAAACCACTTGCAAAGTAACTTAGCAAACTATGGGGCACTACATTGAGGGGTTTACCAGTAAGAGTTTGAAATATAATCCGCGACCATTCCAACCTACAAGGCAGTTCAGGGATGACAGTCTTGGGCGTAGCTCACTCAACAAACAGCTGGGGATGGAGGAAGATTGGATGGTCGGAGTAGATTATAGAGCTTCACAACGTTCTGACCATCAATGATGATTCATAGGAGGTATCATGTCAGGGTTGAGATTTGTGGTAGTAAAATCCAACAAACCGTTGTACCTAACTGTTCGCTCAAAGGTGCCAACCTTTGATTTCCCATGGTCCATGCACTGTTGGACCCCAGAAAACACGGGAGGCTGGATGAAAGATCAGCAGGACAGTTTTTTTAAATCATCATTTTCCACTAAGCCTGTGCTTACAGAATCATGCTAGTGATGCCATTTTTGTTGATACCGGGATCATACCTGGCTTTGGCACCTGCTAAACCCCTGCAAGGTGGTGCCCCATAGTTAGCTAAGTTGGTTTATAACTCCCATAACTATGGTTTATGGCAGATATAACTATAGTTAATGGGGCTTATAAACCAACTTATAACTGGGGGGCACCATCCTGTGCTGGTTGATGAATCTATCAGGGTTATCATCCATGAACTGAACTGGAAGTCGTCTCAACAGTCCCAGGACATGATGGTCTCCCGTGTTTGTGGCGGAACAATGATGTGGGGCACCTTGAATAAGGAGGAAAGCCATGCCGAAAAAAAAAGCCGTGCCATCGCTGCCCCCAGTTATTGCTGGTTGTTTTCTTCAGACAGTGAACCTGCTATGTTTTGGGTACCAAAGATTTGGAGCACTGCTCAAATGATGTCCTCTATGATTTTATATGCTTGTTTTTTTTGAGGCGAATTTGGAGGTGAATCCCAGTAGAAACTGCTGCAAAGCAAGTAGAAACTGCTGATGGTTCAGGTCATCCAATTATTTTCGGTCACTCGGCCACTCTGGTAGTTTTCCACGCAAGATTTCTGATGAAAGTGGATGACTTCGCTGTTGAACTTGGGTGATTTCCTGTTGCCATGCGACATGATCAGGGGTGTCATCAGTCCCATAGGTAGCTTCGCTGGAGGATTTTTTTGAGCGGAGCTGACTAGCAGAGAGTAGATGTGTCTCCTAATGGTTGAGTAATGGAGAGGGTCAACCCGTCAAGCCTCTTCACAACTCATAGGTAAATGATGGTAATTGGTATGCCAAACTGGCTCTTTATTTTGGAACTATTAACTATGAACGACTAGTTGAGAATTGTGATCAAGCAGTTATCAATCATGGCGGTCACAATCTTTCTATTGAAGCTACTGTACCTTTTCTTGATCACTCCTCGAATTAGAAGGGAAAATTTATACAGGAAACACCTACATTTGATTTCGCAAAGAACTACAACAGGTTTCCTGTTGAAAAATGTTTAACCCTGAAATCAATCCATTTGAATCGCCATGAATCGATAGGAGAAGATGGCCTTTGAACAGTTGGACGCCCTGCTGGACCTGGGAGTAAACTTCATTGATACCGCGGAGATGATGCTCGGCGACACCTTTTATTCTGGAGATTTTGGAGCTATTTTTTTTTGGCGTTGATAGAGCTAAAGAACTTCAACACTTCATCATACTTTATCGCCTTCAACAAAGTCACTAATTTTTACTTGGTTTCATCCGCTTCTTTTCATCCTTTTTCCATCCCTCCATCGGCGGAGGTATCCGGTGCCCTTCGAAGGTGGCCGGGTGACGGAGAAGTGGATCGGTACCTGGCTGTCCAAGTCGCTGAAGGAGGGCAAAGTGCAACGGGAGAAGTGCCTGGGATCCGATAATGGGGTGCGCTGGTGATGGGGAACGTTTGCCCAATGGGACCAGGCCAAGTTTTGGAAGTTGTTGGACAGAAAATCTGGAGTGAAGCAAGCAGAAGAGTGGATTTTGATTGATTTTATCAACAAAAATGGGGATATGATCAGCCAACAGTTGCATTTTCTGCATTTTACAACTCAGTTAGTGGTGTTTTTCATCGACAAATCAGGGGGTAGTGACCTCATGGGGAGGGGTTGGGGTGCAACCTCTGAGGTTTTACATCGCGAGCAAAGCGTTGGCTCCCCAGAGGGGCGAGATGGCCAGATGGCGAGAATTTTTGAAGTTTCTATGTCTGTGTTGTCGCTGTGAACATTTGATACATTTTGCTGAGTATCCAAAGGATGGCCTCAAAATAAGATGTACCAAAGAAATACTACGGTTGTTCCAACCTCGGGTGATTTTTTGTTGCCAATACTTAGTGGTACTTTTGGCTATTTTTGGCTACAATTCCTCACTTATTACCAAAACATCCAGTTCTTGTGGGTTTATCTTGTACTATCATATTTCCAAACATATATACAATTATTGGAATATAGTGTTCAAATGGTGTAGGAATAGCGTTTTCCAATTGTTGGAAACATAGTTTTCCAATGATTTGCAATATAGTTTTTCAATTACTGTAATATGGTACCGCTACTTATCGCTAATACTTATTTCCAATAATGGTTCTGCATTGTTTTTATAGATGCTTGGACATAATTGGACATACAATATATCCAATACAATTATTGATAATTTTTGGAGGCTCTATATATTTACTTATTGATTATAATCGGAAACCATATTGGTTCTATTTTCCAATGATTGGACATTTCAATTATTTCCAATAGATGAGTTTGAGTATAGTATTTGTTTCCAATTCTTTCCAATAATCAAATTTACACGAAATACTAACAATGTTCATGCTGATAAACAGTTCTCCAATTAGTATTTCAGGGTATTACTAATGATTAATTATATTTCATTGCTAATTACATGCTGATAAATACTAACTCAGATATTGTAATACGTCACCATTGAATGTTAAATACTCATATTACTGATGATACGTCAATACTAATTACATCTACCATCTGGTTATTTAACATAGCCATGGAAAAAATCACCATGCTATTAATAGGTAAACCCAGGTAAACCATCTATTTCTAAATGGGCCATCTATACCATGGCTATGTTAGTCATAACCAGAGGGTAATTACTGATATTAAGAATATATATATATTCAATTTCATACGGATGTGCTCAACCGCCTGGCAACATCTGGCAAGCCTTGAGGAATCCGTCCAACAGAGGAGGACCCGACCTGCCAGGTCGCCGTAGCCGTCCGCGGGTTGAAGGGTCGCTGTTAAAACATAGGGATTTCATATGACCCAACAGAATTTAGGATTGAAAAAGGTAACCATTCCTTTCTGGGGATATAAAGGGAATATTTTAATCAAGAATGTATGATATTTGGGTGTGTCTGGAAATTCTTGTATATCCGCAATGACCATCAAAGAATTTGAGAATTGACATATCAAGGTTTTGTCTTTTGGGTACCCTATTTTCAAACAATCCCAGATACCACCCTGAAACCATCTTGAACATTATTTTTGTTTGGAATGAATCTTTGATAATATGGAACCTTCGATTTTTTTTTGGGCAGATTGTGGATCAAAATTTCGTACAGGATTCAACGAAGGAACAACTTCCACAACTTCACAGCGGGTTGCAACAGACAGACGAAACCCCAAAATAAAAATGTGTAGCGGGAGATACTGACAATAAGCCAACATAATACAGTGAATATGAACATAGATATGGAAAACGATGGAAAACCAATCGTGTTCCAACGAGAATTATCTACCTTCAATTGTGGGGTTTCCAGAAATTAAATCATCACATTTTCAGGTATTACCATTCAGATATTATCATTCTTATTCATTCTTAAAATTTCAGATAAATCATTCTTACGGCTTTCAACACAACACATCAAGGATTTCATATGGCTTTTATCTCTCAGAAATCATGACGCTGAATCCCCACTGCAGGCCGGAAAAAACCTTATGGTTTCGATGCAGCTGCTCTGATGGCCTCCTGTAAAGCATCGATCGAGCGAATGTCGCTGGGATTGGACTGGATTGTGGAAATGGGGAGTTCATGTGAGATAGAAGAAGTGGGAAAGTTACCCTACATGGGCTTCTAGGGATTTTCGCATTCCAACCACCATTTTATTTGGGGAGTGTTGAATACTAGGGATTACTGCATATTCAGAGGGGTGAACTTTGAGACTATGGGCCCCAACTCACCCATGGAGCTTCCCATGCCATGTTTTCCCAAAAAACCCTCCGTTTCGGCCCAACGGATGGATCCCCATTCTGCCATGTCGGTGTGAAAAGCCGGGTGCCTGACTGGCCTGACCCGCCTGACCCTCCATTTCCGCCACTTTTGATGACACAAAGAGAGGCCGCTTTCTGTTTCCGGCTGCCCGTCCGTGGCTCAGGAAATGTAAATACATTGATCTCTATTACCTGAGACTTGTCTGCAGAGACTAATGGACCCATGGTCGGCTACAACCAGCCAGGGTCTTGACCTAGGTAAAAGAACTTCCAGGGTGATTAACTCATAAACATGATTGTTGATTATATAATTATATATATATATGTATGTATATATATATATATTTATAAATAAATAAATAAAGATAGATATGTATATACATATATATATATATATATATACATTTATAAAATAGATCATTTTAGTTGGATTCTAGTGGATGAGTAGGGTTTGAAATACTTCCAGTATGCTCCAGAGGCATTGGCCGTCTCGGAATGTGCCGGTCTTCGGTTGCTCCTCCTTTTATCCGGACAAGAACCGGCCGGTCCCATCGTTTGACAAAGGCGCGGTTCACCCGGGAAAGCGGGGCTTTTGCGTGGGGGAAACCGCGGTTGAAACCGTGCGGCGGTGATTAGGATATTTTGGTGCGATATTTTGTGAACATGTTGAAATAGGCGAAACGTCTGATGCAACGGTGGCACTCACAAAATGTCAAAAACGCTCACTGGCCCATGAAAAAGACGGTCTAAATGATCCGGGCAAATCAGCCAGGGTCTAATTGGATGATTCGTTTACGCCACGTTTTGTAGTAGTGACCACAACTCACAATTGAGTTCCCATTTTTGCCGATTTAAGTGACCTTCTGTGAGTTTAACGATGAGCAATGAATCAAACGATATTTGCAATGATGATCCCCATTGAAGAGAATATTTTTTCAGGGAGATTGACACCACCACCAACCAGAAGTTTTTTGTCATTGTAAAGCACCAGTTTTGAAAGTCAAACCACCATTTTTTGGATGGTTAAGTCACCGTTTTTGATGGTTAAGTCACCGTTTTTGATGGTTAGGTCACCGTTTTTGATGCTTTCACCGTTTTTGTTTTCATCAACTTCTTCCTCGCCCATGTTACGGCCACTTTTTTTCAGCGTCGCGCTGTCACCAGGTGAAGCGGAGACGTTTGAGGCACAAGTCCTGGCCGTCAAAGCTCTTTTGGATGAAGGAGATTTTTGGTGATGTCCTAAATTCCCATTGGTTGGTTGATTAGATGGGTTGCTGGGGGGTTGCTGGGATGATTATTACTAGTGATGACTGGGATCATTCCCATTTGGTGATCTATGGAGATCGGTGGAGGGGTCTCTGGTTCGGAATTCCAGGATCCGATTGGAGGTAGCTACATGTAGCTACCATTGGCGGCCAATGGATACCGCATATCCCCAGAAAATATGGCCTTATATTATATGGCCTTGACTGGTTGATATTTCGATAATATGAATATCTAGATGAATATATTTGGATATGTGATGATATGTGGATATAAAAATGTAATATGTATATATACATCTATTTGCATATATATATATAGATAGATCCTTGATATATTTTATAATGATGTCATATTGTATATATGGTATATATATATACATGTAGACCTAGATGATTTATATTTCTATATATTTAGATGAATATTCAATGGGATATGATGGGATATGAATAGTACAAACCTGGATGAATTATAATGACACACACATTATATATATATATATATCCGTATAGATGATTTGATATTATATATATACAGATGTTATAACCCTTGATATGTATATATATGATATATATATATGATATGTATATATATATACACAACAATAATACATATTGATGTATATACATGGTTACACATCATGACTTGTGTTGTGTGTTGGATTCCCCAATTTTTTTTATACACCCAGCGCGAGGATTGATTAAGTATTGGGCCTTGTCCAATGAAAACAACTACGGCGCTCCTTGGAATCCAAAGCGCGGAATGTTTGACCCTTGGGAGCTACCCTCTGGTAAACTAACATAACTATGGAAGCCATGGCCCATAGAAATAGATGGTTTACCTATTAATAGCATGGTGATTTTCCATGGCTATGTTAGTCATAACCAGATGGTAAAAGCCAGTTGATTGCACTCCCATCGTATGTTCGACTCTTGATGCAAGTTCAAGGATTGGTTTGGAACTGTGGAGGTGAACATGCGATTGACAATTATTCAATGGGAGATCTTCAGGATCCTAAAATGGAGGTACCTACCATATATAAGGCATATATAAGGCCTATGTAAGTGAATATCACCACAAAATATGGCCTTATATGGTACAGTACCTCCATTTTAGGATCCTGGAATTCCCATTGAATTATGCTGAAGATTTTTGCATATTTCGGTCCCCTACCTTTTGGACGTATGGAACCATGAGCCATGCACACCTTAATCCGGTGGGCGGAGTGGGGCTGCGTCCCTTGGCATCACATTACTCTATTCAATATTCCATACGGGTGTGTCAGAAATAGGGTACCCTCTGGTATATTAACATAGACCCTGGCAGATAGATAGGGGTTGGAAGACTAGTTTCCATTAAACATAGGTGATTCTCAGGGTCTATGTTAATTTACCAGGGGGTACCTGATGGTACCTAAATATTGGTTTGACTGAAAATGAGGCACACCCCCCAAAAGGCGATTGTAATGACTTACATGATGATGAATGCAATGGATTTACTTCAGACATATATTTGATGGGTATTTTTTTTTATTTTCCCCATTATTTTATGGCCATAGCTTGGAATTTAGAATGTAAATTCCCCATGTTCAGGTCCCACACCCAATATTTGTATCGACCTTGCAGTCAGACTTGAGTACTTTAACAATATATATATATACATATACACACATATATATAATATACTAACCAACTATGTACAATATTGTTATTTTTTCAGGGCATCTAGGGTTTGCCATGATACCGTTGTTTCAACACGGCGAGACGATGACGATGGTGATACGACGGATGCGAGGTGACGATGTTTATCTTGACCTGCGACAAGCTGGGCGTAGCGCGGCCGGTCTGTGTACAGAATGACTACAGCTTGAACAACAGAACCTTCGATGAGGAGACTCTGTTGTTGGCTTGGTGAAAAATGTTTTTTGACACGTGTGGAAAGTCACGGTCATTTGGAAGATTTTTCAGAGTTTTCAGGCTTTGTGGACCCCAAGAATCGGCGCAGAGATGGGGATTGAACATGGGGTAGCCTCAATTCCAATGGTTGGGAGTTTAGAACCTCATTTTTCAGTTTTTCAGAGTGGTATTTTGGATCTCCCCCCAGATGCTTCTGAAACTGACTTTCCAGGTCCAAAAAGTCAGGAGGCTGAACATCAGCCATCAGTTTTGATAGTTGAAACCATCTTTGCCCCATCATAAAAATGGCAATAGCTTTTAGGGGTATCTACCTCCCATTTATTAAAGACACATCGAAATCCATTATTTATGTTGTTAAATCTGTTTGTATCATGATAAATCATTGTTTTAGCTGGATCAAATCCTGATTTGAAGGTGATATTCCTATTAACATCCCTATTTATAGATTATTCACCTTATCTACACTACATAAGCATGTGCTGATACCATTTGGCACTGGAGGATTGTTGGGAAGCTTGTCACCGTTTTGGCCTTGTGAGTTGTCACTACGGCATTCTCGGGGGCGGCTCCCTGTTTGAAAAATTGGCGTTTCCTAAGTGGGGTTTCCTAAAATGGATAACTAGGGGTACCCCATTTTAGGACACCTCCATATGTATGTTCGGAAAATTGGCGTTTCCATGTGTTTCCCAACTAGACAGACTTTTTTTTTTGTTTTTTTTGTTTCCCCACCTCGATTCCAAGCTTTGGAAAAATCTGGTGCTCAGGTGTCTTGACGGGCAAATATTTGAGGGACTCACCCTACGCCAAGAAGGTGCGGTGATGGAGCCTCTCTCGGAGGATTTTGAGGGCTGGAGCCTCTGAATTCTTTGGTAACGCTGGAGCCTTTGGAGCCTATGAATTCTTTGGTAGGAAAGTGATTCAGCAAAGCTGAAATGATTGTGTTGTTGAAAATGATGTTTTTTTAAACAAATCCCTTACCCTCTGGTGAACTAACATAGCAATGGAAGATCACCATTCTTAATGGGAAAATCCACTATTTCTATGGCCATGGCTTCCATTGCTATGTTAGTTCACCAGAGGGTATTCAATTTGAGATAGTTTGTCTAGTAATCCTGCACCAGTTGATAGATGGTTCATCCCATTATTTATAGGGTTTCGACCATCCTTTCGGTGGTGCAGGATTTCGCAACCATCCACCGTAGTTTGTCTAGTGAGAATGATTTTTTTTCGGCCTTCGAAACACACCCAAGTTCCATCTTGGAGACACTTTTTTCGGACAGCTAACTCTCTCACGTAGCGGCCGGGATTGAGCATGTGGGGTTTATACAAACCCCCCATTAAGTATAGATATGGCTATGGATCAATACATATATATGTATATATATATATATTATGTATATATATATACATATACATACATACATACATATATATATATACATATATATATACACATGATTTTTAGGGGGATGAAGATCCATTTACGAACTATTTTGATGTGAACTAAGGGGGGTACAAAGCTTTTGACCCATAGCCATATATCCAATATAAACCTTAGTGAAGCTACCTGGGTCCCCACCTTTAAGATTAGTATTATGGATATCTACCAGCGATTGGAACCAGCCAAAGCTGATTCAAGTATCATTAAGTCTTTTGCCGAACAGAATATGAAATGAAATCCACAAAGTAAAATCATACTGGTTATGTACCACAAATGATTGTCGATTTACAGATGGGTTGCATTTTTTTCAGATCTAGTGGTATAAAAAACCACATTTGGGTAGATCCACAAGATCAATTTGGGCCAAATCTTCCCAGCTTGGATTCTGGGACCATCTACGATGTCCAGGATGGGATGATCCCGTGCCAGGACAAGGACTTATCTGAGTGTCGTCACCATGCCCGGCCCGACTTTCAGCCCCGCTATGTGTATCCCATGTCCATGAAGGCCACGGTTGGGCGAAGTTTTTAGAGCAGGTCATGGATTTTTTAAGGGTCTTTTAAGCAACAAAAACAATGGGATAGTTAGCACCAGTTAATTGTTGGTGATCTTTTTAAAACCAAGAAGGAATGGGATATTTTGCAAGGATGGGGACATCCCAATTCTTACTGGGAAGATGTAGGAAGATCATCTATTTTCAGAAGAGGTTTTCCATTGCCAGGTATCATTGGGGGCATTTTTTTGGATGGGGTCATACAACCTACGATTGGAGCCATGTCCAAACGTAGCATGGAGGTTCCAATGGGAAAATGATCGATCAATTGTGGATTTCCCAGCAAGCCATGGTCACTATGGTCTAGCTCCTGGGCCGCCGCAACCTATCAATTTAGATAATTTTTGGATACTCTTGGTTGGTCAACCTCCGTTTTTGCTACTTGAACCTCCATGTTTTGCTGACATCCATGCTGGCTAAACCACCTTTTTTGAGAGTTTAACTACATCTTTTAACGTTTAACCATGTTCAACCATCATTTTTCATGATCTTTGTCAGTAAAAACTACCACATTTCTCCTTTTTTGGTTGATTGAACTGATTCAACCTCATAAAACAGATTAAACCTCATTAAAACTGATAAAACCTCTATCTGTTGCTTCAGCCCCTGTTTCTGTCGCTGCAGGCCGCCGAGCGCTACGCGAAGCTGGCCGAGAAGTACGGCCTGACGCCCACGGAGTTGGCCTTGGCGTGGGTCGCTTGGTTTTGAGCCGGGTTTTATATGGTCATAAAGTGGATGGGCGGTTTTGAGGGTCGGTGTTTGTTGGGTGGACAATATATATCTGTGATTGTGTAAATATAAACATACTTTAATATAGTGGAAATACACTGGGAATTAGCCTCTGGTTATGAATAACAGTTCGCCATGGAAAATCACCATGCTATTAGGTAAACCGGTAAACCATCTATTTCTATGGGCCATGGCTTCCATGGCTATGTTAAATAACCAGAGGGTATATTGGGAATATTGTGATGGAAATTATACTGGGAATATGATGGGAATATCATGAATAGAATGGGGATACAATGGGAATCTAATGGGAGTCTAATGGGAATCTAATAGATACAATGCTATATAGATGTCTAGTTGGCATGGAAATATACTGGGGATACAATAGATAAATTGGGAAAATTATAGGGATATGATGGGGATACGATGGGAATATAATGGATAGGTGTGGGTAATTGCTACAAGGTGAACCCCCCAAGTGATGAGAGCGTATTAACTACAGTTATTCCAACTATATTCATGGTTTTTATAACTGTGATATGATTACTTTAGGATATATAGTTGGATTGTAGTTGGGACCATTTTCAGGGATTTAATGGGCTTGATGAAGCAATGATATGATTGAGCCATTAACAAAATTCCTGGTTGAGTCGTTAATGTCAGGATTTATATGGTTTCCAACCAGAAAACATGGAGATAGATCAAGATATAACTGAAAAAATAGTTTTGTTGATTGTTGAATTTGTTGGGACCTATACTGGCAACTTATTTTATAGGGCATTAAGCAGTCGTGCAGTGAGCGCTATCAACCGACTAGTATTTTATATGCATTCCAAGTTGCACAAAACCTGGGTTGGTAGAGAAACACCGGGATTTCGGTATAGAACTATAAACCCAACGTATTTCATGGGGTTATTACATGTTATTACTATTTACAATTGCTACGGGGATGTGATGAAGATATTATTTTCGGATACAATGGCAATAATGATGGGATTATAGTGGGATAAGTTTCAAAAAACTTGGTTGACTGGTTCCTTCACAGGGGTTTACTGCAATCAACATTTATAGTTTTTGTTTCAACCACCATAATTGATAAATGTTGGTACCTGCTTGTTTGATTATGTTTGGGAGATACAACTGAGGTGTCTGTTGAATCAACCATGACTTAGAGGGGGTTGAACCATCAAACATATGGATATGTATTCCTGAATGACGCTTGATGATTAGTTTGAGGCTCCCACTACCGTTTTATACATAATTATTGGGGAGTACCCTGATCCACGGATTGGGAATCTTCATTCAACAACCAACCAGAAAAACATATTTCTTCATAGGTTTTGGACACTTCTCAAAGTGAGGAGATTGAGGAGCAACAACTGCAACAACTGCTCTGGTTGACCTCCCATCACACCTTTGGGAGTAGACCCTATTTTTAGACAAGCCCACATGTAATCAGCAACAAAGGAATCCAACCTAAGAAGGAAAATACATTGATAGTAGCCGCTATATTCTTTGCCTGGTCTGTCAAGCTCCCCACATGATGAACCCAGGTATATATATGGTTTATGGGCTGGAACCATCAAGTAGCACAAAACAAAAAAAACATACCATACATTTCTTCCATGATTTTCCCACTTGAAAAATGGGTAAAACCCATGGTAAAACCCATCCATTTTCTGGTGACCTTGGCCACCTTGGTCACCTCCTTTCAGGCCAATCAGCAACCTCACGCGGGCGCTGTGATCATCGGCACGACCACCAAACGCCAGGCCTGGAAAGTCACAACAGAAAAGGCCAGAAATCGTGGGAAAATGATGGGTTTTACCAACAAAAAGTGGGAACATGATCGAACATTGTGGTCATAATTTGAGAAACTTCCGTTATGACCAGGTTTAGTGACCATTATCACCAATTATCATCCATAATCACCATTCAATGTAGGATTGGAGAGACTCGCAGGTGTCCTTTCTGGTTGGTGTTATCAACAAAAAGGTTACTTACCCACTCGGTAGTGGGATGTTCCCCACTGGGTGACTTTCCAACCACTTGGTGGCTCACTCCATGAACAAAATATCCACAGCACGTCGGGTTAGTCCAGTCATAGAGCTTGTGATCCACCTAAGATTCCTGGGGTTTTCTGCAGCAAGGCACCCAAGTAACCATGTTTCCTCAGCCCTTGGCTGGGACACTGGAGCCTTGAAATTCAGGGAACAGCAAGTGGGCCATAAAATGCTGATCAGAATCAGAGTCCCAAAATTCGATGGTTCGAAAATCTCTGGTGTTTTCAAACATCGTGGCTTTTCATGTTCTACCCTCTGGTAAACGTTTACATAACTATGGAAAATCACCATGCTATTAATGGGAAAACTCACTATAAATGGTCATTTTCAATAGCTATGTTAGTTTACCAGAGGGTATTGATGATCATGATGATCCCCAATGACCATAATGACCCTATGGACTAAACAGGTTGGTTGGCTCAGCCCTGAGGTGGAGGAGTGCGTTGGCGCCTGCAAGATCTCAGTCGCTTCCGTGGCATGGAGCTGATCTCATAGATCCCATGGTTTGAACAGAATCATGGACCATCTCATGGCGAAAAAACGTCCCATGAAAAACGTGATTTGATGTAGGGGGTCGTCCGTTGAAATATCCAATGAGAATCCTAGGACATTTTCTTCGCCACATGATATCCAATCTGTTGACTGGTCAAATTCCCATCTAGTCAATGGCCATTTCAGGTACCTAAACTGGAGGCACTGTACTAAATAAAGCCATATTTTGGGATATATCCTGTAAACGTAGCCTTTACATAGACCTTCTATATGGTAGATACCTCCAATTTTTCTCGGTTCCTGAAATGGCTACTGATCATATCCCAATGGTATCCAAGTTACATCCAATTTTTACATTCAATTTTATATGCAATATCTCTCCATTGGATATTCCCAACATATTCCAACATCTCCATGATATGCCGGCCTAGGCCTTGCCAAAAGAGCTCCTGGCCGAAATCGACGCGGTTCATGAGGACGAACCAAATTGGAGGTTTTGGTGCAGAGGCCATGGGCAAAAGTTGGGGCGTAAGCATCAAAACATATCAAAACTGGTGGTTTAGAAGCCGGTTTAGCTGCTTTTCTAAGATTTAAGCAACAGCAAATGTGGATTTCAACTGAAAAGCATGCCGGTTGTTGGAGAACTGAGCAATTTGCCATGGCAAGTTACATGGATTTAGCCATTGAAGATGGGGATTTATATTCATATCATGGGATATTGAGGGGGATATCATGTTTTGCTTTCCTCAACTACAACTTTTTGAGTTGACTCACCTTTGGTGGCCACTGTGAGATGGTCATCCCTCCATTCATGGAGGTGATCTGGAGACATGATAAGGAAACCCATCAGTGGCGGCCGATGGCGGGATGAGCGTGTTGCTTTTTGATGACCAGCGCGGCAGTCAGAAACGCTGAGACCCTTGAATCAGAGAATTTCTTCTGATCCATGCAGAAAGGATGCGACCGCTGGTGCCCCAGGAGTTTCGCAATCCCAATCAGTTCTTCGTCAACAAGGACCGAAAATTGGGGGTTGGAAGGTCGTGCTGGGTCGTGGTGGGAATTCAGACACCCCAAAAATCTATCATCCTGTGGTTTGTTTGTTATACAGAACAGGAAGTGAGACTCTTCTTATATGTCAATGGGGTATATCCCCTTACATAGCCCTTATATAGGCCTCAAAAAAATGGTAGGCACCTCCAATGCCCATTGAATATGAAGAGCATCATGGTCTCTTTTGTGGGAAGCTGAGCAAATTTCCGGCCGAGCCGAGCCTACCTCTGCAAGGAACGTCCAGCACTGCCCAGCACCCTTTTTGCTTGGGGTTAGGGGGGGACATTTCACAGGGAATTCAAGAATCAATCCCAGATTTTTTTTGGGAAAAAAGGCCTGGTTTCTGCCTCAGGACTTGGTGTCTAAAGCGCCTTGGGCGGAGGCAGCGGAGGCGGCATCCCAGTCGCAGTTCTAAAAGAGTGGCGGCCCCTGATCTGAGAATCACCCTGAAAGAGATATCTTCCAAGTCCCTAAACATAGCAGGGTCTATATTCATGTGAGGAATGGTAGCTCAGCTTTAGGTTGTAGTGGACGTTTTTTTTGCAGTGTTTCTTTTGTTTTGCTTTACTATATTTTGTTCGTTGTTCCTTTTGATACTGTGATGGTGAAACAATCTCTTTTTTTCCATGTCCATTTGGCAGACCACTTCTCTCATAAGGAATAAAGGGCAAACTTAATACACAAGCAGAACATGAAACCGGTCCCTCCGTTTGAACTGGGTTGGGGTGAAAGAGTATTGTAGTCCATCCCTCAGATATGAACAGTTTCATGATATTTCTTCTGTTCTGTCACTGCTTTGGCTTTAGCTCTCAACCCGCAACTCCTCCTTTGCGGGGCAACATGGCGCACATGGCGCGCGGCCGAGCGCAGGTTTTGCCCTGGTTTCTCGGATCCTCCACGATTGATTGAGTTTCTGGTGCTTTTTGGACCAGTAAAACAAGCGTTTCATAAGGTGAATTGGTCCAGGGGTTCAAAGAGGTACGCATCCAAAGCCGAAGAGAGTTTCGCCCCAAATCAATTGTCCTCGGGCTGATCCACCGATTGCTGCTCGGATAGTCTTGACGAGAATCCTCCATGCAGTCAATTACACAGATTATATACATATATCTGTAATGTGTATAATATGTTATGGCATGTATACGTCTATCTAATCTATCTATATAATCTATCTTATCTTATCTAATCTATCTAATCTATCTAATCTATCTTGTCTATCTTATCTATCTAATCTATCTATATAATCTATCTTATCTTATCTTATCTTCTCTTATCTTATCTATCTTGTCTATCTAATCTATCTAATCTATCTAATCTATCTAATCTATCTAATCTATCTAATCTATCTAATCTATCTAATCTATCTAATCTATCTAATCTATCTAATCTAATCTATCTAATCTATCTAGTCTATCTAATCTAATCTATCTAATCTATCTAATCTATCTAATCTATCTAATCTAGTCTATCTATCTATCTAATCTATCTAATCTATCTAATCTATCTATCTAGTCTATCTAGTCTATCTAGTCTATCTAGTCTATCTAGTCTATCTAGTCTATCTAGTCTATCTAGTCTATCTAGTCTATCTAGTCTATCTAGTCTATCTAGTCTATCTAGTCTATCTAGTCTATCTAGTCTATCTAGTCTATCTAGTCTATCTAGTCTATCTAGTCTATCTAGTCTATCTAGTCTATCTAGTCTATCTAGTCTATCTAGTCTATCTAGTCTATCTAGTCTACCTAGTCTATCTAGTCTATCTAGTCTATCTAGTCTATCTAGTCTATCTAGTCTATCTAGCCTATCTAGTCTATCTAGTCTATCTAGTCTATCTAGTCTATCTAGTCTATCTAGTCTATCTAGTCTATCTAGTCTATCTAGTCTATCTAGTCTATCTAGTCTATCTAGTCTATCTAGTCTATCTAATCTAATCCTATCCTATCTATCTATCTATCTATCTATCTATCTATCTATCTATCTATCTATCTATCTATCTATCTATCTATCTGTATATATGTATATATGTATATATGTATATATGTATATATGTATATATAAGCATGATAGATGTATCCAGACAATTCCACTTGTCAAGATCACCTTCCTATGAAATCATCGCTGCGAACTCGCCAGGTTGTGCCTCTTTGTCGCCTGACCGCATCTGTCGCCGAAAACGCCCACCGTTTCCGCTGTGGTTGATCAGGTTGATCCTTTTATTATCTGGTTGGTGGTTTCAAACATTTTTTATTTTCCCCAATAGTTTGGATGATGATCCAGTCTGACTTTAATATTTTTCAGGGGGGTAGGTTAACCACCAATTAGTATAGTTATATTATGTTATATTCTCATATATTATCAGATATAATTACAGCAGAAAATTACATGTTTATTTATCAGAATTTGCCGTTTACAGAATATAATTTTACATATTATAGGGATTTCCTGGGATTAATGAACATCATAAATCATATAATGGGGATTAGTGATAATAGATAATTATACATATATATATATATATATGTTATAATTTACATTATGGGACTTCCTGGGATTTCTTGAACATCCCTCGCGCCATGATGAACACATCTTTCTGACCCGTTGTGTGAAGGACAGCTTTGATCATTGATTTCAGCGCTACTTTCCGTTGACCACTAAAAAGGGGACGATGATGAACCAATGGAGTGAGGTTATCCACAGAAAATCAGAGAAACCCATTGTATATAGTATCTCTCTCTCTCTATATATATATACCGGCAAATTCCTGGGCTTTGCCCGGAAACGCAACCACGACAGGCAACGCATCATCATCATCATCATCATCATCGTCATCATCATCATCAAACCCTTTTTGAAGATCTTCAATGAATGTAGAAGTTTAACGGGGGTGGGAGTTTAATATTCCCTAATACCTTTGTCGATCTTCCCAATTGAATGCGGGGGGTTTATATTCCCTAGTACCTTTGTTGATCTTCCCAATGGAATGCAGCGTTGCAGCAACATTTGATTGGGAATGGGGACCCTCTACGCTGCAACGCGTATATATATATAAACCTGGCTGATACTTCAATAACCATCTCATCTCATCTTTTTCGAGGTCCATCCCATTTCTTCCACCAAACCAAGGCCCTCCTTTTTTCCGCCAGCTTCGTGCTGCCGTTCCGCCCTGCTTTGGACCGCTCTGCTGGCGCGGCTGGCCCGGCTGGCGCGGCTGGCGCCAGCGCGGGAGCCGCGGCGCTGGCTGCGGTCACCGTGCCGATGCCGGCGCAGGCGGTGGAAGGTGTCAGGGGCAAGATGGACCTTGGTTTTGATGGGATTTTCATGGGGCATTATTATTGTTATTATTATTTGATGGGACTTCATTTAATGGGAGTTTCTGCGATTCAATGGTATCAATGGATTTTAACAGAGATACAACGGGATTTAGCAGGGTTTAATGGTGATACAAAGGATTCTAGTGGTGATGCAATGGATTTGCTGAAGATGATTGTTCATTTTTGAATGGGAAATCCAGCATGGGGGTAATCTATAGACCAGATATATAGGGATCGTTGGAGCAAATCCAAGAACAATCTTTTCAAGCAACAATTGCCAGACTGCAATACACCACTATTGTCGCATTGTGCACGCATTAGTTCCAAAAGTGCATCTGCATATATGAAATATGGTTATATTCAACAACCAAATGCCACAACGGAGGGTATGGCCTCTAACACTTGAAGATGTTCTCAATATATGGGGGCACACCTTCATTGAACAACAGATGTGGGGCGTGCCAACGATAATGGTGCTGAATTTAGGATCATTGGACCTTTTGTTTCTTCAAGACATTCCTGAAAATCTTTCGGAGCAACGTAAACGTGGTCGGCAAAGTCTATATGTCAGTCTCCATTTCAGAGCGTTAGTGCCTACTTAGCGGTAGTTGAACCCTCTTAAAAACAGAAACTGAATTTCTACGCACAGGGCTCTTCAATTCCAAAGACTCAAAAAACCAACCGATGCATAGCCGGCATGCGACACGGCCGCAGGAGTGTCCAACTTTGAATTGATCTATGGCGGCGTGGCGCTATTTGGTTTGATCATCATCGTGCTTTTGGACTACTTCGGCAAGAAGTGAGCGCAACGAGAACTTTTTTTGATCCCTGGGATCTTTTGAATATGTGGAAGGTCTCCAGTTTGAAGCACATCTGAGGACAGGGCAAACATGAGGAGTTTCATCTAAGTCACATTTGTTTTGACCAAGAAGGCCTTGCCAGTCATGTGAGGCATAGACCATCATGGGATTCCCATCGATTAGCTCGGCGCTTTCAAAACATGCGTGGCTATGTGCCGCTGCGTCGAGGTCCCAAGGGTACCAATGGGACATGGCTGTTGTTTGATGGCTTTTCAAAGTGGTTATCCATATACTGGACATCATGGGGCCCACGTGTATGGTCTCTGAAAAACCTCCATTTCTTGCCTTTTGACCATAAATGGGCCCCATTTTTTTCAGCCCTGATGTTGAGGACAGAACTTTTTGTGGGATTGGAGGATACGACCTGTTTCACTGGGGGATAGTGCCTCCCTGTTGCCATCAACATATGGGATGTACGCCAGTGCTGTTTGACACAATTCAACTGTTGCTGTTATAGGCTGAGCAGCTCTACACATGACATGTAGGCAGCACCTTCCTCGGTCATATGCACATCCCTGAAAGATTGCAGCACTCAAAAATGGCGATCGGAATCCAAGTGCCAACAAATGCTTTGTGGCTGGAACCTTCAAAATTCCAGGTAACACGTCTACTTCTCGTGCATAATCCAAGCCTTGTTGAATGCACACTGCATCCATGACGGGATCCGTAAAATCCACACGAATCCACACGTGCAGGTGTATGTGAGCAGGATTCCCATGGTGGTTGTGGATGTTTGAGGATCAAATCTGATAGTAGCGGAAGTGAAGGCAAAGCAGCTGGAAATTCCCCAACAGGCCCACTTCATCATTTGGTGGATAGTGGATGGTAACATCATTGATAATCAGCATGTTTACCATATTATATATATGTATATGTATGTATATATATATATCATTATAAATAGAATATCATTGGTAATCAACCTAGATTCATCTGGTGGATAGTGAAGGTTTGAATCTTAAAAAATCTCAGCCGCCAATTTGGGATGATCCCTGGGGTATATCCCATAAAAGTGGTGCCAGTAATTCGGTGAAGCTATTCAGCAACTGGGATGCACATCCAGGAAGATTTCTTTGAATGCTTGACTCGAATAGTTGTGACATGTTGTGACTGTCCATGAGTTGCCATGGTTCGACACTACCAGCGGGTAAGGCACATCAGCACAGGCACCATAACCCAGTGGATGCGCGCTTGCGCAAGCACGAGTGTGGTGGGAGTTGAGGATTGGTCTTTCTTGGGAAGTGGATTGGGATTTTGGTCAAAATCATTAGTAATCCCAACCCAATCCTACTAAAACCGGTGTAAACGAATCCAAATCCTTTTGGCGTAGTGGATTGGTAAACCCAAACCATACATCGCCCACAAAAACCGGTAATGGTTGAGATAGCATCGCGATTCGCCATGAAGATGTTAGGGCGCATCTTGGGGCGAAATCTGGTGTCAGTACTCAGAATAGAACCGACAATTTTAGTCCGAGATTTGATGTTGAACATGGACTCAAGATGAATCATGAATCATTTAGACATTTGTCGGCCCTTCAAGGATGGTTTCTTGTTGTTTGTACCGCCATAATCTGCGATGACAAATTGCCCAAAAAATGGGGTCGGGAATGGTTCTGGGGTTCCATGACTAATTAACGCACCTCTCTACTGATTCAGGTTCTACATTCTGTTGCTGGCCAATCTTGGCCAATCCAATGGTTGTTGGCTCTCCACCTATAGTTTGGGACGAGATGGGATGGTGCTCAAGCGCCAAGCCATTTTTTTTTGTTCTTCCCCTGTCTGTCTGTTCGAAGATTTACCAATTGAAATGCCATAAAAACACGGGATTGTCCCAGAAAAACCTCCATATTCTCCATGATTATCCGGATTCGCCATCAAAAAATCATCCATTTACTTCGAGATGATCCCCAAAAAAGCTCCATTTCATTGGTGGATTTCCATGGTAGCCGAAGCTGCTTTCCCTTGAGATTCCAGGCCGCTTCGGACTGGCCATCCTCGTCCAAGACGCAGAGACTGGCAAGTTGGCCGTGATGAAAGCCATGGACGTCCCCTGGACGCAGGGAGATGTGGCAGAGACGTGGCAAGGTCCGTGGGGAGGCGAAGCTACCATCGATGGGGATTTCAGCAAGGAAAATCGTGGTAGAATGGGGGATATTACCCTCTGGTAAACATACAAAAAGCTATTGAACATGGCCATTTACAGTTGATTTTCCCATTAAAAATGGTGATTTTCCATAGTTATGTTAGTTTACCAGAGGGTATAGGGTTTCAATAGAGTTTTTTATCTTTTTGTTTTTGGGTAGAACGGGATGAACATGTGGATGGACCCCTGAGCAGTGAGATATTGAGTTTTTTGATGTAAATCGTGCTATAGTCACCATCCCTAAGGATCATCTCAGGGATCGATGTTGAAGAACTTGGCAGGAAACAAGCAGCAATGGATGGTCATAAGGTTCCCCGGAAGTGAACATCACGGCAGCAAGTGCGGTGGTGATGATGATGATGATGATCATCATCATCATCATCATCATCCAATCTCAGGAACATCTTTTATTGCCATCCTCATCATCGTATTCTGACCCTACTCCAAAGCCTGGAAGCCATTTTTTTTCTTGCAGTCATGGCAAGTTATTGTAAACCTTTGCTTGTTAAATCCCATTTTTTGGCTCCTGAAGTCCTAACTTTCCTTGCTTCAACCTTCCATTTTGTTGGTGAAAACTCCCATGTTTGCTGCTTCCCCCAGGCCCCAACTGCGGCAACCCCCTCCAGGTCTCCTCCCTGAAAAGTGCCGAGCGTCTGGAGCTGTTGTCGGAGCTGCAGTGCTTGGCGAAACTGCGACATCCACATCTCTGTGGGTCACTTGGAAGTTCTTTAGTTTTCAGATCAGGAAACAAGCAGAGCTTAGGGAATTTAAGGAGCAAAAAGGGAAATTGGGATTGAATCAGAAATTGGATTTGAAACAGCAGCCCAGCTGGATTTAACAAATAAATCAGAAGGCTAAAAAAAACAGCAACAACTCGGATTTAAACAGCAACAGCATGAAGATTTCAACATCAGACATTTTTTTAAAGTCAGGCCGAACATCCAATGGTTTCATCAGACGAGATTTAGGGACCGCAAAAGTGGGTACTTTTTACTGTAACTTATGCAAGAAATTCATTGGGTTTCAGCCGGATGGGGAATCGGGCCATCAGTAAAACTAGGGAGGTCATTTTTCTGGCACTGAAACCGCTAGGGCCGGGGGTCGAAGATCTACTTTAATCATCATGTGGGCCCCACAGATATTACATAATATTTTAGTGACGTTTTGGAGGGCTTAAGACATGTTAAGACCACTTGAAGGGCGGTTAGAGAATGCTTGAATAAACGGTGCTGAAGTGGGGATGGAACCACCCAAAGATGAGGAATGTGCCACACGTGTGGATAGAATCATGACAGCCTAGTGCTTTTGTGAGCATGGTTACATCACATGTTTCATGGTGTAAATCCATGCCAACGTCAGTTGTTGGATGTACTAATGAATAACAAAGGGGGCACCACGAATGGTTTTTTTTTTACTAGAGAATTGGAATTTTCACCAATCTTCACCCAGACACATTGCCATGAAAAACCTGCAGAGTTGGGTGGTTTTACCACCCAACATGTGAGATCTTGGAACGCGGAACCGATCCCCATGGCACCCATGGTTAATGTTCAAGGTCGTGGCATGACCATCGCTTACTGATTGAGTATGTCTTCGAGTGGTTGTTGATGCGGGGCTATGGATAATATATATATATATATGTATTTTTGTTTGCCTCAGATTCGTTCCTTTTATTCCTTTCCGTCATTTGTATACCAATCTTGTGGTGGAAACCACCAGACGCCGATCCAGAAGCCGAAATCAGGTTGAGCGAATGCTTCCTGCATCAAGGTGAGGTTTGGGGATATGTGAGATAGGGATATAACCAGCTAACAATAGTTACCCTCTGGTAAACGTTTACATAACTATGGAAAGATCCACCATTTTTAATGGGAAAATCCACTATAAATGGTCATTTTCAATAGCTTTTTGTATGTTTACCAGAGGGTATAATGGAATAGATCCTCAGAAATGGCTGGAAACCATAAAAAAAATCTATAAACATCTGATCATTTTACCAACTATAAACTTCCATTTATATAGGGGATTCTTCCATTTTCGAGTACCATCCAGTGTCCTCAATGGCTAGCTGGAAACCATCTTAGTTCGATGATTTTCCCATTTTCACGCTCATCTATGTAAGATATCAGGAAGTCCCCACTCGGTGGTTCATCCCACTTAGTAAGTGGGTTATAACCCTAGTTATGAGTAGATTAACCCTACTTGTCCCACATAGAAAACCAGGGTTATAACCTACTTAGGATTCGTGTGATGAACCACCAAGCATGTTTGATGACACGGGAGGGTCTCCTTGAGACCACTTTCGACACGAAACGCACGGGACGATATGGTCTCAACTCACTTGAATAGAAACTGCGGAACCCAAATATAGGCACCATTCGCTTATCAAACATGGCAATTGGACATCCACCATTGATAGATTATATATATATATATACATGTATATATACATACAAATTTCCTGTTAAAGCCTCCATTTATCAAGGATTTTCCATTGCTATCATTGATTACCAGAGGGTAAATGAGCGGATTTTGATAGACTTCAGGGGTTTTTTGCGTGTTTGGACGTACCTGACATAGCCATATCATGGTATTGACATAGCCAGTCTCTGGTTTCACAGGGATTCAGCTATCAACCGATACCCTCCAGTAAACGTAGAAACATAGACGTTTTTCAAACCAGCACCAGACATGTACCCAAAAAACCATCGAACATGGAGAATCATCACCAGACATGTTCGATGATTTTCCCACTAATGCTCCATTGATTAATGGATGGCATCATTTGGCCACGTTTGATGAGACCGGAAGGTCTCCTCATTCGCATTCAGTAGGTGTATAAACTCAATTAATTATACACAATACCCTCTGGTAATTTAACATAGCTATTGAACATGACCATTTATAGTGGATTTTCCCATTGAAAATTGTGATTTTCCATAGTTATGTTAGTTTACCAGAGGGTAATAGATATATCCACCATAAATCCATATAAATTCTAGATGTATCTAACAGGAAACACAACGACCATAGGATTTCCATAGCTATGTAGCTCCGTTGTGTTCCCCCACAGGACCAGGCTCCGAAGCTAGTGGTGGCCGTATTGCCTCACACCACCTATCGGTATGGTATGGGATGATTACAAACTTACAAACCATGGTAGGAATATCTATGAATAGAACATATAGGTTAATAATCATCTATTAATCAGAAACATCTATTTAAATATTATAAAAATCATCTATTTCTGCTAGGAATATCAGCATAAGATGATTTTTTTCAAAAACCAACGGATGGGATGGGATGGCTTGTCTCACTGGCTCGCTCTGCTGGCTCTGTGGCTCCGCCAGGCAAATTGTGCAAGGTGATGGACTATCTTCCTGGTGGCAACCTTGCAACGCAGGCGATGCGCAACATTACTTAGTGATGTGGCAAGGAATGAAACACTATCGGATAGCGAATAGTGCATCCCATAAATGTAAATAACTGAGTTAAATAATCCTGATGATAAATGGTTTTTTGTGATTTTCAAGCTTTAGATGATGAGTTGTTTTTTCTCAGAAACATCTACATTTAAAGCATGTTATTTTGGCCTTCTTGGTGTTTCATCCTACAAATGGTGAGTAGGTTATACCTCCCAAGTATGCGGACGAACCCTACTTAGCCCTATTTATAATCAGGATTATATAATTCTAAAATTTACTAAGTGGGATGCACCACCAACTATAGAAATGTTGGTTTACCTGTTCCTTAACAAATGGAATTGGTGCGACCTCCAAAGAAGTCGCGAACTCCCGGAAACTCTGTTGAGCGGCCAAATCTGACTGCCAAATCCCGCATTTCCATAACTTTTGAAAAGGATCAGAATGCAGGTCGCCACCAGCAATATCAGCTTTTCAAGCGTTTTGTTGAGAAATACCCTCTGGTTGTTCAACGTAGCTATGGAAAATGGCCCATCTATAGATGATTTATGATGGTTTATCTACTAAAAAATGTGATTTTCCATAGCTACGTGAAATAGGGAGAGGGTAGATTATAGCAACCCCCATGTCAAGATAGAGTAGTAATTAAGATCCATTCGTAGAAGATGATAGTCAACTACTTTTCCATCATTTTTGGGGTTACCAAAAACCTCAAAAGAGCTGTATGGATATTTTCCGAATGACCGGGAAGGCCAATCTGTGCATTGCACTTGGTAAGTAACACCTATGATTGGTATATTTGTGGAATTTTTACATTTATTCTCCAGCTATGACTTAGGGTACTATCCGGGTGCCAGGGTTTGACTCATAGCCATGTATATATATATATAAGTCATATGCAGGTATGTATAGCCATATCATATATTATATATAAATTATAATATATAATATATTGTATACTATATATATGTATATGTATACACACATGGATGTTATATATTATATATTATATATTATCATGGATGTAGCATGTTCAGCTGGGATAATCCAGTTGCGCGACGTGCAAGGTGGCTGCCGGCCGTGATTTGGGCGATCGCATCTTGCTGTGGTTTACACAGGCGCGGGGCGCAATGCACCTGGCCGTGGTGGGATGTAAACCGCCTTGAACACAACAGATTCTGGTGATTCTTAGCCATCCAACTTTCAAGTGATCACTTGTTTTGGGTATTTTTAGCTGGGAGTCAGAATCTATTAATTTTAGTCTGAAAAATTCTTAGGGGTTTAGATCCTAAACATGATGTGGCAATGTACTTCAATGGACCTACAAATGAAGATAAAAGCGCCAAAGTTGCTCAAACTTCGACATGAATATCCAAGATGGTCATGTAATTTAGTATCACTTTATGTGCAATCAGTCACATTTGAAAGGTATAAACATTAGATGTATAGGATATGTAAAGTAGATTACATACACGGACATATTATATCATATGCATAGTACATGTACTGTACATGTAGTACATGACCATACACACATGTCACTTCGTAACGAAACAAGCCAGGTGTAGCTGGTAAAGTTCCATCATCCCACGGTTGTGGAGGCTTTGTTGGCGGTGGACTACCTCCACCGCTGCAACGTGTTGCATCGCGACTTGCGCTTGCGACGCTTGTTGCTGACACGACAAGGGTGGGGCTCGGGAGGATCTGGTGTAACTTTGCAGTAAGTTGGAATGGCATATCACGACTCTGCGTGGTAGTTTGCAAAACCAAAGTTAACCCAGTTCTGCTTTGTAAGTCCCAATTTGTGTGAGCAAAATGCAAGTTTTTGTTGGTTTTACCAGGTTTTTATCAGCAGTTTTGGTGGTGAAAGAATCCCGGGGCAGCTCGTTCAGGTTGGTGGTGGTCACGGGAGTGGCCTTGTTTGGTCTCTCAGGGAGCGTTTTCGGTGTGGCACGTGGTGCCTGGAAATCATCTGAGGTTCTCCAAAAATGGGGTATGACTATTGTGAATATTAGGATTAGATAGTATCAGTAAATTTACTATGTCCATAAATTATTGTCATTAATGATTAATGTCTCCATTTTTTTGATGATATATATATATATAGATATCCAAATAAATTCTAAGAACATGTTTGGTCTTACCAAGTCACCACTGCAAACAAAAACTGTATCACAACTTTGTTTTTTGCTGCTGGGGGTATCAACAACAGAATGTACAGCCTTTGTAGGCTTTGGCACAAGCCTTGTCATGCTGCTGTCCTCTAGGATTGGCTTGATGTCCTGGGTATCAGGGCTTCAACAAGGCCATGTGAAGTGGATCTTCAAACTGTGCCTATTTCTATCTGAACAACTCTGAAGAACTAAGCGTTGTATTCATACAGATGGTTGACAATCATTTTGAGCTCATGGCGTTCTAGCATTCCACATGCTTCTGAAAAGGATTTCTTCTCATCCTTCTTGTTGTCTGTGGCTGCGGACCACAAACACAGAAAGGTTCGCAGCCTTTTCTGGAAGTGTTAGGACATGTTCAAGTTTGCGGTCAGGTACACATCCTTTGATCAATGCTGCCAACTGCTTTACCTTGTCCTTTCTTTGCCTTTCCTCAGGCTTCGCAGGCAACAGCTTTTCTATGGCAGTCCCTACCCAAAAGTTCAAAATACAATATTTTGATTGGTTATATCCCATTATGGTGTATTTGGCTTGCTTGTCTTTGTATCCACACATGAATACATATTTCGTACGCTAATGTATGTATATATATATAGGGTGGAAGCTGGGGGTTCCCCGGAAGCCAATTGCAATTTAATTGTATGGATATGGAAAATGTTGATTTTATACTGTGTTTTACAGTGTTTTTTGCCTTCCCTTGAAAGTGTTCCATCAGTGAAAGTATCAATGTCGGCGCGGATTAACTCGGAGTTTGTCCGCGCAGAAAAATGATAAATTTACATCTTCCATGGATGGCCAAAAATGCGTTCAACATTTTTCCCATTGGAATTGCGGTTTCATACATTTTTCAGTTTTTGTTGATAAGTACAAAATGTCATAATCCACTGGAGAACCATGGACGAAATGAACATCACATATTTTTCATCTTCGCTTTCCCAAACCTTTTTTTTGGCATGGCGATGGAACATGTTGTTTTTACACTGTGTTTTACAGTGTTTTATGTTTTTCTCTGAAATGGTTTGATCAATCGAACTTCCATTTTCATCGCGGAAGAACTTGACGTTTGCCCGTGCTGAAACAGGAAAATTTTACATCTCCCATGGATGACTAAAGATGCGTGGAACATGCTAACCATTTGAAGTGCGGTTTCTTTTATTTTGGTCGTTCTGTTCAGAAGTGGAACATACCCCCCCTTCTGTAAACAACAACGAAACTTGCAACGTAGCAACATCTTCCAACCAAGCAACATCTTCCAGGATTCAACATCATCCAACGCACTTCACATGACGTTATTGCACCCCCCCACCCCCCATCTGTATACAAGAACGACCTTTCTGGTATAGCATCAAGACTGAGGGTTCCTCGAAGCTCCGGGGAACCCCCAGCCTTGAGCCTATATATATATATACATTATTGTCAAACACCATGATATATATATATATATGCATGTATAAGCATGTTTTTGGTTCATAAGGGGCTGCGGGCTGCAAACATGCACTAAAACGGGCTTCTAGAAACTCATTTGGGAAACTCAATTTTGAAGCTTCTAGAGTCATAAAAAACAAACATCTAGCGGTTCTAGATTTTTTAAAAGCTTCTAGAGCGTCCCAATTGAGCTTCTAGGACCCTGGATGCAATAACAAAGCTGCCAGCTCTAGAACAAAGCTTCTAGCAAATTAGATTCGATTGGGGATTTTTGAGATTCTGATCCACGATTCTCGATTCTCGATCCGAAAAATTATCGATCAAGGGTTTCTTGGGATTGTATGTTCTGCTGCCATATCATCGGGGAATTTATCACAAGGGACATCTTGGAACTAGTGATTTTTGAGATCCCCAAGGCTCTCAGTGGTAGGATTTGGTTCCTCGCGCTAAGCGCAGATGACAGCTGTTTCCTGCCCAAATGTTCCCAGAATTCGGAGTCGTTCGAGGTCAGCGGTCCTCAAAGGGATGCTTTCCAGTGAGAGGCGACGTTTCAGTGAGGTTGGTTTTTTGCACCTCCAATTGTTGATCATTTTTGATGGTTTCCGAATGTTTTCCTGACTCATACCCCCTTGGTGAGATTGAAGAATGGTTTCGTATAGTTTTCCTCTGGTAATTTGTTACATAGCTATTGAAACTGGCACATAGAAATAGTTGATTTACCTATTAAAGATGGTGATTTTCCAGTTCGCAAATTGTTAGTTTACCAGAGGGTAAACTATACTTATCATCATTTTATGGTATAAATCCTCCAAAGATGGTAGGTTTCTAATTGGCGTATTACCACATAAAACATCATAAAACCATCGATGGCAGGCGAGACATGGAGGCCACAAGATACTTGGCACCGGAGATCTTGCTGCAAAATGAGGCCGCGGGATGCACCGAAAATGCCGAGAAAGCCCTTGGGATTTGCGGCTTCCAAGGTTGGAGACAACCCCATTTCCCCAGTTTTTTTTTGGGGTAAGGTTGAGATTTGTCATGTTTATGAATTTTGGTGATTTAAACAACTGCCCCAAAAATTGAGCACCAGCTGCCTTGGGGCAGTGAACCCCGCCGAAACAGTGGCCAATAGTTCTTAAATCATCTTAAATCAATTTGAGGCATGGCTTCACATCACCAGATTACAGGTTGATACTCATCCCTTGGGGTGTCCGAAGCTGCCAGGAACACAGCTCTGCATCCGACATGTGGGCCCTTGGTGTGATCCTGTGCCTCCCATGGAACACGCGCGACTGGCCATTCCAGTCATGAAAACGAGATTACGAACATGGCAGGTGTGTTTGAACATGAAAAATACCCAAAACTTCTTTTTTTGTTGGGGGGGAACCCTATTTTCAGACAGACCCTTGCAGGAAGCATTGTTCATGAGTCACTCCCAGAGAACACACCACATTTTCTGCAAGTCACACGCCCCATTCTGCTTAAAGAAGCACATTTTGTTAATCATATACAAGATTTGTGTTGGTGAAATGTCATGAAATGTTTGCTGGGTGAAATCTGAAGCGCTGCGTTTTTTTTTGAGGTACGAACTCATTGCCCTGAAGCCTCCCTGGGAACACACGGAGCGCGGTTAAATTGGCATGGTGAGGATTTAACCCACCAGGGATGGGGATCTATTGGGATTAAATCCTACTATAATTATTATCAATAGATCTATAATGGATTTAATTATTAATTATATATCATCACCAGTATAAATAATTAACCATCATAATAATTACTGATCTATAATGGATTCGTCCTAGGCCTAGGCGTAAAATGTCATGGTTGATCATCATTTGGGGGTTTCCATATCTGGTTGGTGGTGACTGGAACATGGCTTTTATGACTGTCCATATATTGGGAATAATCATCCCAACTAACTTTCATATTTTTCAGAGGGGTAGGTATACCACCAACCAGATATGGAGGTTTCCTATATAAATGGGGGCACCCCCAGTCATCATCCATTTTAGAAAGATTTAAACCATGAAATAAACCCTCCAGCTATTGGGGTACCACCATGACTATGGAAACCCCCACATATACGTATAATATGACTATAGATTTGCATACACATATTTATCTCCAGAAATGATAGTGATCATGTATATGTATTATATATATATGCATCATGTGAGCAGTGTTCAAAACCTCTGTTGGTTGATGACTAGTTCGGGGATTATACTACCCAATATATTGGGGATTTGATCATAATCCAAGAACGGGGAATCAATATTGTCACCAACCAGTATTTCATGGAATGAGAGAGGGATTTTGAACAATGCTCACTTGTTACTTAATGGTTCATACATGTTCATAATGGTTAATGTGGTAACACCAATTATCAACCGACCATCTTTGGAGGGTTTAGGTTTATACCAGCAATAAACATGGTTATATTAGGATATAGTTTGCCCTCTGGTAAACCAACATAAGTATGGAACATCACCATTTTTAATGGGTAAATCAACTATTTCTCTGTGCTATGTAACAAGTTACCGGAGGGTAAAATCCCATCAAATCCCATCAAATCCCATTAAATCCCATTAACAACTGGGCCATGAGTGTTGACATATGGGTATGGATCAATACCTATGAAAATACCATTTTTTATGGGATGAACATCCATAAATCCCAGCTATTTTGATGTTCACAGAAGGGGTACAAGGTTTTGACACACTGCCATATGATATGCCCTCAAATTTCTGGCCTTTTTTAACGTGAGACATCCAGGACTTGGCCCACTTGCGTGATGCGCTGCGGCGTCCCTTGCGGCCCTTGCCGGCCAGGCTGGGGAGTGGTAACCTTTCAATGTACGATGGACCTATATGTACCATTTGAACCCACAAAGGCAAGGATAGATTCATATCATACCTAAAGGTCCCTGCCACATGTATATATATATATATATATATACATACATTGTACTGTATTGTTTTGTATTGTATTGCATTGCGTTGGATTGATTGTACTCTATTGTATTGTATTGTTGCTACTTTTTCTTGAGAATATATAGATTATGTCCATGAGTAAATGCCATGTATCGCAGATCCGCAATTTGCGTTTCAGCGATTGCCATGTTGGTATCCAGATCATTGACATATAAATAGGTTCGTTTTTGTTAAGTGCAGTATCATATTCTAACATATATCTTCTGGTTTGACATAATATATCATTATACTAAGGTATATGGATATCTTATGTAATGGAGCATACATAATGGATCATCACATATTAAGGTATCCATTTATCAATTCTAGGAGCACAGCCATTCTTCTTTTCATGCAGGATGTTGGCTTAGGTTAGCCGTGGGAATCCAGGCATGCAGAGGTGGCGCCTTTGTGCTATTCTCTGCTGAAGTGTGGGCACCAAGACACCGGGACTTGGTTGAGTTTTTGTTGATACTTTTCAGATCTTTTCAGATCCTAGATCAATGGCCATTTCAGGAACCTAAATTGGAGGTACCTACCTAAGGTCTATATAAGGCCTATGTAGGGGAACATCCCCAGAAAATATGGCCTTATATGGTACAGTACCTCCATTTTAGGATCCTGAAATTTCCATTGACTAGACCAACCCCCAAAAATTTGCAGTTCTTACCAGATGTTCAGAGTTTAACCTTGTAAAACCACAGGTTTTCGCTGGTGAAAGCACCATTTTCCTATGTTTTTACGAGCAATTTCCCAATTTGTCGCCATTGTCTGCTGGAGAAGTCCCTCCGATTTTCATCTTCTGAGGCGGCAACCCTCTCAGCGTTGGAGCGCGGTGCAGCTTCTACGCCACGGTGCCACGCAGTCGAGGTAGGGCCAGGGATTATGGCGAAACAACATGTGAATTACCTGGGATTTATAGAGAAAAAATCAGAAACCTGATGATCTACAGATATTTATAGGGTTTATAGATGCTTATAGTAGCACTACTTGTGATTTTGCATGGGGGAAGTGCCGTTCCAGCGAAGGCTCGTGGAGCTGCTGAAGCTTGAGCATGAAGAGTCTGAAAGCAGCGGGGAGCCAAGTTTGGCCAAGGGATTTGGCCATCAAAATGGGGGCAAGCAGCTGTGATATGGGGATAAAATGGCGATATCATTTGGGCCATCTTTTTTAAGATGGGGGAGCCTGAGTTTTTTTAAAGTAATTGGTTAATTTTTAGGGAAACCATATGTTTTGAGGTACTAGTACCGCAATTGTTTGAGAAGCACCAATGTAATAAAACCATGTAAAACCACTAACGAGACCTGACTTTAGATGTCATTTGTCAGGTTTTATGTCACAAAACCCATCCCAGAATTGAGAAGAAAAATCTACAGGACACATTAATCAAATGTGAAAAAGCATCGGTTTTCGCCCAAAAAACACCTTTAATATCATTTTTTTGAGAATGGTAAGTTGCTTAAATCCACCTTTTAGCGGGAGAACATCCGAATCCCAGTTGCTCCAATTCCAGTTTTGAGGGGCCCCACATTTGGTCGCTTCAAGCCAGCCATTGGAGAATTTGTTTCTGGGAAACTGCTGGACCCCATGTAGTTTGGGGATTAAGGCCCTGGGTTCCTGTAATTTATTCCGTTAAATCCATCCATTGATGCCATTGATTTGTATTTTCTAAAGAATTTGAGCCTTGTAATTTCACAGTTTGCCATGGTTGCCATGGTTGCCATGGCCTAGAAATCTACAGGATTTCCCATGATTTTACAGATCTCGCGTTAGCTGCCCCATGGAGCTGGGGATCTGTTCCTTCGCCCAGGCTGGGCTCTCCCCACCTCCGTGCACTGTTGGAACTCGGGTGTTGAGAAGTATCCGGTGGCACGGCCGCGTGGTGCCCCATGGAGCTGGCTGTGGCGCTAAGATACCCATTGGAGGTACCTACCATACCGAGTTTCAGGGCTATGTAAGGGAATATATCTGGTATATGGCTATATATATATAATGGCTATATATATATTATGGCTATATATATATATAATACAGTGCCTCTATTTTAGGGTGACAGTCCCATTGCTATGATGGGTTTCTGGTTTATGATTGGGACTTTTTTTTTGGTTTATGAACCATGACATTGGTAATCTGAGGCTTACATCACCACTAAGTCATGAAACTCAACACTTGGGCCGTATCCGTGCGGTTTATTTCATTCTCCAGATCCTACTTTTTCAGGTTCCGTGTTAAATGTGGTGGCACAGCATCACATGGACGTGGTTCAAAATTGTCACTGGCCCATTGGTATCCAAATGACTTTGATCCAGACTGACATGCAGCAGAAACAGAGGCTTGGAGGCAAAGTTTCGACCCGCTTGGAGGCGGGTTTGGTGATGGGCCTGCCCCATTTTATGAATTCTCCGTGCTAAAAACGTGGCAATGTGAGTAGTACCAGATTCTTGGGTAAATGATGGGTCATGAGTGATTTTTTTCAGATTGGCTTTCAAAGCCACGAAACCACCATTTTCTCAGTGGTAACACCCAAGTTTGAGGCATTTGTTCTCCAAAGTCACATGTTTTTTTTCGGCTCAAGGTTAGGACATGGCCACCTTTGGAAGTGACTCCTAGCACTTTGAAAATGGGAGACAATCTGGGCCAAAAGTGATGCTTCACTGTTCGTAACGCGATTTTAAATGATTCTCCCTTTTCAATCTGTTTCATATCAATCCTATTTTTGGCATTTCGCGTTCCTGCAACACTTTTGACCTTCAACAAGCACAGATTAACAGCTATATCGAACTTTGCAATGGGGCTTCCATTCAAGACAACTCCTACATTCTCCGGACCCTCCAGTTGAGTCATAGACATCCAACTTCCGAATATTTGGATCCTAATTCCATAGAAAATTTCATGATTCCATAGAAAGTTTTTCATGATTCTATGATGGATTGTTTCATGATTCCATACATATATTGTTTATATAATGATTCCATAGATATCCCCAATCCAAAGGATTCTCTCTGTTAAACACATCAACATTTAATTTGGGGAACGACCATCGCCGGACCGTTGCGATGGGGCAATGCTGGCCATGCATCTTGCTGGAGCAATTTGCAAAGCCGGTGTTGCTGGTGGTCAGAATGTGGTGAATCCATAGTGAATGGTTAACTATCAGCAAATATGCAACTATCCAAATATGCAATTATCAGAGAAGATCTTCCAAGGAAAAAACATAAATCTTGGTAACTGGGACAAAACTGTTGATAAATAGCAATGTGGTGAATCATAGCAGTGTTTTTGAAATTTGGAATAGAGCAACTATCAGCAACTAGCAGCTTTTTTGTTGGGTTTGTGATGTTTATGGCGATTACACCACATTGCAACTATGTATACTTTTTTCTGGGTAGGGGATACTAGGGGGAAGCACCTTGCATGTGATGCTTTTTTCACCATGGTTTTTGGGCAAACTTCACAGCGACCATCACGTCGCGACTTCACCCAATGGCAGCCACCATTCCACCGGGGTGCTCCATCCCACCATGGCTAAAAAGGGTTATGGGGATAGCTTTTCTTGCCGGGACAAGAGCCGGACAATGCCTCGAGTTAACCAACTTACCCCCCTCCCAGTGTCTGGGATGTTGGGAGCTGTTCCAGTGATGTTCCAGTTGCACAGCTGGAGAAAACGAAAAAACCATGATTACCAGCTGAAAATTGTCACCGCTGTCATCAAGTGCTCGCAATCAAGTACCAGCTGGTAAGTAATGGCTAATCATAGCCATAGCAGCCATAGCACTTAAGTTTTTTGATGTGACCATCGTTTACCATATTCTACTAAGGAAGTACATGACTTAAGTCGAGCATTTTGGTTGCATTTTAGCTATGTGTGAGACGGCATTCCAAATGATACCTCCAGGCTTGTGATGAACACTTTCCCCCAGTGCTTGGTAAATTTCTGTTTGTGGATATACCTGGTGGATATCTGGTGGATATCTGGTGGATATCTGGTGGATATCTGGTGGATATCTGGTTCATATCATGATATATCTACAGTTGGAGGATTTTATGAATCCATTCATTTTCTCAGCGGATCCCATCCAACTTCCCATCCAACTTCAGGTTGTGGCTCTCAGCAGAGTGCGGGCCAGGTACCTAGGGACCGCAGAGGCTCATTCAGCATCTCCGGACCGGTTGAGGGATCTGGGTCATGAACAAATGGCAGCTGCCATAAAAATGGCAATCTTTAGGATGAACATTTGCAACATTTTGTTGAACCATGCATTTTTGTTTGTTTAAAAAATTGGGTACCCAATTCTTGATCCATATAGTTTTGAATGTCAAGCAGTGTTTGGATATGGATATGGGCCAACAAATGGACAATTCGTTGGACTGTTTGGGATCTGCAGATTACAAAATCTTCAAATTGCTTTGCAAAAAAAATGACCAATACCATGTACCCTTTGATATGCGTGTGTCTGAAAATGGGATCTAGTCTACTCCAAAATAGCCCTTACAAATGAGAAAATTATCATAAACACTTGGATTTTGCGGCACCTTATTCTCAGACAAACCCATATATATATATATGTATATATAATACTAAAATATACTAAAGTATGCTATAATATACTATAATATGATAAATATGATATTATATGATATGAGATCAGATTATATAATGTAGCATAATATAGGATAATGTAATGCAACATAGTACTTGGCTGGACTTCATGTCCGCGTTTGTGACATCTTCAGTGTTTGATTCCTAAGAGCCCCTCCGGTTATGACTCACACTTTGCGAACTGGAAGCCTAGTTCGATGAATCATGTTTACTTATTGATAATGGTGATTTTCCACTTTGACGTGACACAATTCATGATTTACCGGAATTAAATATTGCGTTTTTTTTCATATATTATATCATATCATATCATATAACATCATATTATAGTATATCATAGTATATTTTTCCAGTTTGCAAAGCGTTCAATGACTGGAGCTCTACTTCGTCCTGCAGATTCAGGTCCGGTGTACACGGCGCTGCGTCCGGCATCACAGCATCCAGTGAAAACCGGGGACTTCAGCGTGCAGTGACCATGAGATTTTGTGTTCATATTTGATAGTTATCATAGTGAATCATAGATAAATAAGAAATGATGGGCTCAGTATGAGATAAGATATGATATACCCTCTGGTAATTTGTTACATAACTATGGAAAGATCCACCATTTTATAGCTGGGAAAATCCACTATTTCGACTGGGCCATTTTCAATAGCTATTTTGACATAACCAGAGGGTACATCCCAATAATATCCCATTGAATCCCTATAAAATCCCACAAAATCACCATAAAATCACCATAAAATCACCATTGTACCATATTAGATCAAAGTTCCCCATGATGGGCTAAGCCCGGCTCAGTTCTGTCTCAGATGCATTTCCGACAGAATTTTTAAAGTATCAGGAGACGACTTTTTCTGCCAAAGCAGCAAGAACTGCAACTGTTTTCTGAGCAGAACAGCAATTTCTGGTTGGTGGTTTCAAACATGGTTTTCATGGTGGTTTAATGGATGGTCAATGGATGGTTAATGGATGGCTGGTTGGTGCTTTGGAACATGAATGGATTATTTTCCATTTCATATATGGCATGTCATCCTTCCCATTGACTCATATTTTTCAAGATGGGAAAGAAACCACCAACCAGATGAGTTTTCCCATTCAAAGCTTCATTCATAAGGGATTTCCTAAGGGATTTCCATGGATTTCCCACATCCCAACCAGATACTTCCATGTTCACAAAAGCTATTCCGAGTCGTCTTCTCCATGGTTTTTGTGATAGTTGCTTCTGCATGTTCTCTACGTCAATCCACAAGATCCAGGATTCAAATGGCAAGGCCAGGCATGGCCAGTTTTGAGGGGCTAAACCCATGGTTACCCGGCCTGGTTTCTACGTTTACGAACTGGAACATCACCATGCTATTGCGAAAATCAACTATTTCGACTGGGCTATTTTCAATAGCTATGTAACAGTCACTACCTATCCGGGTATCCCATAAATTCCCTTTTTCATCCCATGATTTCCCATAATTATCATATAAAATCCCATAAAATGGTGATAATCCCATGATAAATATAATTATGGGAAATATCATGGGATGACAATTATCATATAAAATCCCATAAATGGTAAATTCCCATGATTTCCCATAAAAAAAACGCACATTTCTTTGGATTGTCGCATCAAGCCACCATTCATCTCATGGCTCCCATGGCTCCCGAATAACTGTTACATAGCTATTGAACATGGCACATAGAAATCGTTGTTTTACCCATTGAAGATGGTGATTTTTCAGTTCCGAAACTCTTAGTTTACCAGAGTTTTTTTTGGTTTAATTTCCATATGTCACCAAGCCAACTTCTTTAAATAATTATCAATGTCAATTATTCATCATATATTCATCATATGCCAATTATCAATTATTTCACCATCCTAAAAATCATTTTTTTCAGATATGATCAATTATTTCACCAATCTATATCAACGAAATATGATCAATTTCACCAACCTATGATTGATTATTTTGATTGATATGTCAACAATATGAATTTCCCCATCTATTTATCAACCTATACCGACCTATTACCCTCTGGTAAACGTGTACATAACTATGGAAAATCACCATGCTATTAATGGGAACACTCACTATTTCTATGGCCATTTTCAATAGCTATGTAACAGTCATTACCTGGAAAATGGCCATAGAAATAGTTGATTTACCCATTGATAGCATGGTGATTTTCCACAGTCATGTAACAAATTACCTGGAAAATTGCCATTTATAGTTGATTTACCCAATAATAGCATGGTGATTTTCCACAGGTAACAGTCATTACCAGAGGCTATTTCACTGGAAAAAATCACTGGGATATCACTATCACCTTTATTATGGATAACACTGGGAAATCACCATGCTATTAACTGGTAAAATAGATATTATATCACATTTAACTGGGATATCACTGGGATATCACTATCGCCTTTATCTGGTTGGTGGTTTCAACCTAGGTCAAGTCGTGGAGGAAACCACTCATCGAGGTGCGTTGGACTTGAGCTGCTCGGCATCTGGTGAAAGCCCGGGAAAAAGCTAAGAGAAGAAGTGGAAAATCTATGTTTGTATAATAGGCAAATCAATGTAAATCATCTATAGTCCATTTTCAATAGCTATTTTTTTGGTTGACTAGTTGATGGTTTCGGCTCTGGTGATTTGACATTGATGGTGAACTAAAGCCTCCAGTGAACTAACCATCATGGACAACTACTCCCAGTACTAAGAATCATGTAAAAAAACGTGACATGATGATTTCTGGAACATTTAAAGCTATGGAAAATGGAGGGTAAGAATGGTTATTTTTTGATGAGGGTATCATCATGGTATCATGATGTTGGTTGAAAACGGTTTCCCTACTTTTTGTTTGATGAAAATCCGGAGTAAATTACACCCCAAAAATGAACCAACCAGGAATCAATTTATATAAGCAATAGCTGGGATACACATCATTTACTTCTGGTGTCATTTAGCTAGTGGCAAGCTGGGAAATCCATGGAAATCCCCGAACTCAATAGAGGAGCAAATACCGTAGCTAGGGAAAATCAGAACTAGCAATGGAAAAATCACATTTATCAATGGAGAATTCTATAGCAAGCCACATTATATATGGACTCCGGAGGGTAATTTTAACTCAATCATCAAATTCAATGGATGCTTCAATGGAGTTTTCAGCCTCTGATTATCCATAGATATACACTTTTTCAGAGGCCCTCTGATAAAAGTCGCTTTATCAGTAGCTTAACTCGGTTTATGGTGGATATATCTATCATGATATATCCATCGTTGGGTTTTTCGATTTTTCCTTCGCCAACCACGATCGAAAACCAGCCACCCGTTCGAATCGGGGGAAGTTAAGACAACTCGCCGATGGAACAGCTCGTCTCTTTTCACCGCATCCAACATGGGCCAGGAGTATAGATCGGCATAGCCAAGAGAAAATATAGATGTGGCTACCCTCTGGTAAACATACATAACTATGGAACATCACCATTTTTAATGGGTAAATCAACTATTTCTATGGCCATTTTCAATAGCTATGTTAAATTACCAGAGGCTATATGACTTTTGAAATTACCAACATGTTCAGTGTCAATGATTACACACCACATGACGAATCATTATCGGTTATGCAAAAACTATACTACATATCATCTAGAATCAGAATATAGATATAGATCCAACTATGTGAGGGCACAAACAACACGTAACATGAGGCATCATGAGGCTAAATCCTGCACGCACAACACATAGCTACTTCTGGGATTGAACATCACCCCTGACTGACCGGCATCATGAAGAACATCACCAGTAGCGACCTTGCGGATAGACCATCGAATTCCACATACAGTTGTTCGGAATGTGCAATTTCCATATTTCAAGATGCGATACGTCTGGTTTTTCGTTGCGTGCAGGCATTCTCGACGAAGATCTAATGCCACAGTCACTCACACATATATATATATTCATATATGTTATACACACACACACTGTATATATATATATTTATATATTCGTCCTTTAGATGAAACATGGATTTTTCACTTACCTTTAGATGTATAAATATTGTACAATATAATAAAACACTTGCCATTGATTTTCTTTCGGGACCGAGGTGTACTGCGATTGAACTTCAATCCTTCCAGGCCTCGCGGACCAAGTCTTGACGAATGTTTGACCAATCGTCTTTTGCTCTTCTTGTTTTTCCAATAGATGAAATAGTGAAATCCCAGCCAGAAAACTATTAGTAAGTGATTTTCACTATTTTTCCAATATATTGCTAAATATGAACAATCGTGAATTTTCTATTCAATAGTGAATTTTCCAATATATTAAACATATTTAAACATTATGTAAATATTAAATATTATTTTCTAATATGTAAATAGTGAATTTTCTATTCAATAGTGAATATATTATTTTCCAATAGTGAATTTTCTATTCAATAGTGAATTTTCCAATATATTAAACAGATTTAAACATTATGTAAATATTAACTATTATTTTCTAATATGTAAATAGTGAATTTTCTATTCAATAGTGAATATATTATTTTCCAATAGTGAATTTTCTATTCAATAGTGAATTTTCCAATATAGTAAACAGATTTGAACAGTATGTAAATATTAAATATTATTTTCTAATATGTAAATAGTGAATTTTCTATTCAATAGTGAATATATTATTTTCCAATAGTGAATTTTCTATTCAATAGTGAATTTTCCAATATAGTAAACAGATTTAAACAGTATGTAAATATTAAATATTATTTTCTAATATGTAAATAGTGAATTTTCTATTCAATAGTGAATATATTATTTTCCAATAGTGAATTTTCTATTCAATAGTGAATTTTTCCAATATATTAAACAGATTTAAACAGTATGTAAATATTAAATATTATTTTCTAATATGTAAATAGTGAATTTTCTATTCAATAGTGAATATATTATTTTCCAATAGTGAATTTTCTATTCAATAGTGAATTTTCCAATATATTAAACAGATTTAAACATTATGTAAATATTAACTATTATTTTCTAATATGTAAATAGTGAATTTTCTATTCAATAGTGAATATATTATTTTCCAATAGTGAATTTTCTATTCAATAGTGAATTTTCCAATATAGTAAACAGATTTGAACAGTATGTAAATATTAAATATTATTTTCTAATATGTAAATAGTGAATTTTCTATTCAATAGTGAATATATTATTTTCCAATAGTGAATTTTCTATTCAATAGTGAATTTTCCAATATATTAAACAGATTTAAACAGTATGTAAATATTAAATATTATTTTCTAATATGTAAATAGTGAATTTTCTATTCAATAGTGAATATATTATTTTCCAATAGTGAATTTTCTATTCAATAGTGAATTTTCCAATATATTAAACAGATTTAAACAGTAAATATTGCTCAGTTTTCGTTATGGATTTTGCGGTTTGCCGAACGCAGGAAGTTTCAGCACTTCTATCGTGTCGGTCGTCTATTGGGCGACGGCAGCTTCGGGGCTGTGTGGGGGTGACCCAGAAACCAGGTGACCAGGTGACTACAAACCCATTGTTTTTTTTTTGTTTGCTTTGTTGGGGGTATTATTATCATTATCATTATATATTATCATTATATATTATTTTTACTATGATTATTATTACTATGATTATATTTTTTGTTTGGTTGTCTTTTTTGTCGCTGTGGCTGTTGTGGTCGTTGTCGCGTTGTTGTCGTTGCCGGCCATCCAGGCATCCTAAGGCATCCCATCCCGGGCGATCCCATGATTTTTAGATTAATTAGTATTTATTTTATTAATACTATTAATGATATACTATATACCAGTAATTATAATAGTTATTATAGATCATTATAATAGTTATTGTTAGTATATGAAACATTATTCCCCAACAGCGTAAGCTAATGGGGTCTTCAGCCCAGAATAGCTCCGGTGTGCACTGGTGCAGGCACTGGGTCAGGTTCCGAAGGTTCCGAAGGTTCCGGAGAAGGTCTGGGAGGGTTTTGTGCAGAGCCAGGTCAGGTTCCACAGGGTTCCGGAGAAGGTTCCGGTGAAGGTCTGGGAGGCTTTGGTGCAAAGTGTTTCCAGCGCTTGGCTTCGCAGCACGCTTGAGAAAGATTTGTTAAAATACAACATTGCGGCTGTTGGGGATACCACCGAAGCTTGTTTTATTAGTATTTATTTTATTAATACTATTAATGATATACTATATACCAGTAATTATATTAGTTATTATAGATCATTATAATAGTTATTGTTAGTATTTCCTATGTGATTAGTCATGGTACTGGAATATAATTTTAAGAGTATATATTAAAGTATATACATATACAATACTAATTGTAATAGTGAATACGATTCCCATTATGATCATATTCCCATTATGGTTAAAGCCATTATTGATAATCATATCACACATTATGTGATTAGTAACACCCATTACTATCACAGTTAGTTAATATGATTAGTTAAACGCATTCTTATCATATTTCCATTATCTAGTATATAATCCTCCTGTTACTGATGCTACTGATACTACTACATTGTAAATGATAGTTACAACCCACTGCTGATCTTCCCATTTTCTGCGATATCCACATGTCCAGAATCATTTTAATGGCCGAGGCATGAGTGCTTTTGCCGCACCACCAACGAGGTCCACCACGTCAGCTGGGAGAAGCATGTGGTGAAGTAACACCTTTTTTTTTTTTCTCAGGATTTCAAACATCACTTCGAAATGGTTTTTGGTAATTCATGTTTTTTTTCTTTGGATGGGTATGCTGGGTGATGTTCAAATGGAACCTTTCACCTACCTTCAGTGTGGTTGTCCAAAAAAGATTTTTGTCCTCTGACCGTTTCAATAGGAAGCAGGATTCGGGGACGATCCCTTTTTCTACGTCCACATGTTGTGGGTCTCTTTTTATGATTCCTTCCCATTTCAGCTGAACTGGTCAAATTTGAAGTGTTTCGAATCCTCATAACTCGCTAATCACTAATTTTCAGGGTTTCAGGACCACTGACAATACTCAATTTTATGGAGATGTTTTAGGTTATTACCTTCTTAGTAATCCCAGGAATCCAGCCATGAGGCCCGTGCAGTGAAACTTCTACTGAAGAGTCGCATCAAGGCCTGCGTTTTTGTCGGATGAACATTGACACCCCGAAGAACTTGGGAGGTTCCCTGTATTCTTGGGCAGTTGTACCTCCGAAGAACCTGCCTGCAACATGAACACTAAAACATGTGCAAACGGCTATGGAAAGACGAAGATGTTTGTCATTCCACAGGCCAGTTGATGCCGAAAACTTCCGCCTCTGCGGTGGGTTTATGAACATATGATAAAATATGGGCGGTTTATGGCATTGCTTTACTGACATTATTCAAAGCTTCGGTTGCATTCTTTTGCAGGTTCTCTGCAAGTTTTAGGCCACCAGGAGCGTAAATATCTGGTTATTGCTTGGTGGTTTGGAACATTTTTTATTTTTCCATATATTGGGAATAATCATCCCAACTTCAACTGACTGATATTTTTCAGAGGGGTTGAAACCACCAACCAGATATTCGTTTTTTGGATTCATGACGACAGGGCTGGGTACACGTCCCATTTTGAGGATGGCGGCGCTGCCATCGCGAACGAGATTGAGATCTTGACAAAGTGGCATCCTCAGTGGAGGGTCACCTCAAAACAGCCATCTGGGCGTGTCTGAAAATGATGGGGATCTAGCGATTTATTATATTACATTATGTTATATACTATACATACACAGAAAAGAAGGCTGATGATGTTGGGGTAATATCCCAACTTCTGCATAAAGTCCCACAGTTGCCGTAGCCACCTCAAGGCTGGATCATCCACACGTGGTGAGGTTTTACGAGCTTGGGAGCCCGGTGGAGCCCGGGGAAATTGGAACATGACTTTGAACAGATTGCTGAGTGGTTGGGTCATTGTTTTTTCTTCCATAGTTGTTGTGTCATTGTTTTTTCTTGTCTCATCCTGCAATTAAACTTCCCCTGCGAGGCAGCCAAGTTTACCCCGAGATAGTGGCTAAATGGCAGCAGCACGCGGAATTGAACCAGTAAGCTCAATTAGAAATGCCAAGAATGGGTCAGCACAATTTGGCTGTGGTGAATTGGTGTACCAAAGGACTTGCATATGAGATGGATTGTCTTTCGTAGGATCTAAAACCATCCAATTGTGAGTCGAAGTCATTTGAGCCATGCCAATGTTGCAACCACCAACCCTGCTTAAATCCGCCGGTTTTGGGCTATGAAAAATTGACCCCTACCTGAAAAGCGCAGCTTTGCAATGGAAACCAACGGAGTTGGATGATCTGTAAGTGACATCCCCAAATCCCATAAGATCCATCCACAGGAATTAGTAGGTGGCTCCTGCTTGGAGGGTCATCGAGCGGCTAGTAAGTGGCTAGTAGCTGGGGTTAGTTCACCCACTTATCAATGGGAAAAACTCTATGAATCTAGGACTTACGTTCACGAGGGTTATTCACCACTTACTTTCGGAGGATGATCCTCCAAGTAGTTAACTGGTTAGTAACTGGCTTATAACCATATCCCCCAAGATTACGGAGATATAACTTCATATAACCCACATTTATTGGCCAGTTAATATATAGTTATATAGTTATATATACCATTTATTGGCCAATAATATATACCATAATTTATAGTTTATATACCATAATTATATAGTTATATATACCATTTATAGATAACTATAGTTGATTTATAGTTGATAACTATAGTTATATATACCATTTATAGGTATATACTAATTTATAGTTATATATATATAGTTGATTTAGATCTCGCCATTTTTCTCAGCCCAGGTTCTTTGAGGATTCGCGCAGTGTGCTCTGTGTGGTGGAGCTCTGCGAGCACGGAGATCTGAGTTCTGTGCTGGACAAGCCCAGTGGACAGGACGCCAGTCACTGCATCATCCCCCAGGAAAATCAGCATTTTTATATTTTTATATAGTCGGAAGGGCCTAGCGGGGCTGGAGGATGACCCATGGTTTCCGCTGAAAGATCTATGGTAACTTATCATAGTTTTTCAACATCGGTACAGGAGGGTATCTAATGATACCATCTGGTTATTTAACATAGCCATGGAAGCCATGGCCCATTTATAGATGGTTTACCTGGGTTTACCTATTAAAAAGGATGATTTTCCATGGCTATGTTAAATAACCAGATGGTAGGTGGTATGAAAAGACCATTCCAAGTCCATTGGGTTTTTTAAACAAAAATTCCATGGTTGGTTGAAAAGCCATCCCAAGCCATCCCTGGGTGGTTTTTAACAAAATCCATGGTTGAAAAGCCAAGCCATCCCTGAATCATCATGAATCCCATCCCCCCAACAAAAATTTAAGACCCCATATGACCATGCTTCCAATGATGTGGATTTTCCTGACTAAACAATGCTTCCGGGATGAGTTACCATGACGAAGTGGGGACAAAAAACAACCCGAATCAACCGTTGGACCAATGATGGACCAATGGTTATCCGAATTTAAAAGCTCAACTGTACCCTACAACCGATGGTCCAAAGAGCGGATGAAGGTGACCCATTTGGGTGTCTGAAAGTTGAACCGTGGTTTATGGTATATGTCGAACTAGTTTTCATGGATTGATAAACCAAGAAACACCGCGTTTGGAGGCATCACCTTGTAAGAATCCATACATCACTGGATTACAAGATGGATAAATTGGTGAAATCTCCATAAATCCCAGTGAAATCCCATGAAAATGCCATGAAATGACCATGAAATCCCATTTATCACCAATCATTATGGCTAATACATGGATCATAATTATGTAAATGCCATTCAATCACCATGAAATCCCCTATGAAAGCACCATGGTTACAGCGCTCTGGCCTGCTCCTGCCAGCGCCTTTTCGCGTTCTTCAGGACTCTGTGAGAGTCTTGTGCGCCGGACGATGAGAGGGACCATCTTTTCTTAGGATATGACATATGAATACATTTGGTTGTTGGTTTGGAAACAATATAGCCACTAAAGATGGGAATGTAAGGCTATTGATTATGATAATACTGACTGGTTGTTGGTTTGGAACATTTTTTATTTGTCAATACTCATGGTTAATAACCATTAATAGGGGCTAGTCATCCAATGGTTCCACTCGGGATTTATAATAACCATTATTTTTGGATCCTTATTATGGATGGGTTTTTCCATTCACTTGGGAATGATAACCCCAACTGACTTTCATATTTTTCAGAGGGGTTGAAACCACCACCCAGATACTAGATATTATTAGATATGTTTTGATGTTTATTAGAGATTACTCAAATTGATATCAAAAAAAACGATTTTTGACATTAGGTAAATATCATCATTACATAATCTGGTTGGTGGTTTCAAACATTTTTTATTTTCCATCATATATGGGATGTCATCCTTCCCATTGACGAACTCCATCATGTTATATAGATAACCATCATTAACCATATAATAACCATTAATATAAACCATATATTAACAGTATATTACCAACCAATGGTAGGTTAGTCAACCACCAACCAGAATATCTAAAAATCCCCTAAACCTTGACCACTTGACCCCGAAACATCGTTCGATGCACTTCGCACTTCCGCTCCAGGTACCGTGACGTGATGTTGGGCCTAGCCTATTTGCACAGCTTTGGCATTGCGCATCGCGACTTGAAGTTCACCAATTGCGCCACTTGAAACCGTTGGGTTTAGGGGGGTTGGGTGTCGCCAAAAATGTTTGGTAAAGCCAATATAAACCTTCCCAGTAAGCATCCAGAAATGGGGGTCCTTTGAAATCATCCTATTTCTAAGGGAGAAAAGGAACACATTGCTTGAAACAGTCTAAGCTCGCTTAGGACTGGGATGGTGATTTGTTGCTCCACCGTCCCATTGGTTCACTTTGTTTCGGAAGCTATCCACTTGGGGATGTTCCACTCTGGTGAATGTCACCCCCTGGATGAATACATCCTGATCATCAATTGGTGGTTACCGGTGACCAAAATCGTTTTTGCAATGAGAGCACGACGGATAAAAACACCACTTTTTTTTTGCTCAACTGCTGGTTTCGCGAACATTCCAGGGTCAACAAAACATCATATCTATATTACCAGTCATATTATTATTAACCATCATTAACCATTATTAACCATAATTAACCATTAACCATTAACGTTTGTTTTCTGGGTGCTTCCGAAAAATGGACTCAGGTCCTGGCGTGGAACGGCCTGCGAGACATCGCCAAGATCATTGACTTTGGATTGGGCGCCATCCGCCGAGAGGAGGACGTGGAGGAGGAGTGGATGAGTGAGGCAGGGAAGGGACAGAGATTCAATGGGGGATTCTATGCATATATATATATCACCTGGAATCTTTTTAAAGTGTTTTTCCAGATCTCAATAAACTTACTGGAGGTATCATTACATATTCACCCAAAAAAAACGGGGTAAGACTTGGATTTGTTTGTTTTTTGGGCCCCAAACACTGCATGGGGTATTCAGGTATACCAGGTATTCAATATGATGTGATTATTCTGGGTAAATTATAACGACCTCACTACGACCTCACTGGAATCATGGTTAATAAGGGAAATCATCCCCCAATGGCCTTAATTCAGGTTAGTGAAATACTACAATTTACCCAGATTATTGGACTTACACAAGAACATTTGGAGCGTTGATATGTCAGGTGCTTGGCACGCTGGCCTTTGTTGCGCCAGAGGCATGAACCAGAAGCTCCAATGGGGGGACACCATTCTGCTGATTTCAGCAGTGTTTAGTGAGTCATTTTGGAAGATTTTGGAAGAGTTCAGCAGTTTGTTGGAAGATTTTTGGAAGATTTTGGACCCGTTTTAAAGATCCACCACTTTGAAAATTGTTCATTTCCGATCCCGGAGGGCCGGGCTAGGATTCCAAGTTTCAGCTATGTTCAAGAAGGGTCCCATTTTGGCCCTTTAAGGCCGGTGTGTTCCGATCACGGAATCAACCAGCAAACCCAGGCCTCATCCTCACTGAGTAGCCCAATTTTGTCCCACAGCGATATGGCTTTGTGGGACTTTTTTTTTGGGGAAACATCAAAATCCCATGGTGAAAAACATCGTTTGCCCCACTAAGGTGGCTATTTTGCGGTGCTCATTTTCAGACACATCCATATAGTCTTGGTCAGTTATATCCCATTATGTCAGAAATTAAAATCCATTGAATCTGTTGAATCCAATATGTCTCATGGCTAGTTCTATCCAATCTTTGATAGTTTATGAACAATCTTTGATAATTTAAACTGGAGGGAACACCCATTTAAAACTTTGTATCTATGATATACATATAGAGCCCATTTTTACAGTTCTATCCAATTCCAGATATGGAGGTTTCCTAAAACAGGGGTAGCATCAAATCCCCATGAAAACCACCACTGAAGCCGGAGTTTGGCTGGACGACATCCGCGACTGAAGGTGGTCCAGAAAAGCTACAGTGAGAAGTGTGACTGCTGGCAAGCTGGCAGCAAGCGGCGCAACACGTCACCGGGTTCACCATTATAAATGGGATAACCCCACGAAGAAAGGGGACTTACCTTGGGTTATTTACTTTCTAAGCGGGATGATCCTCCAAGTAGTATGTGCAACTATTGTATGTACTTCTAATATCTATATCTATGTCTATATCTATATCTATATCTATATCTATATCTATATATATACACATAAATATAAATATATGTATATATATATACATATATATATATATACATACACATAAATAAATATATATACATATATATATATATATGAGTACATAAATCATTACGACCTCACTGCGACCTCACTGGAATCATGGTTAATAAGGGAAATCATCTCGGTCCAAATGGCCTTAATTCAGGTTAGTGAAATATTACAATTTACCCATATATATATATATATACAGTATATTTATATATATGTATAGATGATAGATATACAATTAGATGGATGTATCATGATAACATGCTTGCAGTTGCACTAGAAACACCAAAGCACGGTATTTCACCCCAAGATTCTGGGTTTTCCCTCACTGCAACAGACGGTTCATACTGGCGTTCCCTGGTGGTTGATGTTGTTGGTTAGCTGCGAATAGGAATTTCACACAAAATCCATGGCCATGTGAGGAACCTAAATTGGAGGTACCTACCATATATAAGGCCTATATAAGGGAACAGCACCTCCATTTTAGGATCCTGAAATTCCCATTGACAAAACATTGAACAATTTGACATGTCAAAATGTGTCGAATTTTGAATCAAAGGTCCTTTCTCGGACGTTTCGTCACGTGGATCCATTGCAGCCAAATTGTTCGACATGGTTTTGTCATTGGTTTTTACGGTATTTTTTAGTTGTTTTCGTGGAATCGATTCACATGGATATTGAACAATGATCCAAACATGGCCCTTTTTACGGCCGTTTCCCATTGGTCGCAGAAGGGAAAATCAAAAAAGCCGGCCCATTTTTACAGATTTTGATAATATAATTATCATGTAACCAGAACTCAAATAATTTTGATCCTTTCAATTCTGGAATTCTCTTTGCTAGGCTTCCCCCTTCGGATCAACCGTCGCCCTCGACTCCCTTCGCCGAGGTCCTTCGGCATCATGGTTTTCATGCAACTCACTCAGGTGAGGTGTGAAAGTCACCGGAACGTCAAAACTACCGGGAACTACTTGGTATAGAATTTATATCTACTTATACTGATTTAATATGTAGATATATAAATATGTATGTACATGTATGATTATATATATATACACATATATATATATATGTATATGTATATGTATATATATAGAACGACATGTATGTACAGTACACAAATATATGATAGCCATTGATATCCAGCCGTGAATCCAAGGGGAGGATTTTGCAGGGACTACAAATTGCACAGGATTATGTCATTATTTTTTGGGGTAACCCCCCAATCACCAATCCTTTAAAACAATCATCCTAGGTTGCCATTACTTGGATGTGTCATGTTTTTTTTCCCCGCAAAACCAGCAACCACATGTATGACACTGTCAGTTCTTTTCACAGAACATTGACCAGTTTTTGGTAAATGTCTCACAGATTTTCACAGCTTTTTGTCGTTAGTTTCTCTACGTTTCTCTTTAGTTTGGTGTATTTCAGGTTAGTTTCGTGTACAGGAGACAATTTGGGGTTCAATCGTCATGTGTCTGACTTTCATATTTTTCAGAGGGATTGAAACCACCAATCAGTCTATGTATTTTAAATTTTCTGTTGAAGAAATCTCATCTGCGCAGGGGCAGCACCCCTACGGTGGCTCATGGAGGGGTCGTAGCAATCTGCCAAATCGGCAGTTGTGCCTCTGGCGAACATGGCCATGGTTGCCACGGAATCCGGGTGCTCAATCTGCGGTGGATGATGACAATGGTTGGGTTAGAACTTGGTACCCTCCGGTAAACAAACATAGCTATGGAAAATGGATCATTTAATTAGTGAGCTATGATTTACCAAGAAAAACTCGTGATTTTCCAGTTCGCTATGTTAGTTTACCAGAGGGTCATACATTTTGAGCTGTAGAGATGGGTTAGCTCCCGGAATTCTGGGGATGTGAAGGATTTTTCAGAGTTTCGGTGGATGTTTCATTGTTTTCCAGACATATCCCTGAACACTCACATGGAACCTGAAAAATGGTTACCCTCTGGTAAACATACAAAAAACTACGGAAAATCACAATTTTTAATGGGACAACCCACTATTTCTGTGGCCATTTTCAATAGCTATGTAACAAATTACCAGAGGGTATTTCCAAAGACATGGAACATGATCTAAGACGTTCCTCGTTCGGTTGCTTTCTGGATATGAAATCAAGATCCTTTTTGGAGAGACTGGACCCGTTTCCTGTTGCATGATATGCTTGAGTTTGTTGAGGTAACCTCTGGTGTTCTTAAACATAGCTAGCTGGATCATCTCGACTGCATGGCGGCGGTTGATAGACCCCCTATGTTGTTTTCCAAATCCATCCTTTGGTGTAGATCCCTACAGATTTTTTGACAAATGAATCCCATTGAACATCATCTAACCAAGTCATGTTCAGGTATTTTTTTAAATACCCTCCCGTAAACCAACATGGATGTGGAAAATGTCACCAGTTGTAGATCCTTTTCAGTGTAAACCATTGGTTTTCCACATCTATGTGAGTTGATCCCAGGGCTTTTTAATGGCGCCTCGGCCCCAGGTTGATGCGGCTGCAAGACCCACCACGGCTCGTCGCTTCAGCCCAGTGGTTGGGGGTGCGAGTTTCGTCGCTTCTGCCAGTTGTTGGCAAATTTGGCCAAAAACTAGGGGTATATTCGGGTATATAAACCGTCAGGCTGATGATTAGGGGCTACCATTCTCAGACTTGGCTGACCCAGAAAACAATGGTTCAAATTGGGGCAAAAAACATCCCCAAATCTGAAAGATTTCTGATTTTAGGCAAATCTGAGTAATTTTATGTAATTTTCCAAAATTCCTTTTGGTGACATTCCAGTTCTTTGGCAAAATCGGCGGTTTGCCAATTCCAGTCGATCCACAAATGGTTAATGATCCACACTCGAGTCCGTTGACTGAATTCCAAGTAATGTGGGTAAAACAACAATAAACCATTCCGAAATGGGTGGTTTATGGCATTGTTTTACCCACATTATTCTTGATTCCGTTCTCAGTTCTCATTCTTACTGTTTCTGACTGCATTTCTATTTACTAAAGCTGCTGCCCATCCGCTTTCCGGTAACAAGAAACCCAGATCGCCCAGACCATGCAGTGGAGGACTACGCAAGTCCCCAACTCTTGGACTGTATTCAACATACACATACCCTTTGTTTGGTCGGTGTTTATTTTCGCACTGGACCATCCACCGACCAAACTGGGGAATCTTGACTTTGGGAATATACCATCTGGTTATGACTAACATAGCCATGGAAATCTGCTATTAATAGGTAAACCATCTATAAATGGACCATTTTCCATGGCTATGTGAAATAACCAAATGGTACTTTCATTTTCTGTGGACCCTTAGACCGCAAATCCAAGCATATGGGACTTTTACATGACCATTGCCGCTGTTGTTGCATCATTAGCTCTTGTGAAAGCTTCTTTACCCAAGTTCGTAAAAGCCGCCAAGGAGCTGGAAAGTTTTGTTGGCGAAGAATGACGGTTTTCGGATGAACCATTTATACCTGTAGATCAAAACTATATGATTATTAACATAATCTCACATACACACATATACTACTAGATACAAGGTCACATACACGTAGAGAAAGAAACATACGATACATAGACCAAGAATATTTTCATATGTACACGTGTATATATATACTGTACACATGCACACACACAATATATATATATACATATACATATATATATATATCATATGTATATATATATATCATTACCATATGAATATATATATATATATATTCTACAAGTGACACAAAGAAAGTATGATAATCAACCCTGGTTTGCTATAAACCTCCATTCAGTTTGGGGATGTCCCAGCCATGTTTGATGACACTTCAGGGTATTAACCAATATAATATTACATACATATTTCATTGATATTGCGTTGCACATATATTCATATATTCATATATCTATCTGGGTAAATTATAGCGACCTCACTGCGACCTCACTGGAATCATGGTTTATAAGGGGAATCATCCCCAAATGGCCTTAATTCAGGATAGTGAAATATTATAATTTACCCATATATATATATACATAACATCACTGGACTATAAGATGATTAGATTGTTTAGATCCCATGAAATCCCCCAAATAAAATCATTGAATCCACTTTAAAAACACATGACACCACCATTGAAGCATCATTTTCCTTGGTTACCCCCTGGTAAACTTACCAAAAACTATGGAAAATCACCATGCTATGTAGCTGGGTAAATCCACTATTTCGACTGGGCCATTTTCAATAGCTTTTTGTATGTTTACCAGAGGGTAGTTATTCCCAGTATATCCCCATGATACCACGAATCAGCCCCTGCTGGTCGCCAGCTCAGGAGCTCCTTTGCACAGCCGATGCCAGGGGCAGCGAGCTGGCCTGGGGCCGTGGTTGAAACGTCGTGGATCTAGGTGAATTCTGTTGTTGAAGGTTGATGGTAGATATATGGGTATGGGTCAATACCTATTAATACCATTTTTAATGGGATGAACATCCATTTACCAGCTATTTTGGGGTTCACCAGGGGTACAAGGTTTTGACACACTGCTATATCTATAGTTCATGGAAAAACACTGATCTATTTGTTTAGATGAAGATAAAAACACCAACGCTTGATATTTCTTTGTTCACCTGTCAGGTGAGGGTTGTTAGATTTTATGTCAGCCTGCCCGCCTCCTCCTTCCTCCTTCCTGCGCTCCTCGCCGGACCTCAACTGCAAGCTCCGGATCAAAGTGTTCCCCGCCGGACCTCAATCACAAAGAATCTCCGAAGATATACCAAGATAGAACGCCAGAAAGAATGTCATACCCCCTGGTAAATTAACATAGACCCTGAAAATCACAAGTTTTTAATGGAAACTAGTCTTCCAACCCCTATCTGTCAGGGTCTATGTTAATTTACCAGAGGGTAAGATATGGCATATACAAGATTGCTTTCTTGCTGATGTCACTTGGCAACTGCATTTCAACCCAAAGATACTTGGTATGAATTCAACAGGACGCAGCAAGTTTGAAATGCCATGGTGGGGATCACTCGAAGTAAAGTACTTTTTCCACGTTCCTCATTCATTTTTTCATGTTCCTCATTCATTTTCTGCGTGTTTCCATGCGGAGAAAAACATGGGGAACCTTGTTTTTCCATGTGCAGTACATTAATCAGCACTGCATTTGTTTTCGCTGTTTCCCTTTCGGCAACTATTGGGGCGCGTTTTGACAGTTTTGGACTTGAAAAACTGTATCTGTTGGAGACAAAAAACCCCTTGTGTCTAAAGGCTCTAGCTATATTTATATCCCAATCAACCATAGTTAAGCCAGTTTTTTGCAAGTGAATTGTGCGTCAGCTTGGCTATCATCAGCCATTTTCATCGCATGAAATCCCCATTTGGTCTCCGAGGTGGCCCGGTTGCTAGCACACGAGCCACAGCAACGCTTGAGCGCGCAGGAAGGGCCGTGGCCGGGCCGGTGAAGGGCCGGGTTAGGGCCGGGCCGGGACGGTGGTTTTCAGTGTCAAAAACATGGGTATTCCATAGGATTCACTAAGAACACTTGGTGAAAAAGACTGTTTAGACATTTATTTCATCATAGCGGGGATCGTTTTTTGGATATCACCATCCGTTTATGGTTTTGTTTTTTTTGGGTCTGTGTGAAAATGGGGTATATCCATCAAAATGGCATTTTAATACAAAAACAACACGATACACCGGTGACTTCAGGGACATCCTATTTCCAGACAAACCCATGTCTGGTTTTTCCACGAACCAAATCTAATCAAGAATTTGGGAATGATACATCTGGGTAAATTATGACGACCTCACTGTTCTCCCGAACCCTGGAATCATGGTTAGTAAGGGAAATCATCCCCAAATGGCTGAACAATTCAGGTTAGTGAAATATTGTAATTTACCCAGATACATATATATATATATATATGTATTATATATATATATATAAAAGTGTGTTGTGTTTGATGAACCTATGAGGTGATTCCCCATGAAAGTGCGATAGTTTTTGATGGACCCCGGGACCCCAGGAGGCTTTGCAGATGGCCTGGCTTCGGTGCGGGTCACCCAGGGGCCCATGGTCCGCAACTAGATCCATCAAGGAAGATGGGTTTAGCCAAGATGGTGATTTCATGGGATATTTTGATGAGTTTTTTCATGGGATATACAACCAACTATAATCAATGGTTGGATTGTATACCCAGTCCTTGGGGGACGGGAATAATCAATGAATTTTGATTTGGATTCATATACCCATTATGTTTGGATTCCTGGTATGGGATGGATGACCATAAACCATATACAATCTTTTGATCATGTCACGTATCTCGGAATTTGAAGATAGTGCTGTTGATAATGGTTCATGATGGATAATTGATGGCAAATAACGGATAGTACATGGTTAATCCATGTTTATCCTTCTCCCCGACCATATTAAATCCACCCCGTATGGCATGACAAGTCCTGAATAGATGCGCTATTAAAGCAGAATTTTTAGGGCTTAATTAATATTAGGCAAAGGGATTATTGAAATCTCAAGTGCTCTCGCGCTTGAATTTTTTTCTAACCTTTCCATCTCTATTTGGATTGATTGGGGCTCCAATGAGCTATCGCATATTTCAGTTCGGCAGGGCATAGCGTTTTTCAATAGCACACTTCCCATTCTGTTTGGCTGTGCTTCCATGAGCATATGTATTAATATATATATAACTGGTTGGTGGTTTGGAACATTTTTTATTTTCCATAATATATGGGATGTCATCCTTCCCATTGACGAACTCATATTTTTCAAGATGGGCACATTGCACCACCAACTAGATGAGTTTTCCCATTCAAAGCTTCATTCATAAGGGATTTCCTAAGGGATTTCCATGGATTTCCCACATCCCAACCAGATATTTCCATGTTCACAAAAGCTATTCCGAGTCGTCTTCTCCATGGTTTTTTCCATGGAGATTTGAGACTAAAATTAATGGTAATATGAGTTAATGAATAGTTACCTAATTAGGTAACTAATAGTTTTTTAAGGTTACTTTCAAAATAGTTACCAATACGACTAGTAATATGAGTATAGTAATTTTCATAGTAAGGTTACTACTAGTATAGTAATATTACTATAATATAGTTACCTTAGTAAGCTAATCAATAGTAATATGAGACTTGGACATTGACAGAGCGCAGATTTTCAGCACCAGCTCGATCTTCGCATCACACGGTCCCGGTGATCCCGGTGATCCCGGAACCCCTTTTAGGATCCGATGGATTGACACGAGATGTGTACAGTATATGTGAGATGTATGTTTCCATATGAGAGTATGTCACGTGTGTGTATATACTGTATAAAAATATAGTATACAAGTATAAATATATTCAATACACATGTATAGTATAAATATATATATATAATACACATAATATATATAATATAATATAATATGATATATATATAATTATACATGTATAGTATACTCAAACATCTTCATCCCATTGGGCAGCCGATTGGATCGCTCTAAGACCCAAGAGCATTCGCCGGGTGGAACGTAGCTGTAACCTTTCGCACCGGGAGCGGGGCGCGGCTGGGTGCGGCTGGGTGGCGAAATATGGTGACTCCGGATCTCTCCGGTAATTTTAAGTTTGCTATGGAAAAAACACACGATTTTCAGTTAAAGCACTGAACGAAATGGGCATTTCGGTGGAACATCATCTATAACTTGTTGATTTTCACGGGAAGAAAATATTGAGTAAAACTGGGAGAATAAGGGGATACTAGTGGAATACTAATCGTATGATAAGGAGATAGTGAGGGGAAAATGGGATAGTAGGGGATAAACTATTGTTGTCTCTAACTATAGGCTGATACAAAAGTTATACAAAAGTGAAGTTCTTGTAGCTGACATGTGTAGTTTGGTGAATATTTTTATCACTCAATAGCCTTGGTCATGGGGATTGAGGGTCATGGACGTGGCAAGAGCCTCCGAGTGGGATGTTTCTGTCAGAGATTGAATGGAAGCCATCCAGAATACCCTGTGGTAGTCAGCTCCATGGCTGGAAATCCATTATTTATAGTTGCGTTTTCCTATTGAAACATCCATTTACTATAGGGATTATCAATGCCATGTTTGATGACAGAGGGTAGGTGGATTTGCCAGGTGATCCAAAGCCATGGCCGAGTTTTGATTCGATTTACCTGTCTGGTTGGTGGTTTCAAACATGGTTAATGGTGGTTTAATGGATGGTTAATGGATGGTTAATGGATGGCTGGTTGGTGGTTTGGAACATGAATGGTTTATTTTCCATTTCATAAAAAAGGGATGTCATCCTTCCCATTGACGAGTTGTCCATCATTTTTCAGAGGGCGCTCGGTCAACCGCCAAAAAATGCTGATTTCAGACCTGGATCTTCCCTTCCATCTTCCCATCTTCCCATCTACGCCCGGTCCTGATACCCGTATCAGGAGCAAAGCCTGATGCGTCGCAGTTTATCCTCTTACAAAGACCTTACGTCCTTTGACAAGGCGCTACACCAGTTACGCTGAGGTAGCAGTGTAGCAGAGAGTTACCCGGCCCGTTCTTTTGAAAAACGAATGGTGAACAACCTGGCCCTTGGAATGACCGAAAAAAAAACAGCAGAAACATGGCACATGATATTTATATATGGCAGTGTGTCAAAACCTTGTACCCCTGGTGAACATCAAAATAGCTGGTAAATGGATGTTCATCCCATAAAAAATGGTATTAATAGGTATTGATCCATACCCATATGATATATTTTTATACATATTTACTGATATATATATATATAGAGATACACCTTCAGTTAACTCATGTCGCAATGAACATAGCATATCCTTGGATAATTGCCATAAACTTAAACAAATCCATTTCTAGTACATATATATATATGTACATACACATACATACACTACCATACATAATGATTAATGCATCCACATATAAACATCCAGCGACATGGAAACACACATCCAGTGAAACTTAAATCCATTTCAAATCCAATATCCATTTCCATATGTTTTTATATTGCCATAAATATATATATATATGTGTATACAGTCATCCTGGAGTAGATAGATTCTGGAAATTTGAATCAATCCTTACTAGAATGGAGATGTGTTTTTTGAATCCGATATTCTATCTACTCCAGGACGATTATATATATATACACAATTATATACATACATAGATGCATTTTTTCACAATAGCTGTCTGTCTATTCTCCATGATCTAAGAAGTCATGGAATTGCCAGCTCTCAGATTTCTGGATCCCATGATCTACCCTGGTAACGTAACTGAAAAATGACCATGGAGAGTTTAAAAAAAACCCATGATTTTCATGGCGATTTTCCATGCTTTTCCTATGTTTGTTTACCCGTTTTTTTTTTTAAAATCAATTTCTAGTGCTAAACGTCAAAATATCCTTGGCGAGGCCGTGCTTCTAATGGCCACGCAGTTCCAGCGCCTTGGTCCCCTGTTGGTGGAGGGTGTTTCAATAGTGGATTTACCCCGCGAACATGGACATTGTCTTGGGAAAACAATGATAAACCAATGGAAAATGATGACAAACCATCGGAAAATGATGATAAGCCACCGGAAAATGATCACACACCACTGGAACAGGATGATAAAGCACTGGATTCTAGGGATACCTCACTTTCAGACAAAGCCACATAATTATAAAGTTGAAGCACCGCCCTTACATTTTGAAAAAGAACATGACCGTCTCAGGATTTAATTTCAAGCAGGACGTGTTAAAACAAACTGTCGTGTGACATTCAAACAAATATTGTGTACATTTCAACATATTGGGATTTCCTAAAATATGGGTACCCCCTATTATCATCCATTTATAGATTATAGATGTTTTTTCCGTTATAAACCAACCATTTGGGGTACTCCCAATGATGGAATCTCTCATATTGCTTTAGCGGGTATGATATCCGCTAGCACACGTGTGACTTGACCTTTCAGTTTCTTCAAAAATTGTTGGGAGTTCAGCCGTGAACTTTGTGAACTTCGAAGCATGGCGCACCACAAGGGCACCATTCTACCAGTTGACTTGAATGGATTATCCACCATTAATAATATCCACCATATGATTTTCTTTTGTGACCAGGGGTGCACTGAAAACAGGGGTCCACGTTTCGCTGATAAAAAATGCTTTTGTTGGGGTCGTTTTTTACGCCTCATGGTTTTGTGCTGTGTTGATGACGTGGATCCCCAGCAATGACACCTTTCACTGGGTGAAAGTGGGTGTCCCTTTTCGTCGGAGTGGACACATTTGACAAAACCTAAGAAGCATATGTTATATTTGAATGAATGTTCTTACTGCATTTGTAATTCTCCACATACCACCATATATCACTGTATATCACCATATATCACCGTATATCACCGCATATGATCGTATATCACCGTATGTCACCACCAATATTTGCCATGATTTTGTTCCAAAATTGTTCCAAACGCAAATGCTACATTCCCATCAGGACTATGGTTACTTTACTTGTTTTGTGTCATATATATATATAAAATATGTATACATATACATATTATATATAAAATATGTATACATATACATATTATATATATATACATATCTATCTGTATGTATATATATATTTACACATATACATACATACGTACGTACGTACGTACATGCATACATGCATACATGCATACATGCATACATGCATACATGCATACATGCATACATGCATACATACATACATGCATGCATACATACATACATACATACATACACACATACACACATACACACATACACACATACACACATACACACATACACACAGACACACAGACACACACAGACACACACAGACACACACAGACACACACAGACACACACACACAGACATACATACATACATACATCCATGCATCCATGCATGCATGCATGCATACATACATAGATACATAGATACATAGATACATAGATAGATAGATAGATAAATAGATAGATAGATACATGCACACATGCACACATGCACACATGCACACATGCAGACATGCACACATGCATACATGCATACATGCATACATGCATACATGCATACATGCATACATGCATACATGCATACATGCATACATGCATACATGCATACATGCATACATGCATACATGCATACATGCATACATGCATACATGCATACATGCATACATACATACATGCATACATGCATACATGCATACATGCATACATGCATACATGCATACATGCATACATGCATACATGCATACATGCATACATGCATACATGCATACATACATACATACATACATACAGGCAGACAGACAGACAGACAGACAGACAGACAGACAGACAGACATACAGACATACACACATACACACATACACATACACACCAACAGTATATGTATCAAGATATCCCTGGCTCCCAAGATTGTCCCTCACCACTCGCAGGAAGCGGGAGGTGCTCCGGAAGTCATCCGACATTTTCGTGTGTGGATTCTCAGGAAATCTATGGGGCCCTGGCAATGGGACATCCATCCGGTTGAAAACGTAGTCTTATTGAACTTTATTGGAGGTCAGATCCGTGGAAATCCTCTACCCCCTGGTAATTCAACAGTTTGCTATGGAACATCACCATTTTTCATGGGCAAATGAACTATAAACTGTAATTTTTCAATAGTGATGTGAAATTACCAGGTATTAGAAATGTAGAAGTGTAGAAATCCCCCAGCAATATTTTCTAGAAATCCCCAACTGTCATTCTGTTGGGAAATTCATCTTCTTCCATCATGGGAGCCTTGCCGTGAGATCTCTGAATTCCGATGGGCAGCTTGGGCAGCTTCCGATGGGCTGCGAACTGGAAACCATGGCTGCCATGGCACATCTATAAGTCACATCTATCCTATCCCTCGTTCATTTTGTAGAGCACCTCCCAGAAACCATGATGGTTTAGTAGGGACAAGTAGGGGGTGTTTCATATGAACTGGGGATGGGATTAGATAAACATGTTGATTTATGATGATTTACCTGTTAAACATTGTGATTTGCTAGTTCGCTACGTTAAATAGCCAGAGGGCAATTAGATGTGACTCGCTAAATTGGCAGCTGTTATTTGTGATGCCAAGACTCCAGACTAGCCACAGCAATGGTCTGTGTGTTTTTCAGGAATGGATGGCACTGGATATGATCAATTCTCTGGGTCCGAAAAGCCAAGTACCGAACCATTTTTCACCGGCCAATGCACAGCACACCGGCCACAGAACTCTGCCCATTTGCATCTTTCAGAAATACAAACTACATACCACGAAAGCAAACTAGGCTTACAAAGTTACAAGTTGGTTTATAAACCCATGACTACTATAATTACATTCCTCACAAACTATCCCAACAAACCCAGCAGTTCACCAAACTGTGCGTCAACTTAGCATAAATCAGCGATAAATCCCATTGAACACCCCAATTTTTAGTTGGTTAAATCACCATTTTCCCAGGGTTTTTCTACCGAACAGAGCCTCACAAAGTGTAGGTTTCCAATGGTTTCGGTTTCCTTTTCCAAAGCCATCCAGGTCGACGGACACCGACAAGAGCGGATACCTCAGTGAGAATGAGATCAAAGGAGGGGGAGGGGGAACTTGGAGGTCATTTGTTTCTCTACCTGAGGGTCTTGAAAATCCATGAACCACTGAATGACCTTTGATGCCGACCTTTGATTCCATGATGGCCATAAAAAAATATAGTTGAGTAATTATATCAAAACGTATTGAGGCTGTTACCATGTGCTTTGGAAGCCGTAACTGGAACCTTAGAAGATGGGCGAAGCACGTTTGTATTGACCTGGAGTCCAGGTGGAGGTGAGACTGGGGCAAATCACCAACTGGCTTTATCCAAAATGAGGCATTCTTTCGGCCCAAAATGGTAATTTTGCTGAGAAGAATGATGGTAAATTACCATTGATGGGGTACCATTGAGTTTTGGGGTACCAGAACCCAGAACCCATGTCCAAAGCTCAGCGAATTCACCCAGAGCGCCAGGAGCTTTGCAAGCTGTCGGTTTGAGCACGGTCCGGAGTCTTGGTCGGTCCTGAAACTTGCTCCGTGGACATGTTTTGGGACCATGAAATGCACAGTTGCCCAGGGCAAGCAAAGTCAATTAACCTGGCTTCTAGAAGTCATTTTCTGTATAGGAAACCATTATAATTATTTGAAAATTAATCACTATAATTTTTAGTTATAATCATTCACTATATATCCATCATGAAACCATGTCTTTCAGCTCCATCGCAATCTGAGGAATCAACGAGGCAATGTTTGCAGGATGTGAACACCAAAAACGGGGTATTTTTCGTCCGCTTTGGCATCAATCTTTATGGCTTCCATCGATCATCAAGTCAGGTGATAGGTGGTTGTTTTTTTGACCTAAAAAGGTCATGAATAGCCAGAAAGCTAGGAGTAATGACCCCCAATCTGCCGCCTCCAGTGACGATTTTTCAGCTCGGCCTGAGGCGCAAGGCTTAGTCGAAGGCCGGTGAGTTGTACGTGTCCCAAAAAGATGCCGAAACGATGCGTCGAAACCTGGAAATATTGGGGGCAAATAGAATCTTTTTGGCATGCTGGAAACACAAGGGATCCATTTTTTTTGGGTTGCTATACTCCGTGTTCCTGTTTTTGTTGCTGCATTTAAGATTTATCAGATTTATCAGAAATTAATTGGGCCATCGATTTTCTGCTGGTGATGTCTTCATGTGTATTGGTCGTTCCATACAATGTCCCAATTAAACATATTTTCAAATTCCGATCATTCGCTGCACTACACCCATTCAATATCATTCAATAATGTACGCTATTGCATATATTTCTATGTACACATATATTTTTGGAAATAATATCGCGGTAAAATTGTAGTAATCTATATATTTTTGCACAATCACATGGGTTTGTCTGAAAATGGATACCCTTTCGTCACTGGTTGTTCTTCCCATATTCCACCATTCAGAAGTGGCCGATTGAACATGGGTAAATCATCACATTATGGTGGCCATTTGATGTTCCACATCTCCCACTAAATCCAGAAAATCCACCATGTTCTCTGAACCATCTCCCCTTTTTCACATCACATGGGTAATTCCACTATGTTCAGACACTTATCCCTCTTTTCACATCACAAAAATTCATTGAATTCCCAGTCCCACTCATTTCCATTAAATCCCCATTAAATCATATCATATTATATAGAAATCCCCTGAATTCCCATGGAAATCCCCATGGAAATCGACATTTTCATCACCCGCAGATACCTGGCGAAGCTTGGACACCTCGGAGGATGGCAAGGTGAGCCACAGCGAGTGGCTGAGCGCCTTGGCATGGTGAGTTTTTCCATGGTGAATAGTGGTCAATATGCTTAATAATGGCTAATATTAATATGGATAATAGTATGGTTAATATGGTTAATAATATGGTTAATATGGTTAACAATGTGGTTAATATGGTTAATAATGGTTCGTAATGATGAATATGGGTGATAGTGGTAATATAGTTAGTAAAATGGGTGAATCATATGGTTAAGAATGGTCCGTTTTCACCACGCTTTTGAGTATTGAAGGATTCACCAAGGATTGCCATGGGCTTTGCTCTTTTGGGCCTCCTGATTGGGGCGGCGGTTGGTCACCTTGTCACGATTGCCAGTTTGATCTGGCTTGCTGGTTTCGCAATTGATTCTCAGAGTTGGATTGATCAGATCGTTGAAAGGATTGTCCGGAACTTGGTGAGGGAGTGCAGTGAGATTGATTTCTTTCCACCTTCAACTACCACAACCACTGCTGTGTTCAGTGACCCTGGACACTTGTTTTGGGGCTGCAAGGGCCACGGCTGGCTAGTTTTGGTGATTGCTTTGTTCATCAGTTGGGGGTGTATTATCGGAGCCATTTGTTGGCGATTTGGACGGAGGCAGTCGAACCGAGATCAGTTAGAGTTAGAGGATCTGTCACCTACACAGCAGGTCTTGCCTATTGAAGCTTTGGCCAAGGCCCCCTATCCAATGATTCCGTAAAAAACATACACCATACAAGGTGAGGCCCCCCCAGTGATGTTCGTTGATTTATTTTCACCCCATGAACACTATATATATAGTTCGATATGTCATGATTGATATATCACTAACAATCATATTCCACATTCCCATGATATCAGTTGTATCCTAACATTATCCCTATCCAGTGATATATCATGATATCTCTACCATAAGCCATAGAATTCGCCGAGTTGAGGGAACGGATCGGTGCCATAACGGGAAGTGAAGTGCCCAGGTGCCACCATGCAACCGGCCGATCTGGAAACCTCTGTGAAGGACGACGATTTCGCGATCTGTGAATCGCCAATGTTTTTGGGGATTTAAGCAACAAATAACGGGAGATGAATGGAAATGATGGGATGTGTACCCTCTGGTAATGTAACATAGCGAACTGGACAATTAGCATCTACATATATCCAAATAGATAAATTATATAACGGGCCTATTTCCATAGCTATGTTCAGCTACCAGAGGGCATATATACATACACAGAATTATAGAAAGGTGTCCAAATGATTTACGTTCGGGTGTCAATCCCCGAACTAGCCATGAACATATATATATATATATACACCTTCGGAATCCAAAACCTTCTTTTTTTTGGGTATAAAAAAAACCTAGGTTTTTTTAAAAAACCTAGGTTTTTAATTTTGGGGATATATGTACCCTTAACATACTATAACATATGACCCAAAAAAGAAGGTGTTGGATTCCGATCAGAACAACATGAAGCAGCTTCACCAAGGCCACGGACCTGCGGGAGTCTCCAAATTGAAATCGATAAACTGGAATAAACTCAATGATGATGCTCTTGGCACACAAACTTTTCATCCCAACAACTTTGCTTTGGAGTAGGCCGTAAAAGCAGCGACTAAATATCGGTCAAGCGCTCTTTGGCTGACCTTTCTGATGTTGACTCTTCTACTGAGTCTCGAAGTCTTACCTACAACGTCCTCGTCCATTTGGCAGCCATACATCATTGGCGAACAGCACAGCCCAGTCGATGAAGCCGTGTTTCTAACAGTCAATATGAGATGATGAAAAACGTGAAGCTTGGGGTACAACGGAAACAACCACTGTTTTCCCGCGTTGTACATGACCCGAGCCATCGCGGCATACGTCCTGAGGAAGCTCAAGCCTTGATCAGAAATGAATGCAGCTTGCTCTGCTGTCAGAAATGCACCCGATCGATAAAGCAGACGGAACAAAGAATTCAAGCGGTAAGTTGCAACTCTACATTGCGCCAACAATCCGTCGGGATCTCCAGGAATTTTGCCCAAAAGATCCACCAACCACTGGAGCAGGTTGGTGCTGAGAGCTCCTTTGCTCCACTGGCCCATGGCACCTGTTGTATCCCCATATGACATGAGGTACGCAGTTATCTTTGAGACATGCGCTTGTTTTTTGCTGGTCCTGCACCAACGCAAGTAGTCATCCGTCAGCCATTCCCATTTTTGCTCTAAATTCTGACATGGCAAATAGGGAAGTGCCGTTTGAACAACGCTAGCCACCCAGCTCCTGCCGAAACCCAAGTGCACAATGTGCCAGATATCGCTCTTGAAGAACTCTGTTGGGTTTGAAGGATTGTGCAGCAAATGCTTGATAAACGCGGGACGCTTGAGCCAAGGGAGCTTCACACCAACTGTCGGCAACCAGCATGGGCTTGAAGTGGAGATGTCCTCCGCTGGGAAACCATTAGTTCCTGCAAGGCAATAAGGGCATACGCCCTTCGGGGGCCCCCGCTCATCACCACGTTTTGCCATCGTATTGTATGATCTGTAGAAATGAGCTGCTTTGACCAAGTAGGGAGCATCTCCCTTCACACCCAGAACAACGATTTTGAATCGTTCCCCTCGCACTTGATCTACGCAGCCTTCATCAAAACATTTCCGGAGTGACTTTGCCACATGATCCATGGCATCATCGAAAATTGCGGGGTCAGACTCGTAAGATGTTTTTGGCATTGTGTTCACAACATACCGGGTCACAAATGAATGACCTGCAAAGTTGACCCGCAAGTTCGAAGTGTCAGCTTTTTGGCCCGGAACCCGTTGCTCATCATAACCACATCCCAAAGCGCTTTGCAGCGATGTAACCATGAGGGCATTGCGCTTCAGTGTGCGGCCCTCATCTCCATGCACAAGGAAAGCTGCAGTTCTAGAAAGGTCAGTGTTGGGGATGCGGAAAAGCTCAAAGTCAGGATCCACTTTCTGGTAGTTCTCCCAAAATTGTGACCGGTTGCGGGAGGCTCCCTGATAGTCATTTGGACTGCACCCAGCCAATGTTGGCCAAAGACCCTTTTTCACAATCCATTGAAGCCATGACTCCGGAGAAATCCAAGGAACCTGGACCCCATTGCATTCAATGGTCTTGACTGGTATGTCCAACTTAGTCTTTTGGTTTTTCATAGTTCTTTGAACATCCCTTTCTGAATTTTGTAGGTGACAGGAGGCCCAAGACTTCACACCTTTCCGGGCCGCTTGCACTTCCCCCATGTCTTCTGCCACTGCCCTGGCAGTGAGGATTTGGCTCGCGCAACTGGCCTCGGCAATGAGGGCCATAAGCCAAAGTAAGTGGCACTATCTAAGGGGGACATGTTTTTTTACAACGTCTTGTGTGAGCAAGTAGGGTTGCACATGCAAGCATTTTCCAGCTCCAAAAAGTAGACAATACCACACATTCAATGCACAAGTAGCTTTGCATTTTGTTCCACGAGCATCAGCAGCGATGCCAGAATTTGGCAAACTACACCAAACGAATTAGAAGCAAACTCGCCAAATTGGCTGACAGGAATTGAAATCCCAGGGCTAATGTTGAAAACCAACATCACAGGCCCCTAAGCAAATTGAGAAGTCTAGCTGGGTCTTCCACTGCTTCTCACCTGGGCACTGGGTCTTCTATAGGACTTGTAGACCATATATGTCAGATATGGTCCAGTATCGACATCTCTCAGTCCTTCTCCACCGGGCAAAGTATTTTTGCAGCCTTGCAAGCCTCAGCGAAGCCGAGTGATTTCAAACAAAATAGGGAAGCCACACCAGCCCAAATATTCACAGGAATTTTGAGGGAAACAGAAAATGAAGTGGTAGAATCTGCATCCAGGAAACTTCCAAACCGTTGTATCAGACTAGCTTCTAGAAAAGCAGGTCCGTGGCAGTGTGAAGCTGCATATAGGACTATCATATAATCGAACTTATCCATTTTTTTGTTTGAACATGAGTGCCCAAAGGTAGGGTTGGTCCATCTCATCACCGCATCGTGTGTCAGGCCGAATTTCCATGTCATTGGTTTGTTCTGGTCATGAACTTGTTGAAACACTTCGGCACAGTGTCGCAGAACTAAGCCAGCCGACGCCCTCGGCTTTGGAAGTCTCAAGGTGAGAGAAGGGTGTGATTCAATGCCTCTGAACACATCCCTTGAGCGGGGCAAATTGGCAAGATCAGCATGATCCAAGTAGGTATCCTTGAACAACATCATAGGTCGAGAAAGGATTGGGTCCCCAATGTCAGGACGGCCAAAGTTGCTAGCTTCTTCCAAAGATAAACTTTGTGGGTTACTTTGCTCTGCCAGGCGTTGGCAGGACCTCAATCTTTTCACCTTTTTGTATTGCCACGCATAGGGCCCAAGCGAAGCCTTAGATGGATATCACAACAACGGAAATTCTCATCCAAAACGTTTTTTCAATTCTAACATTTCGGGAAAAATGCTTGGCGAGAAACTGGGCGATGACAGCTCAGCAGCTCAATCAACTCATCATCAGATGAACCCATGGCATCATCGGTGTTTCTTTTTTTCTCAGGCTGTGGTAATTGCATGTTATCATATTATCTGAAATGAAATGTCGCAACAATTTTCGTTGAACATGTTTCCACATTCCACATTAGCTTGGTCGAATCTAGAGCCAGCACTTTGCAAGCTGAAGTTGCAAGGCATGCGTTCACACATTTGCCACAGTTTTCAAGACCAGTGACTCTACTTGACCCCAATCTCAAGTAGAAAATAAGAAACGAAATGAAACGAAGAGATTCCTCAACACAGTTGTCCCTCAGCCCATGGCCCCTTCGCCAACATTGGCCGCGAAGCGCTTTGCAGATTTGCCAACAGAACCTGGCAGCAAGACATGGGCAGGAATGTTTTGGCTTCAAACCCCAAGGGGATATATATGTCTAATGTGGTGATTTGTATTTTTGGGATCATTGGGTCAGAGTTAAAAGTAAATAGCATTCTATATGTATTTGACCAGGTTTTGATAAATATGTCTCCTCAAATCTTCAAGCCCCTGTGACGGTGGGATATGGTTTTCCTGTCGCGCGTGACATGCCAGTTTTGAAACTGCTTCAGCTACCCGTCAACATGCCCTTGATGGCGCAGAAACTTCAGCAAGGTCACAAGGCCACGATGTCTTTGTCCCAAACATTAAGCAAGGACGAACCCCTGAACAAAGTTTGGAGTTTTGCAAACTAACTTCACACAGCTGAAGTGCCATGTCGTAGGCAAATTGATTTGACCCATGAATTGGGATTTGCATCTATGTAACGCATCCCGAAAAGTATAGTAATTGTGCCAATGGTGTTTCAACCGTGGCATCCTGAAAAGTTGGGCACACCCAAGTTTCCGGGAAGAGCATCAAACCTTTGGTTTTGGGCTCATTGTTCAACCTTCGCCTCAACCTCCTTCTTCTTGAAGTGTCGCTTGGCGCTCCTGGGAAAAACAGAACTGATTTGGAGAATCAAAATGTTTCTGACCTTCTTGTTTGTAGCTACTGACCATCAACTGCATTCAGATGTCGAACCCCCTCCGCTTTCACAAGGACTGTGATGGACTGCAACTTTGCTGGGCTTTTTCTGGTTTTGTGCTTTGAGATGCTGACCGAATCTTGGCTTCGTTGGACGCCACTTTGGTGCACCTGGCTGGGGAAGCCATTTAAAGAATACACGTGCGGGGAACAAAATGCACGTGAATTTGATATTGTAAGTTTTTGTAAGATGTTGCTGAGGCACACGAAGGTGGAATCTTTCATGGCTTTTTCAGCTTTTGCCAACCACCTGGGATGGAAGGGGCCCCTGGGGTATGAACAGGTTCATTGGATTTGCATGCATATTGTGAAATGAAGTCTGCAAATTTGTATCTCCATTTGACCCACTTGCTGGATAGCCACTCTTGGTTGAAGTTATCCCTCTCTCCCTCCGCCAGGATTTGAGCCAGCTTGTTGTACTCGGCATCCAAGGTCGCGAGGTCAGTGTTCATGGTGGTGCAAGCCCTGATTGTTGCTGAGGCATCGGACGGGATCCAAGGTAAAGTGAGAGATGGAAACGAAACATAGCTCAATTGGAAGACAACATCCCTAACAACTATGTTGGTTGTCGTTTACTGGAAACCAGGCTGAGAAACTTCATGGCAGTCTGATCTTGGGGATAATTTTTTTGCAAATCACCAATGAGCGATCTGATCTTGGCGCTCTTCTGCAAAACCGAGTCGATATACTTCACGTACATGTCTTTGCCCCTGTTGGCCTGACAAACAAAGCATATATGGAATGTAGGGGTCTTGGTTACACATATATATTTGATGCTGAAAATACAATGCATAACACTTTGGAAAAATGAATAGGGCATTGAGGATTTATCCTGGGTAGATTTCAGTATTTTAGTGCCTGAAAACTTCTCACTTGAACATGGTTGAGGGATGCCTCACTAGTAGTTGCCACAGCAGCACTGGCAGCAACTTTAGCACGGGCTGCATCTCCATTCAGCCGGCCCAGGTTCACGTCTCGCAAGACAGCCGGGCCATCTTCCTGACATGCGCAACTGGTACCACTTGTTTTGATCAAGCCCCTGAAACTTGGCAAGAACATGAAGGAATATCTACCCTCGCCTGTGTTCGTTCCACCGATTGCTCAGTGGTGTCATGCTCTTCCTTGTGACATCCAGTTTCTGAAACTGTGATATAGTACTCGTCTTCACCACCATATTTGCAGCGCCTGGTGGGCAAGGGTAACATCAACGAGTCGAAACTAGTTTTCTGATCATCACTCCATACTCACCAAATCAATTCACATGATATTAATATGATAACTAGTCGGAGGTTATGAACCCTGTCAGTCTGATTCATGTAGTGTTTTGTGTTACCCCAAAATGGCCTCACCAACTTCTCTCCACCTGCTTCGCAGCACTTGACTGCACCATTGATCTTCTTCCTAGGTCCCCAACAGAGCTTGAAATGATAATTGGAATTTGGGAAGCAAAGTTGTCAAGTCAAATTGAAATTTTATTGCATAAAGATTTGGTTTTCAAACAAGGTTCGTCGTCCACTTGAGAATTTTGGACATGGCATCCTTTGAATACCAGCCAAAGAGTTCATCGTTTGTCTTGCGGTCAGTTTTGGTGACCCTCTTCTCCTTGTACTTGATGAACGCATCCTCTCAGGACAATCTATCCTACTGTGTGGACATGATTTGGGACTACACCATGACTTGTCAACACAAAGATGCTTGGCAAAAATCAAAGGGGGGCCTTGTTGAAATTGCAGGCTTCGTATTGTTTGGCCATGACCAAGTGGTCGCCAGTGCGCCACTCGTCGTGCAACCACTGTGGCACCTGCAAACGACCACCCTTCTTGGGCTCACAAAGCCGACGCAGCTTCTGCTTGAGTGCATTCTCTTCCTGATGGTCTGAGGAAGCTAGAGGATTAAGGACCTATAAAAATGATGGAGGATTCTTAATATACTATAAATTTGGTTGACAAGTATAATGGTTATTCCCAAGACCCCAAGTACCAAAAGAAAATTTTGAGTCCAGCTAGGCTAAGCGTCAAGCTTTACCTTTTTGGCCTCTTGCAAGAATCCATCGATATCTTGAACATCAGAAGGATTGTGGGACTCACCTGTGGTATCCAAAGGTCTTTTCTTATCGTTTTTGGGGTCAGAAGCATCACCCTCCGGGGCAGCTGCCGTCATACCTTGACCCAGGAGCTGCATGGCAATGGCTGGATCCAGCTCACCGTTCTGCATCATGGCCACAATGCGAAGGGTTACCTGGGCAAGCGGGCAAATATAGAAATCATAATTTTAAGGTATACTGGGCACCTTTGCTTGACCAAACAGAAGGTGGAACCACATTGTATTTCCATTCATTTTCACCATATATCGTTTACACTTGATACCCACCATGTTTGACCAACACTAAGGTCAGGAGAACCTAGGACCTAGACTCGTATATATAATATATTTTTTAAATATATAGTTGATGTGTTGGAAAGCCCTGAGTTTTCTGCGTGAGATCCTACAGGGGCAAGTAGCAAACAAAATTGAATTCAGCAAAAGGAACTTCATCAGTGGGCCCTTTCGATGATGTAGAAGCTTGTGAAGGTACTGGGGACGTTGGGCTTGAAGTAGCGTTACTTTGATCACCACCACTTCCAGGGGACCCATTCACAACATCCATCAACTGTGAATCCGTAGCTGGGATCGTCTCTGCCATAGCCAGCGACTGCTGAGGAGAAGCCTCAGATATCATGGCACTGGCTGCAGGAATGACTCAATTGGTCATGGCTCTGATTTCTGGATGCAAGAAAGGAGGATTGGACAGGGTGTTGCTCGGGAAATAGTAGAGATTACACATCACAAGTCCCTTCTTCTATAATTTTTCATATGGTAGATTTCGCTACGGAGACCATTCAGCCTAGGAGCCACTTGTTGCAAGGCTTTGAGCTGGCTCTCGGAATTCGCCTGAGCACAGCATTTGTCTTCAAACAAGTGCCAAAAAGTAACCCACAACTATATGGGAAAAAATGAGGGTTAGAAGCACCATGGTCGGCAGCAAAACTACGTAGCAGCACTGCAGGTGCAATCTCTGAAGCAATAATTTATTTTGATTTTGTTTGTGGTGGTAGGGAAACTGCCACAAGCTTTGAGTCCCAAACTGCAGAATCCAAAGCCTCAAGGTCTGCAAGCTGTTGTTCCAACTCCTAAATGGCAAGTGGACCAGGATCTTCACAAAACACAAAAAACAGCAGTGAAGTTTGGAAACATTCTGGGGCTCATCATTCGGTATATGTTCTCTTTTGTTTTGAATTCTCTCGGGGCTCCTGAAGTTTGTCCAGATCTTCTGGCATGTTGGTGGTCAAATCATCCAGGATATGGGAAAGGCCACGTCCAAGGGCTTCAGTAGAATTGACACGGGAAGCCATGGTTCTTATGGTTTCCCTTCGGACAAAGGCCATCAACTAATGGTTACACCGGACCACTTACAAAGCCAAATGCCTTTCACCACAAGCACATCAATCTTAAGATGTAGCGACCTTGCAGTATGATTCCCATCAAGATCAATCTATATACTTATGGGATGAAAGTATTGATCATTGCAGAATGTTCTGGAAAACAAACCCCAAGTATCAATGGCAACCTTGTTACTTCCACAAAGCTTCAAATCGAGGTTGCCCCAATTTGGTGACACATGCAAAGTTGGAGTCTCGAATTGCAATCCAATTGTCATATTCAGCTATGACTTTTTGTTGCGAAAAGTTCGGCCCCTGCAGAAATGGTGCAAACACCTTATCGTGTTCGAACAGACCAAGAAAAAATCGAATAAAAACCATATGATTTCAACACAAAAAAACCTAGGTTTTTGGGAAAAATACCCATAATTAATTATGGGTAAATTATGGGAAATTATGGGTAAATTACGGGTCCATTACGGGTGGTTCAGATTACGGGTTAATAACCTAGGTTTTTATAAAAAATTGATTATGGGTGATTATGGGAGGTTATGGGTCATTATGGGTAACACATCAAAAAAACATATGTTTTTTTCTTGAAAAGATATGTTGTTTTTTTTCAGGCAATACCATGTGATTACGGGTCATTACGGGTGATTACGGGTTACGGGTGAATTATGGGTAAAAAACGTCCAAATCCTTTATAATTGCGTTTTTTCCGACAATAAAGTGGTAAATGTTGACATGGACTGTGGTGTTGAGCCTCAGGGCCGAACAGCAACATGCCTAAGACATCATCCGGCCCAGGCTTTTTCAAAGCTTGGCCGGAGGCAGCTCCCTGAAACTTGGCGGGATTTTCAGGTGGATCCCTGAACGGAGGTAGTGGCATAGGGACACCATGCTGGCTTCCGACCACACATCGCTGAACTCTAAGCTAGCGAAGGTTTCCTCTGCAGAAGGTACGGTTAGAGGCAACTCCGGCATCCCCAGCTTGTCAGAGATGAGGGAATGGAAAATCTCCACGAACTTCAACCCAAATTGTGGTGGGTAGCACCTTAGCATCAGAGTCTTAATGGTAATCGGATATTTCCCCAAAGCAAATGTATTAGAGACTTGGTGTTTCCATATCCATTGATTTTTTTTCATGGACCATCAAATTCAGAATCGGATTGAAATCGATCATTGGAAGGCAGCGCTTTGCACCCTGTAAAAGGTCAGCTAATAAAAAAAACGCATGCTCTTGTTTCCATAGGATCTGTGTTTCCCAAATGAGGCCCTAGCTCGCTGCCACGTAAATCACCCGTGCCCTTCCATTTCCGCTGGCCATTGGAGTCATCATAGTGAACGACTAAAGCTTTTGCTTTCCCATGATCCTTCAAGACTTTTTTTTTGTGGGACCATCCCAATAGCTGTCCTTGGTTTAATTTCCCAATGTGTCTGGAGTTGCTGTAAGCAAAACATCGTTTTGGCGTCTCCGCCCCATAGTGGTATTGGTACCAGGAGGTCTTGTGTACCTGGGCAGCGGGCTTCATAGGTAGAATGCATATTTTTAGATATGGATTCATCCTTGGACAGGACAAAGTTCAGAGTGTGTGGATACCAGTGAAACCCTGCAATAAGACATCCTCATATGTTGTTGGGCACCCATATATATATATACTCAACAATAACATCAAAATGATTAAGTAAATTGCACCCGATTCCTGATACAACAGATTGATAAAGCAAAACGAAAACATCTGTAAACCATATATATCAATTAGATATGGATAGGCCCCATCAAATGCATATACGTTCCAATTTCTCCCTGCCACCATCAAATGGCTGAGGACCACTATGGAACAGCATGGCCAAAACGACCACCATCTTTGGAAACGCACATGGCCTCAAAACATTGGGTGTGTTTGGTCGAGAAACAGTTCCTGGCCCCCCGATGGCTTGGAGCATTTGGACAAAATCCCTAAACCGTGGGTAATAGTCGAAGTAGCTCAGGTAGGGCTGCTCCAATGTCACGCATGCGTTCAAGCAAACAGCCAGCATCATGAGTAAAATTGTCCTTGGTTCTGAAGGTCATTGTATCCGTATATGTTATGACGATTCTGTTTGACAATGAAATCAATATCTTCAAATGATATGAAAAAGTTTCACACTTGATTGCCAAGATCAAACCATGTCAGTCGAATCCATTTCTTATGCATTCAAAGATCCGTGAAGCCAGGCAGTTTCCATTTCTCACACTTTCAAACTCCATGTTTCCAATGCTGCAACATGGTGCCCTGGAACTTGTCCCGGCATTGACTGGGGTGAATGATGAACATTTCAACCCAAAATGGGCTAAAAATCCCTCCACGGAATCCCCACGCAGCAAGCATGAGATAGCAGTCCTGAGCCACATGTCGGAGCAGGGAATAAGATGATTGTTGTTTTTATTCTTACAGCATTCTGATAGACCCCCAAAATATATGCCCCGACAATTTACCACACCCCAAAATATCTTAAAACATTCCCAGGGTCGCCATACCCGAATCGGACAGCAAATCCATCGGGTTTTGTTGACTGCCTTCAGCAGTCATATACTTTAGATCAAGTCGTGCTGAGGGCATATCTGCGAAGCGGAACATCCGGGTACATTGTGCTTCCCCAGCGAACACTTCCACGAATTGAAAAACGGTTGAGGTGTCCTTCAGCAGAACCATTTTTGGGATAAAATATCATTCTAAGTTCCAACGTTTGTAACAACCACACATGACCAGTGGAACTTAGAAGCGTTCTTCAAGCCTATCCCGTCCTGCCAGCTCTTAGATGGGAAATCGGTCCACAGCACTAGGAGCACTGCAAATAGCAGCACCTGCGCGAGGATGGATGGACATGCTCCCCAAAATGGTGGTTTTGTTTTGTGAAAACATAAAATCAACATATATATACCGATGATTATGTTCATCATTGACACTAATTATGAAATACCTAGCAGGTCATGCACCTTCGGAGCCCCCAACTCCTTCAGTCGCCAGCAAAGCTTGTCCACGAAATCTCTAGATTTCGCCATGTCCAGGGCCAGTAGGAAGGATGTTGCTAAGGTTGTCTCAAAAGAAGTTGAGAGGGATTTGTTTGCCATATATGAGATTCAGCCATAATTGGGGGCTTAGGAGTGCTATATCTTCACCCACATGTGCACGCATGTATAAAGAACTTGTAGGACATTCGTAGGGTTTGGGTTTGACACCTGATCCAGAACAACTGTAGGACGATAGCAGGACGGGCAATGTCCATGTGAAGCAATCTTTCGACAAAAAAATGGTTGGTATCCACAGCAATCCACACAAAGTTATGTATGTATCGGTTTGGCCCGGAAAACTGAATATATGCCGCACAGCACGCAAAGTATGGACCATCATGTTTTCAATACATTACACACGATGAACCCAGATCTGATTGGTTCGTCTCAACACGGCACACATCCCAAACAGGAAGGGTGGACAACTCTCATCTTTCAGCAGGCCGAGCTTAACGGCCCACTTGTTGCCCCGCAGCTGAGGCATCTCCAGGACGAGCCTCAGAAGCCATGGGAGTGTCTTGGATTGACGCTGCAAGAGGGGATGTGGGATGATGCAGGGTAATGCAATGGTCCCAAGAGATGGCAAACTGATATCAAATATAACTTTAAGATATGAAATGTTTGGATTTCTTGGTAAATCAGTGCATATATATGAACAAGTATTCACCATGTGACATTTGACTCTCTCATCTGGTCATTTTTTGATCAACCGGAGCTGCTCACCAGGGTCCCGAGATTTATGAGGTTTTCCCCATAGGCCCCAAAACGCCATCTTGGAAATGGCTCCACCCAAGATTGGTGGTGGGCAAGCCAAACCTGTACAGGCAAGCTGATGTCGAAATGAATGGAGTCAGAAAAGCAAATAAAAGACTGATATCCAGCATCATTAAAACACATATTCACCGAAATACCAAACTACTGTTTCAAGATGGGAAATTAGATTACTGATAGTTCCAGGTACGAGGAGATCAAATGGTTGAGTAAGTGACCACCTCCACCCCACCTGCCTGCCTGTACAACCCCTTCCCAAGCTAAGGCGGAAGAGCCGTGCTCATGAAACTGAGCGAGCCAGGGAGCTTTGCCAACAGTGAAGCTGGTCTGCACTAAGCCACAAGTATTTTGATGATGGATGATAAACAATCTCCCAGGGGTAGCATCATATAATGAAGTTACCACCAAACAATAGTTTTGGATATGTGCGCATAGGGTAGCACATGATTGTTGTTTGACAAAGCAAAGTGCATGTTCAAAAGCTATGGCATCAGGTTCCCATCATTTCTTGGAAGTGCTGGCTTTGTACTTAGATCCAGCGACATTCACATTGTATCGCATGAAAAATAAATGGGTCTGAATTTTGCCAGTCGGGTTCGCGTAGTCCAACAAGTCCTGATCATCCAGCTCTGCCAACCACGAAGCCTGGGGAGCAAGGGGTTGTTTTTTTTTCTGAGGGGGGATCTGCTATTGAATAACTGATCATATAATTAAACCATAGGTTTGGGTGTTGTTTTTAGTAACCCTCAGCTATATTACAAATAATAAACAATAGGTGATTCTGGGTGGATGCCATCAAGGGGTAACTAGTAATTATATCATCATGTCCCAGTGTCATATCAAAACTCTTTTGTGTGGAACCTCCCATTAGATACATTGATAGATATTAAAACAAGCAAACCGACATATGCTGCGTATAAACCATACAACTGAACTGTGATAGATTGGATGCTTTGCCACGATCGATCCCCAAGACGTGTGCCAAGAAACCATCAGGGACGCAGCAGCATACACCAAAGCGCAATTGACATTCCATCCTCCGGAGCACGTGCCAGCCTTCCCAAAGTATGCAACCTCTGGGGCTTTGCCGATCGTGCCATCTCCAAGGCAAAGGGGCTTGACACCCACCGCAGGCCGCTTCCAGTATTCATTCAGCCGGAATTTCTGGTTCAACTCACCGTCCTTGAGCTTGGAGATCAGGTACTCCTTGACCTCAGATTCATCCTTCATGCCCTCCACATTCCTCATGTGTTGAAGCATGATGGCCTGCATCTGGAGGTCTTCAGTCGCCGGCGACTTCATGATACCTTCCTCAGCCTTCTTCCTGCGTGACTTTTCTTTCTTTGCAAACGGTGACAAATCCACTTTGGACACCCTGGGCTTCTGGGTCCTTCTCTTGGGCGCAGCCTCAGGCTTGTCACCAGAAGATCCACCAGTCACAGTTTTCAAAGCCGACTGGCTGCGCTGGCGTTTGGCGGCCATGTGCGCCTCCGGCATGCATGCATCCAAAGCCTTTTTCACACGCCGAGCTTTGCGAGGCTTGCCATCGAGCTCCATAGAGGTGGGGTGGAAGTCATCATGGTCACCATCATCGTCAGAGACAAAGAGCATCTTTTTGGGCGTGGGCACATGCTCTTCATCCTCACCATGGTCACTGACAGGTTCATATCGAGGCGTTGCTGGGTCCTCTTCCTCCTCCACGTTGCTCTTTCCCCTCGATCTTTTCATGGGCGCAGCCTTTGTCTCCGGCTTCTCCATTTTTGCCTTCCTTTGTGCTTTTGCCTTCGCTCGTCCTTTGGCCGATGGCTTGGCCTTTGGGGCAAGCTCTGCCTCCCCAACTTCATCCTGCTCCTCCCCCTCCGTTTCCTTGAGCTGCTTCAACCTCCGCCGTGGCTTCTTCACCCTGGTCTCCTCAGGCTGTTCCTCAAGCTGCTCAGGCTGCTCATCAGGCTGCTCTTCAGGCTGCTCCTTCTTAGTCCTTCCTTTTCCCTTCCTTCCCTTCCCCTTCCCCTTGGCCAGCTCTTTCAGCTTCTTCTGCTCATCCTTTTCCATCTGCTTCTTCTTCTGTTTCTCCTCCTTCGCTTTGAGCTGATCTTTGCGAGTGAGGACCTGCCACAGTACCATGGGGATGTCAGCCAACAAGTGCAAAGGTCTTGTCTTCAAGAATGAGTTAGAATCTTCAAATGCTGGAGTGGGCCGACAACCATGCATCGACAGTGGATCCTGTTTGAATTTTGAATCAACAAATGTACTGGGTAAGATTCAAATGTTATGCTCCCTCACCCAACCCAAACCTCAGGTTCTTCGGGCATGTCTGGCTGGGTCGGTGGGATCTCAACTTCCTCATCTGGTAGGGCCAAAGAGAACGGTTCAGAAGCTGCAGCTGTGTGATCGGGTTCCATAGGCAAGGTCTCATCCACGTCGTGCGCGTAAGCTTGCACCATCGCTTGCAGAGGGCCTGGTAAGGCCAAGTAAGAACCATTGGCAACTGCCATCAGTGGAAAGGCAGCCGTCTCACCAAAAAAACAACAAGTATATAGCATCAATATATATAATATATAGTCCTATCATTTTCCACAGTTGGCTCAATATGCACTTTATCAATGTAACGGTTCTATATAGCTATTGTTTGCTGATAAAAATTAGTCTCAAAATGTGAGGTACCACACAAAGGGGCAACAAACCTATTTACTTGTATAGGCTTAAACTATCGTTCTCCATAAACCCAGTCCTGGTGTAGGCATGGTCGAAAAATGCTGGTTCTTCTCTCCGGGCACCTGCGTCCTGAGTGGAAGCCAAAGGATCGGAAGTAAGGACTGGCCACCATAAAGTAAATTTAGGCCAGTCATCACCAAACAATATTTTAACCATCGGTATATAGCCAAGATGTGTTTATATAAAAACAAATGAAATATAGATAGCATTAAGATAATGGTCGAATTATAAACCACAAGGGTAACCAGGTTGTATGAATTTTCGTGGCCACCACACCCAACCATCCCCACCATAGCTCTGCAAACGGAGCTGAGACGAGCATCTCCAAAGCCTTCTTCTTGAGCTCTGCGACCTTCTTTTTGATCATCTCCTTCGCCAACCTGATCTTATCAGCATTGGCAGCGCCTTGGCAGAGAGAGTGCATGGACAGGAGTGGGTGCAACCATGGGACCATTTTTTGATAGCGGGGAATTGGCACGCCATCCTCCAAACCCTAAAAAACAACATGTTCAGACTTGTTTCTTGTAGCTGGCCAATCTAATTAATTAAGATGAGATTCAATCACAGTCCAAAGTTTTGCACTTGGGGCACTCCTTTGGGTTCATCACGACTTCCGATGGGCGGGTATCACTAGTAGCCGGTGTGGAGGAATCCAACCATGTCTTGAACTCATCGAACTCCTGTTGGGTCTGGGCGTCTTCATCATCATAGTTATCCTCATCATCATCCAGAGACAAAGATCTTGCCCGGCGGCAAGAAGCAAGGTAGCCATCAATGTGCTCCTTTTTTTGATGGTTGGATGAAAGATGTGGGGAGACAAAAAATCAGGTTTGTCTCGCCAACGACCCCAAAACAGGGAACACATCATGACCCCAAATGAATTCCCCAAAATGACTTGGTTATTTGTATTTGTACTTAATTTTTGATTCAGTCCATGGCCCACCAGTCCTTCATACTCGGGTCAAAGATCAAGATCAGCTCGTGGAAGTCAGTGTCCTATAACAGGGGCAAAGGGTATAAGTTGATCAATCTTTAGAGTCTTAAAACCTTGGTTTTACAAAAACAGTTTGAAAACCCAACTGGTAGAAACTTTTTGGCTATATAACTCATGTCCTTCGTGAATTCCTTCCGCTGTGTGCGGCGTTTCACGAATCCTGTAAGCTTCTTAAGTTCTACGCTGCACTTGTAGGGGGCTCTGTCTCCTGTGGAGAGTCCGCATTTTTGGTAGAGATTGGTCACCTCCAGGATTAAGTGTTCAAGGTGTGGCAAACGGTTCTTCGATTCCTTCTGCAACCTTTTCAACACTGGGGCTAGAACCAACGCATTGGTGACAGCGTTCACACGGTTGGGACGGCAATACGATTCATCATTCGGGTACATCAGGAGTCTCTTGTCTTCCCTCATGCGGGCCCTCAAGGTTTGGTCATTCTCCCATTCTTGTGCAAGCCCTAGGCAATCCATCGCCACCTAAAAATGGATATACCAAAGCACCCTGGTAGGTGCTTTCCTTGAGCAAAATCCTTTGGCAACAGACAGAAAGATAGTTGATCAGGATAGGAAACAGCAGGATGAGGCGATATGAACTAACAAACAGTGAAATATAGAAGTTCCGAATCCCCCTATAATAGATCACCATCCCATTGGAAGATGAAAGGTGGTTTGGATCCATCAGCCTAGGCAACTCCAATCCGCCAGCGTTCAAAATGGGGTTCCCGGCGAGCGGCTGCTCCAGGGGAGATCTTGATGCGGATCATCATCATCCCATTGATCAGCACGGGGCAATTGGAGAAGTGAAATCAAATTGGAGAGGTGAAAATACATTTCAGATTACATCTATTGAGATCCATGTTGAGGTATTGAAGTATGGGACCATCTGGGGCGGCCATCATCGGCCATCAGCCTTTTTTTAAAAATGTCCTAATCTCAAATTTGTACCCATGTTGAGATTCACCATCACCGGGGCATCACCAGGACCTGGCTTTGGGCCACCCTGGGCCGCTGTTTTGATGATGTTTGATGGTTCACCCCTGAGCTGGATTGGAAACCTACTGAACTTATACCCACATAGATTCCCCAAAACATTGGAAATATAGGTATATTGGAAAAAACATAGGTTTTTTTAAAAAACATATCTATTTTTGACCTTGGGGGAAAATAGATAGGTTTTTTGTTTTCACCCCAAAAAAAAGTAGGTATAAGGTTCAGTAGGTATATATGTATATGCATATATATATATATATGTCTATATATACATATATATATATAGATATATACATATATACATATACATATACATATATATATATACATACATATACATATATATATACATACATAAATACATAAATATATACATATGTGTATATATATATATACACATAGGAAAATCCTTGACGTGTTTTTTTTTTGATTTTCCAGCAAACCATGGCCATGATTACTAGAGGGTAAATGAAAAAAATGGTAACGAGAAACCATGGCCATGTTTGCCTGCATTTTCACATAAATCTATGTGCCTTGGGATATCGTTTTTTCGAACAAAATTTTGGATTGCCGTGTCCATGGTGAGACAAGTTGAATTTTGCAGCATCCATGGCTGGATTCCCCTGACCCCTGGAATGTTTTTTGGATAAGAAAACATCGGTAGTAGAAATCCCAGCAACAATTTTTACAAACGAAATTGCACTAGTCTGCACACTAACAATTGGGACGTCAACTATGCATGAAGGGTATGATTCGAGGCATCGGTTAAGTCCCTATCTTTGGGATTCTCAATAGTGGGTAGATCATGGTAGATCATTATTTTTCTTAGTTGAACTGGTCATTAGTGGTGTTCACCATGAATCGCTACGAACGTGATCCACCACTAGTTTCAGGGTCAGAAGTATCCTAAGACATTTGAATGTCCCGGCATTGTTGCGCGGCTTCAAATTCACCAACCTAGAAAGCCAGGAGGGAAATAAGATGAAATAACCGTTTCCAAATTCAGGAACAAACTGTTAATACCCATTCCTGTTCACATCAAATCATCCATTTTCCGATTTTCACAGCAGCTTAGTCACGGTCATTTGGCCATGTTGGATGTAATGCCCGACGAGATTGGAGAAACCGCTTAGTCCATTGGGCTACAAAGTGTCTCTACAGCATATCAATGATTATCATGTAATTTATACACCTATACCTCTCATGATTCCATGTGCCTGTTTTTTTTTCCTGCTCTATTGTGTTGGGATAGCGGATAGCGTATCATGATACCTTCGGGATTGTGGATATCCCAGAAATGGATGAGAACATCTGTAGGACACCGATTGGAAAAAACATGGGTTTCTGGTGAAGATTTTACCACCAAACCAATGATATGGAAAATGAACCATTTATATATAGTTACAGTTGATTTACCTATTAAACGTGGTGATTTTCCATAGTTCTGTTAGTCTACCAAAGGGTAGTTGTCCCTTTTTTGATTGAGGGTGACATCTCGCTTTTTCTTTTTGCTTCAAAACAACAGGACCTCTTCACTTGGCTGGACTACGACGGTGACGGCAAGGTCACTTGCTGCAACTTCCCCAACCTGGCGCGTTGATCATTGGGGAACTACCATTTGAGTGGCAGATTATCACAATGAAAAGGGGGGGTAGTCCCTACTGACTGTAGTTGGCTAGGGTCTATCAATCCGGGGTTCACATGATATGATGTTAGTAAAGCAATAAGTAAGTTCCACTATCCCCAATTTTACATTTTTTTTTAAAACCAGGTGGCATAAACCATTACAATATGGGTGATTTTTTGCTTTGCTACCATTAGTAGGTTTTCGCCAATCAGAATGGGTCGCAGAAACACTCTGAAACAGGCGGTTCTCCGGCAATTTCCCTCCGTTTTGTGGTCAAGACTCATTTTGAGCCCTGTGTTTGTCATTGGTTAATTGGTTAAATCCCAATTATTCGAGATCCGCATTTGTGCTGCCTAAGCCTTAATTTTTTGCTGCTTAACCATCGAAACTGGATCGTTGATAGCTTGTAACACAATGTTTAGTTGGTTGAATGTTATATATATATATATATACACATATAATACATAGCTCTTAACATTTTTTTGCTTGTTGCTTGAATGATGGTTGTCCTTAGTTGTTCATTGTGTGCCAGTGATGGTCAAATCATTGCTTCCGAAAGCTGGTTCGATCATCCCCTTGTGCCGACACGACGACACGACGACACGATCCTGGCCTTGGTGAAGCCATGGATCCAGTGATGGTTTTTATATGGTGAAGTACTGGATCCAGTGAAACCACTATCCAAACATGGATCACGACTTCCAGTGGTTTATTCTCCGGAAGTTTTGGTGAAGTACTTGTTCGACCCCTTCATGGTCGAAGCCCCATTTTTTTGATGGTTAAATGTTCCGAAAACGTGAAACCAGCAGTTTTGTCTGATTTTTTGTTGGCCCAAATCATCCCAGAAGAAATTAAATCAGTAAATCATCCTCATATGATCCCAACTAACGATTTTAATCCCATTTCTTCAGGCTTGCTTCAAGCTGGTCACAGATAGGCGAATGTCTGACGATGAAATCCCAACATCCCGACATCTGGGATGGTGAAACTCCCACATGTTGCTGTTCACCCGATGTTTGATGCTTAAATCATCTTAAATCACCTCAAATCATCTCAAATTATCTTAAATCATCTCAAATCATCTCAAATCATCTTAAATCATCTCAAATCATCTTAAATCATAACTCGCAATTCCAAATAGATCGTAAACCACACATTCAAAAAATCGATTTGATCTTCCCATTCATAAAGCTGACCCACCTGGAGCAACGGAGCAATGACCCACCTGGCCCAGGTGAGTTTGGAGGAGGTCGAACGCTTCGTCACCGCCGAAGAGGCCTCGGAGGCCACCGTAGCTTTTTTTGGTCGGAAAAATGGTGGATGGCATGGTGATTTTCACCAAATTTCACTGGCATTAGACATGGGGATTGTTTTTTTTAAATTTTTGAAAGGCGTTGTTTCATGGGCATGGGGAAGCTGAGCGTTTTATTTCGGCTTTGAACAGAAGGTCGTGCACGAAGGATTGGAAGATTTCACCCTAGAGATGAAACTGCTGCATTTGGGGTAGTTCTGACATATGGGTCAGACCCAGTTCAGCAAGGTTGTATTACTAATCCCATCCCCCAATTTTTTAAAAAACCACTCCCATTGTCTTGCCATTTTTTTGTGGTTTCATCCCATAGTAAACTATGGTTCTGTGGGAGTGTTTGTACTAGGATGCTGTTGCACGGGATTGCACGGCTCACTAGGGATGAACGAGAAAATTCTGTGGATGGCGAAAAACACCATGAGTTGCAAGCGAAACAAATTATTTGTGGTTCCAACGAATCCTATCTGAGTGGCAAAAATTGTCGGTGTAAACCATCATTCGATGTAAATCATGATATATCAGGAGAGATCATGCTGTGAATCAACTCGATGACGTTTAATGCTGTTCTCAAGTCTCCCGCATTTTTTTCCGTGCTGAAAATCCCTGGGTTTCCGAACTCAGCGGCCCAAAAACCGCAGGTGCTGAAGTCGGCCGGCAAGGATGGGGTGATGAACTTTCAGGCCACGGTGTGGGAAAGCCACTGGCATAGACTGTCCTGGTTATGGGTTTCGGTCAAGACCTATATTACCATAGGGAGATGACCATCTATTTCTACCAGTTCAAAAACCACCCTCTGGTCATGTAGCAGTTTGCTGTTGAACACGAGGTTTTCCCATGGGCTGGTAACTTGATTTGCCTTGGCTGTTAATATCATAAAACATAGGTAAGTCATCGAACTCAAGTGGCCATGGCTTCCAGTGAGCGTTTATTTTTCACGATTTTTCACGACTGTGAAATTAACCATTCTTTTTCTTATCATTTAACAATTTTACTGTTTGTCTTACTATTTCTCTAGACCGTTTCTCTGAAAGCCATTTTCTCAAATGGTTTTAGTTGACCACTTTCCTTTAACCTCAACCATTAATTATTCAATTATCGGATCCTCAAGATTAACAAGAACTCTTACAAGACATGTCTTATTATTCAAGGTTATCTGGTTGGTGGTTCGGAACATTTTTTATTTTTTCCATATATGGGGAATAATCATCCCAACTGATTAATATTTTTCAAGATAGTTAAAACCACCAACCAGATAACTGTTTCATAAATCCATGGATTCTTGACCATTTCTCCAGCAAAGTTCCCCTATCGTTCGGCCGTGCAGGACTTCACCCGTTTGATCACAGACATCGCCCCTTGGGCGACGGATTGGGATTTTGTATCCCAACGCTGATGACAAAGATGGCTTTTTGGTTGGGGGATATAGTTTGGGACTATTTCATGGAAGCCAACATTTGATACATGACACATCATAAGTCACATGGTTCAAACAAAATTGGATGAATTAGAAGGACCTCACTGCGACGACACTAGAAATGATGGTGA